TATGCTGCTCGCTCTGCTGTCACTCCCTCCCCCAGCAGACAGAAAAATCCAGAATCTGATCGTCTAAGGGCTCATTTGCATAACAGCTCATCTGTGCTCAAGGTCTCCTCAGACCCAGGTTTTTGTTTTCACCAACCAGAGTAGCTCAAAGACCAGATCCTCAACATAAACCTCATTTATACCAAAAGCGTTACAAGCTCGGTTTGAGTCTATTTGGTGAGATTAATACAATCATCCAGGGGGAGCTCAGAGTAGAGCTGCTGCTCCTCCTCATCAGAATTAAGCCTGAGTCATGCTTCTCCGTCTGCATCAGTGCGGAGACAAGCAATGCCATTATCCGTCCTTGATTAGGGCCCCGGCAGGCACGCAAGTACGTACGGAGTAGAGTCCACTTTTTTGATCATCCGTCCATCGAGACGGAGAACACAAGCTTGTGATTGGTCAGGACGCCGCTGTTGTCTATACCGCCGCCATTGCACCCTCAAAAACATAAAGAGAGCCGAGTAAAACTAGCGGCAGACACGGAGAAGCTTGAATACCTCGCAAAAAACTCTAAAATATGAACGTTTAATCCCCCCGTGACTGGAGGAGTGAAAAGATACGCAGCAAGCGTTTTATTTGTGGACGGAAATGACAGGAAATGTGGGTTTAGAGGTGGCGAGCCCATGAAGAGGTGGAGGAGGATAAGAGACAAATTTGGCCGTGTTAAAAAGTCTCTTATATAAAAAAAAACACAATATAAACACACTATCTTGGACCGATACCTGACAGGATACCACAGAACAGCACTACGCCCTCTGGTGTCCTGGCGGGGAATTGCTTTGCAACACTCCCCAGGAGACGTATGAGAGCAAAATGCTTCCGTCAATGCGTGCGTGTCTGTTCCAGGCAATGGGAGGATTGAATCTGTCTGAAGCCACCAGAGGCGAGGGGGCGGAGTCACACGTTGCTCCAGGGATTTCCGACTCACTGCTCACAGCTTTTTCCAGGTCTCATCTTTTCAATTTGATTAAAATCCACGGAATGACCAGAATGCTCAACAAAAGACAAAATAACTAACGCTTTATCCTGGACTGTTAATAATTAGAATTTATCAGGTCCTGCTCCAGGTGGAGGAGTTTAAGTATCTCGGGGTCTTGTTCACGAGTGAGGGAAAATTGGTGCTGCGTCTGCAGTGATGCGGGCGTTGTACCGGTCTGTCGTGGTGAAGAGAGAGCTGAGCCAGAAGGTGAAGCTCTGGATTTACCGGTCGATCTACGTTCCTACCCTCACCTATGGTCATGAGCTTTGGGTAGTGACCGAAAGAACAAGATCACGGATACAAGCGGCTGAAATTAGTTTTCTCCACAGGGTGGCTGGGCTCTCCCTTAGAGATAGGGTGAGAAGCTCGGTCATCCGGGAGGGGCTCGAAGTAGATCTGCTGCTCCTCCACATCGAGAGGAGCCAGTTGAGGTGGCTCGGGCATCTGGTCAGATGAAAATGGATGGATGCCTTCATCACGGTTGATTCCAGGTACACTAAAGACAAATCAGTGATATTTTTGTTTCTGTTTCAAGGTTCCTGAATTCATCTTAAGATAAAACAAATAGATTCTCTGTGTGTGTGTGTGTGTGTGTGTGTGTGTGTGTGTGTGTGTGTGTGTGTGTGTGTGTGTGTGTGTGTGTGTGTGTGTGTGTGTGTGTGTGTGTGTGTGTGTGTGTGTGTGTGTGTGTGTGTGTGTGTGTGTGTGTGTGTGTGAAGGGGGTTGTGCTGAAGGTTAAAGAGCAGCACATGATGGACATGATCTCATTAGAAAGAGGGAAGCTGGGCTTTAATTTTCTCTCTGTGCTTCATCTTTATTAACATCGGAGCGGTCGATCATCAGCCCTCAAAGACAGAATTCAGAGGAGGAAATCAGGTCATCTCACTCAGTCTGAGGTCTGAAGGAACTCAGCAGGCTCCGGGCTGAGCCCAGGTCCAGCTCAGGACAGCTTGAGCGTGTGGAATAAAGAACAAGCTGAGAGACTAAAGACTTGGTAAACATCCTCCTGTCAGTCACAAATGATGGCAATCATGGCGAGCTTGTGAGGAGTACAAGGTACCACCAGGCGGGAACCATCATGAAAGCACCTGGTAGCACATGAAGGCGTAGCCTAGCCTGCCAGACTCCTCCTCTATTTAATTCTTCACAGAGAAAAAGTCTGGTAAATCACAGGCAGAGAGGCACTTGAGGGCGGGACTAGGTAGCTCAAAAATAATCAATCAGAAAAAAGAAGGAAATGCCGACTGTACCACTGTAGTTTTCTAGCTGTAGTTAAAAAAAAGGCGTCTGGCAACGGCGCAAACATCTTTCTTTAGAAACAAGTCTTTTGGCGCTTCTACTTGTTGTTTTAAATACGTGTCCGAGTCATTTAGACCAGAGGAAAGAGAGGCAGCGAACTCCGCTTCAGTCACCATGTTTTTGACAAACTTGGTGTTATGGTGTGTGACGTACGATACTCAGCGCTGATTGGCTCAGTTAGAATTATCAAGGGGCGGGGTTTTTTGAATAGGAGAGTTACCAAACCCTTTCTCTGTGCAGAATTAAACAGAGGAGGAGTCTGGCAGGCCAGGCTAATGATGGCGTGGGTGTGTCAGCAGCCCAAAGGAAGTAAAGTACCAAAGTGTTTGTATTCTGTTTGTGAAGAACATCTAAAAGGTCAGAGGCAGCCGGTGAGATGAACTCATACTGTGAAGACGTTTCTGCTACTGCTGTGGAGCTGACCCGGCAGGGCGTGGCCCAGATGGTTCGTTGTCTGAAAGGCTGTTTGACCCATGTTTACTGTGAAGTCCTTCACTTAGTTTAGTTAGCTGGGTTGTTTGGGATTGTTTGTTTATTGATTAAGATACTGAGACATGTTCGGATTGATTACTTGGACAAGATGTAGCATTAGCTAACCGTGACTACAGGAACGACGACTGCTCGACTTGTCTGTGATTTGTGGTGTGTTAGGGGTTACGTCATGGTGATCTGGTGGTTTGTCTGCTACACACACTTGTGGATAAAACGAGATTTTACCTGTAGTGTTTGATGATTGTGTTAATGCAGCAGTTTGATCCAACCTGATATCGATCTCCACTGTTAATTTTAAAGGTTTTTACCCACTGCTACCAGCTACTGCTTCTCAAAAACTAATAAATGTTGGAAAAAGAGGACATGGCCAGGTATGTGAATGTAATCCAGTCACAGCGGCTCTGAGAAAATACTTTAAAACGGGTAGTTATTCTGAAACAACCACTTGGGAGTGCCGAGGAATCGTCTGACTCTTCAAGGCTTCATCAAACTGCAGGTTAAAAAAAAACAAAAAGCATAGAAAAGACAGCTTGTCCTGTCCTTATGGGTCTCTGTCTCTTTCCTGATCAGCTTACAGTTGTTCTCTCACAGTTCCATCATCTCATTACGTTTATTCATGACTAAACTGTTACAGATGGCGTGATTTAAAACGTGATCAGAACTCACGAGTTGAAGCATATCACCAGAGACCTGCTGACCTGTCAGACTCAAACGCACTCGGGCCACATGGCGGGTAATTGCCATAATTTCAGCAGCTCCGCAGAAGTGTCTGACAAGCATGTCCGCTTCACTGCTGAGGCTGCCCAGATGGGGTCAGAGGTCAGATTCAGGCTCAGAGCTGAGTGTGACAGAGGGGCGGAGCTTCATCTGTTCAGGTTGTTTATGAGAAGAAAAGGCCTTGCTGACAGCAGCTGAAGTCTGAAGAGGATACAGAGACGGGCGAGGACCAGCGACGGACAAGAAGACTAAAGGAAATCAATGGGGACAGGGTCGATGGCTGTTTGATTTTTTTAAACAACTAATTTGTGAGGAAGAGGAGAATGGAGACGTCATTGATCCATGCTCGTCTGACCTCTCATCGGTTATTTCACATTATTAATTGGAGAGAAATGCTCGGCTGAGTGATGGAGGAGAGGCAGCGAGCGAGCGAGTTCAGACCTAAACAGATGGATGAGATGAAAAGCAGGAGTAAATGTTTCCTGATCCACCAATCAGAGCTGAGCTACCTGGTGGAGATGAGGAAGAGTGTGTTCAGACTGGTCTTTGTGTGATGTAAACAAGAATGTTACACAGATAACGGGCCTGTGGTTTGAACTGAATGTTCATACTTAGGCTTTCCACCAGATGTTTGGGCAGCATGTTTTAACTCAGCGGCACATCCCTTCCTATCGGGAGGGTCTGTGAGCCAACACAAAACGCGTTTTCATTTATAAAATGAGCAACAGTAAAGAAACTAAATGTTTAAACTGCTGCCAGTGACTCATAACGCTCCACTTGTGTCCCCACCCTCCCTGACAGGAAGCCTCCAACAAGCAGCTGCTGGTGAAAACTAGGACCGAAGCTCTGATAGTCCCACGGGAGAACGTTGATGGTTCCACTGGGTCTGATGGAGACATGAGGAGGTAAAAACAGCTGTGAGGTAGTGGAACCCAGTGGGAGCTGGACTCTGAGTGGACCTAAGAGGACAGCATCAGTCCTATGGCGGTCAGGCTCAGAAGAAGACTCAAATACCAAAGTTTACTTGGATCAGTGAGTGACATCATCAGCTGGCAGGTAAGCACCATCAAATAAATGAGAACGCCAGTTCAGTCATGGAAAGTCCAAATCACTCTTTAGACTGGAAAGTCTACCTGTACTGTACAGCTCCAGAGGGGCGGGGCTGTGAAGTCTACCTGTGCTCCAGAGGGGACGGGGCTGGGAAGCCTACGTCTGCTTCAGAGGGGGCGGGGCTGGGAAGTCTACCTGTGCTCCAGAGGGGACGGGGCTGGGAAGCCTACGTCTGCTTCAGAGGGGGCGGGGCTGGGAAGTCTACCTGTGCTGTAGAGCTCCATAATGTTGACCGCTACCAAAACTCATAGAACAATATTCCTGAATAAATGACATGTTTGATGTATAAATTTACACACATTTTCTTCACAGAAGCAGTTTTTGAAAAGGACAAAATTGTGACAGAATTCCAAATCTATCATTTGTTATTTGTTATGGGCTTCAGATTTTTTATTCCAGCATATACATTCTGCTGCACTTTAAACAGGAGTCCCCTGCTTTTTATGCACACACATTTAATATTCCTGCAGGTTCTCGAAGGACCAGATTCCACGATACTTTAGTTTGTCTGATTGGTTTGATGCTGCTGGACAAGCTCGGAGGCATCACAGTTTGGATAGTGGGTTTCTCTGATTGGCGGGAGCAGCAGATGTGGGTCGGCCCCACAGACGTAGACGACTGACTCCCCCGTCGGGAGCGATGATGAAGCGGACATGACTGACCGGCTGATCTAGAATCAGGTCTGATGTAGCGTAGCAATGCCTGCGATGTGATCGGAGCTGCAGGAGGACGACGGAGAGGAAACTCATCATGATGCTGATAAAACGATCAGTTCCAAGGTTAACACCAACCTTCTGAGGAGGGAGAAGGAGCTTCCATTTCCCAGAATTCCACCTGGTTGTGATGCACTGGGACTCCTCTTCAGGACTCAAGAGGCACGCCTCGATCCGGCAGGAGTCTGGGAAGTTACCTGAATGAAAATACTGTAAGGTTAGGTACCTTTTGGAGAAGAGAAGCTGCTGATATGTCTTCTTACCTTTGAAATGGTTTGTGTCAACCTCGATGCTGCTGATTATTCCAGGATGACCGAGACGGAATACAGCCCACTCCCAGCCGGGAACCTGCAGGATACCCTGATGATCTGTCTGTATGGAAAAACAACAGTCAGACATTTATTAGCAGCTGCTGTCCATCTCCTAAAGCTCTACTGAACATGATCAATCAATCAATCAATCAAAGCTTTATTTATAAAGCGCCTTCCGCAACCCTGTCAGGAAGCCCAAGGCGCTGCACATGGTACAGTAGAAGTACAAATATAGTGAATAAGTCAAAAATAAAAGCAATTCAAAAATAAAAGCAAATTAAAATACTAAATACAAATTACAAATAAAGGTGAAACATTCTAGTACAGGACAGATGGGTAAAACAAGGGATAGAGTGAACCAATGAAAACTGTGAAAGAAATTCAACGTGAAAGAGGATGATGAAAGATGATGAAAAGGATTCCAGGAGAAACGCCAACAGAAGTCTGGAAACTTCCCTCAGCCACACGTGGACCTGTTGTGGTCCTTCTTTAGGTCTTTGTCAATAATGCTGTAACCCTAACCTTCAGCTCTTTGGGTCGGTCCAGTCTGCGGGCCGTTTCCCACCCATCAGCCATGTTGGCAGCTTGTCCGATTCCTGCGAACTCAACAAGAACCACCAGTTTACCCACATTCAGAAACAGAGCAGCGTTCCAGGGCTGGTTTAACTAGCCAACTGGTTAAAATAACACTATTCACAAATCCAAAATACATAAAAACATGAGCCAAAAGTTTTTGAGTTGATCTCAACCAATCATGTTGCGTGGATGTCCAAAGTGGCCGTCGCTGTATCCGAGACAGACTCCCCCATTGGTTAGAGCCACAAGGTCAACCTGCTGATTGGTGGGAACTGATGACCAATCCCTCAGCCCGACACCGTACACGCGAATTCTGGCGATGCCTCCGTCTGAAGACACAAATGTATTCAGCTCTATCCAACAGCGTCTCTACACCTTCATCCTGAATGTCCGTGGCTTGTCGGTGTGGATTAGAGCAGCTTTTGTGCATTCTGGTTCAGGGTTCAGGTTCAAATCCCACTGCTGCTGTTTAGGATCCTTTACCTGGGTACATGTTGAGCCGCAGGTGAGTGACTCTCCCGTTGAAGTTGACCTTGAAGTAGTTGTGACAACAGTCTGAATATCCGGGCCTCAGTTGTGACACGCCCACCAACTCAGGCCACGCCTCCGAGCCCAGCTGTCAATCACAGAACAGTCACATGTCAGTCTGTCAGTCAGGCTGCACATTGGCTCAAGTTAGTCCTTTATATCAGAGAAGCAGAGGTCATTGGTTACCATGGTGACAAGCTTGTTGTTTTAGTTACCTTGGCGACAGCAGCCATCTGACCCTCAGTGGCTGCCATACCAGTCCTGTCCTCCCCTGGGGTGAAGGTGGACAGCGGTCCTGATCAGAAACAAGAGTTTCACATTTTCATGAATCTACACTGAAAAGGTTTTCTAATACAGGAAATAAAAATAAAGAGACTCTGAGATTAAAGGTTCAAGGGAGAGAAGGAGGTGTTGAGGAAGATGAGAGGACAGGTCGTACCGAGACAGCCAGCTTGGATGGAGACATGAGGCGAGTGGTTTCCAGTAAAGAAAGACGTGTCCACATCAAACCCAAAGATCCGGCCGGGCACGCCCAGCTGGATGATGCACCAGTCGTGACCTTTTCATAGATAAACAACGAGACATGTTCACGTAGACAGTTTGGTCTTGGGTCAGTTAACAGAGCGATGACCTGCCTTAACCTTCACTTTTATCTCAAATCTGCTGAAGCTCCACAACGTGGACTTGACTTCATGCTTGTACTTTAGAAAACCACTCCGTTGTATTCTCGGGTTTATGTTCATTTATCAGATGCTTTATCCAGAGTAACCAACGTGCATGTGGGGCAACGGTGGTTAGGAGTTCGCACGGACTTCCTGTTTATGTGAACATGGCGTAGGTCGCACCAAACACAGCTCCTGCAGAGTCTAGTTATTATTGAGTATTTCCAGGCACATTTTGACGTTTTTTTTAAATATATCAGCTGTTTTGTGTAGTTCCGAGACAAGACTGTTTTTGCATTTTGCGTTTAGAATGTTGCGTAAGGTTAATAAGAGCGCAAACACCTCTCAGCCGAACTTGCGGCCTGCTGCTAGCACTGCATCCCCGCCTCGTAGTAATACTTCGCCACTGCCTGGGTCGCCCGATAAGCTGCTCGTCGATACGGAGAAGTTCACGAAGGCTGAACTGCTCTCTGAACTTCGTGAAGAAATTTCAACACTGTTTAAAAAGGAACTGACAGCAGCATTTGCTGAGAATCTCACATCTCTCAGGTCTGACATACAGCAACTAAAGACAGACCTTTCCTCAGACATAACGGCCATACGGCAGGATTTCGTTGGCCTCCGAAGTACAGTTACGGAGATGGAGCAGTCTCTCTCTGCATGCACGGATGATATTATCCACCTCCAAGCCAAAGTGGATGCGATGTCGAAGGAATTGGCCAATTTGGAGAATAAATGCGAGGATTTGGAGTCCAGTTCTCGCCGCAATAATATACGCATTGTTGGTGTGTCAGAGGAGAACATCCTGTCTGCTACAGATGTGTCCGTGCTGCTGATGGAGGCATGTCAGCTTGGGAAGGAGCTGCTTGTGGACAGAGCCCACCGAACTTTGGCCCCCAAACCTAACACCGGTGAACGTTCCCCCACTGTGGTGGTGAAGCTGCACTATTACGCGGACTGTGCTAGGATTCTCCAGAAGGCCAGGGAGCTGCAGAGGGTACAGATAAATAATATGACAATCTTTGTGTTCCCCGATCACACCGCTAAGACTGCGCTGGCCCGTGCGGCTTTCAATGAGGTCCGTCGCCAACTTCGCGGCATTCGGGGAGTCCGATTTGGGATCCTCTATCTGGCAAGGCTACGGATCACTTACCAAGGAATGCAGCGCGACTTCGTCTCGCCAGAAGAGGCCAAGGAATATATTAAGACAATAACCATGGGATAAAAACGTAGCAGGACAATGTTTATTTTGTTTGTTCTTTGAAATAGCGAATGATCCAAATCCAAACGTCATGGTGGTAAGTTAAGTTTGTTACTCTGCCAAACACTTGTTTTGTTTTACTTGGATAATAGTAAAATATAATTGTGTTATTTTCTACTTTATTTGTGCCTTTTGATCTATTGAGAAATGACTCTGTTGGAGCTTTAGTTTGACACGGTTCCTTTCGTAGTCTGGAGCATTTTTGTTCAGATTGCTCCGGGTGGGAGCGTGCACTGCCGTCTCCATCGTTTGGGGATGGGGGCTTTTGCTGTGCGGGGGGGAGGCGGGAGGGTGTGTTTGACTTTTTTTTTTGTTGTTGTTGTTCTGAAGCTGTACTTCTGTTGTTGTGGTTTTGGTATGTGTGTCTGTGTGAGTGTTTTTTTTCCCCATTTGCTCTTTTTTGGGGGGTGAAGAAATGAGTATTTTCTTTTTTATCTTTCTGCAATGATCAGCACTTCAGGTCCATCCTTAGGCATTAGTGGTATTAGATTTTTAACTTGGACTGTCAAATGTATGAATAGCCCAATTAAACGATCTAAAATATTTTCACATCTTAAACGTCTAAGGAGTAATGTTTTTGCAAGAGACCCATTTGCGAAATGGGGATCATCTTAGGCTCAGGTGTCCATGGGTGGGACATACTTTCCACTCAAGGTTTAATTCAAAAGCCAGGGGGTGGCGATCTTAATAAACAGAAGGGTACAGTTTACAGCTTCTGAGATTAAAGCTGACAAAAATGGGAGATATTTGGTTGTTGTAGGTACCATGTTCAATGTACCTGTCCTCTTAGTCAATGTATATGCACCGAATTTTGATGATCCAGGTTTTACAGATGCACTTCTGTGTAGTCTCCCTTCCCTTGATACTCATCTTTTAATATTGGGTGGGGACTTGAACTGTGTTATTGATTCTGCCTTAGATCGCTCGAATCCTCGGACCCTGACCCAATCCTCTATGTCCAAGTCTATTTCAGAGTTTATGCTTCAGAATGGTTTTGTAGATTCCCGGAGGTTTTCTAACCCAACTACCAGAGCATACTCTTTCTTTTCTCGGGTACATCAGTCCTTTTCACGTATTGATTATTTTTTTGTGGACGGCTCCCTTATTCCAAAAGTACTGTCATCTACATGTCATCCAATTGTCATTTCCGATCACGCACCACTTAGCGTTGACATCAAGCTCATAGCCCAGTCCTATTTTTCCTCACACTGGAGATTTAACTCTTTGTTGCTTTCGGATGAGGGATTTGTTACCTTTATCAAATCCACAATTGATGAATTTATGGTGTTTAACGACAGTGATACTGTTACGAGGTCATTGCTTTGGGAATCTCTTAAAGCATATATGCGTGGGCAAATAATTTCTTTTTCTGCCCATTCTATTAAAAACCACAAAGCCAAACTTCAAACGTTGACTACACTAATTTGTGACATAGATAGACAGGTTGTAGCTAGTCCCACTCCTGATTTACATAAAAGTCGGCTTGACTTGCAGACCGAATTTGATTTACTTTCTACGGCAGATGCTGAACGCCTTTTACTTCGTGCACGTGCGACTTATTATGAACATGGTGATAAGCCCAGAAGGCTTTTGGCTCATCAGTTAAAATGTCAGGCCTCTTCTCGATTAATCTCTCAAATTAAAGATGCAGCAGTCAACTTGGTCTCTGATTCAAAGGAAGTAAATGAGATATTTAAGAAGTATTATTCCTCCCTATATGAATCTGAATCTGCTGCTGATGACTCGGTGTTCATAGACAAGTTAGCCCCACTACTTCTTTCAATGTATAACGAATCTTTTGATCGTGGTCTATTGCCCCCTACATTGTCTCAAGCACTAATTACGGTTCTCTTAAAGAAGGGTAAAGATCCTACGTCTTGCACCTCATATAGGCCTATTTCACTGCTCAATGTGGATGTTAAAGTCCTGGCTAAAATTTTAGCAATTCGCCTTGAAAAGGTTCTTCCTACCATTATTTTAGATGAACATAATGGCTTTATTAAAGGCCGCCAGCTGTTCTTTAATGTTTGCACGCTTTTGAATGTCATTCTTTCCCAACACTCGACCACTGATCCAGAAGTAGTTATCTCACTTGATGCTGAAAAAGCTTTCGATCGTGTAGAGTGGAGCTTTCTCTTTGCAGTCTTACAAAGATTTGGTTTCAAGGACAGATTAATTTCATCGATTCGACTTTTGTATAAGGCACCCCAAGCCAGCGTCTATACAAATGGTGTTTCCTCTGATTACTTCTCACTGTCATGCGGCACGAGACAGGGTTGGCCCCTGTCCCCCCTACTCTTTGTTATTGTAATTGAACCCCTATCTATAGCTTTAAAGCAAGGCCCTTCCTCATTTTCATGGTATTTCCCGGTCTGGCCTTTACTTAAAATTGTCTTTGTATGCAGATGACCTGCTTTTGTATGTTTCGGATCCCTTATCTAGCATACCATCAATTGTGTCTTTATTAAACAAGTTCGTCACTCTGTCAGGTTACAAAATAAATCTTCTTAAAAGTGAATGTTTCCCCATAAATTCTTTAAGTCGTATTTTTGTTTCAGAGTATTCCCATATTTTTACCTAAAGCTTTTTTCAAAAAGTTGGACCAGCTAGTTATGTCGTTTGTGTGGGGAGGGAAACATCCCAGGGTGAGGAAATCATTACTACAGAGACTGACGTTTGATGGTGGTCTTGCCTTGCCTAATTTTTTATTTTATTAATGGTCGTCTCATATTCACAAATTGACTCATTGGCTTGAATCTCAAGGACTGCTGTGGTGTAAACTACCAGCAGGTTTCTGGTTCGACCCAGGCTCCATCTGGAATAAGACACTTGACCTTTTGTACCTGCTGGTGGTGGTCAGAGAGAGCTGGGCTTCTGTTGGTGTGACCTCGAGCAGCTGTGGCTATGATGTATCTAATAACATCATCAGTGAGCGAATGAATGAAGTAGAGGTCATTTTCCAGTGATGTTTTTGGTCCGTGGGAGAAAACTGGAGTTACAGATTACAACCCACACATGCACAGGGAGAGCACACTAACTGCACGCAAAAAGACTACAGCTGGGATTTGAACCTGCAACCTTCTTGCTATGTGGCACCAGTGCTACCAGCAGCACTTAAAGCCTTAAAGTAAAGTTCTTCTGTCAGGACCTGGACATGTTGGGACAACATTACATTTGTTTACATGCAGTCCCACAGGGCTCTATACCAGTGACAAGTTATTTTAATTTCATTTTATTGCTAATAATAAACAAAATTTTCGTTATTCTATCAATTTCCCTGAAAAAGAAGCTGATGAAGGCTCTCTGTAGTTCTGAAACAGCTCCAGGACCTTTTCTCATCCAGTCGTGCATTATCAGAGAACTCATTATGATTTAAAGCTTGGAGCTCCTCACTAACCTGGAATTCTCTTCCTCCGCGTCTCCCATCCATCCATCCACTTCCCAAACTCGGTGAAGGCCGAGGCGATGAACTGTGGTGACTCTCTCTGTTCAGACATTGGACATATAAAAACAGAAGTGTACTGGCTAATGGTGTTATTGTTGTACTAAATACAACCAGTGGGACTTCAGGGTTCCATCTCATCGTAGTTTACACCAAAACTCCACCTGTGCTAAACACAGTGTTTGTTTTGGCTCATTTTAGACCTTCTCAGCTCACTTTGCAGACATCAAATCAACCAGCAGGATTCTAGAGGATCCCTCTGGCCTTCCCTGAGTGTCTCCCGCTGGACAGCAAGTCCACAGTCCCCCCGTCCCTGGAGGACATTTGCCCCCATGCTGTTTCTGAACTCCCTCATCCTGCTCCTAACATGTTCATTGATGTGGACTTTTCACATCCAACCTTTGCTTTAGTTACAAATGTGATTTACTGATGAACATTGATGCACTGTTATAAATGACCTGAAGCAGTTGCACAGATTATTAATCTGCATTAATCTAGAATTGCATCACAACGGGTCAAACACACATCATGATCAGACCAGATCTGAAGATCGTTTCTTTTCTCTCTGATACAAAAATTCAGATTTTTCTGTTTGACGTGTTTTAAAGTTTAATCTCAATCTGGAACGGGCCCAGATTATCTTCCACTGTTTCTGTTTAAAGGCTGAACCTGATCTAAAGCTGTTTTTAGTAGAAGCGGTTAATATTCTGGTCATACCTTCAGCAGGTTGGACGCAGGTGCAAACCACTCATCTGTCGCAAAAACCACCTGAAAACAAACACATTTTAAACACAGAAGAACAAAAACAAAGTAAAATCATATTTATCAACAATGTTCTGAACTAATTAAAATGATTTTAAGGACTTTTTGTTTATAACTTGATTTTTTAAAAACTTTAACAGACTTTTTTGTTTCTTTTGCTTTTTTGTATATTTTAGAAAAGTTTCCGACTTAAACATGAAAAGAGGTCAGTCGCCTTTATGAAGAGTTAATTATTGATTTGAGGAGTTCAAACGTTAACAAAGAGGGAAAGAAATGAAATGACTCCTTTTGTCACATGATTAAAGTATCTGTCTTCATCCATTAGAGATCCAGATGTGCCGTAACAATCAGAAGTCTGAGGTGTTCACTTAAGGAGTTCAGGTATTTGTGTGTCTCACCTTTCCTCCAACAGACTCACAGCAGAGATCGTTAAACTGCAGGAAGTCCGGATCTGCCTCTGTCGTCTCCGTCCTCCTCCTCTCAGCCATGATCGGGTTCTCCAGAGGTTCTTCAGAATGCTGCTGCTCGTCCTGCTGAGGGCTGCTGAAGAAACGTCCAGGTGGTTCTGACTGAAGGTCAAAGTTCAGCAGCTGTTTACTCAGATAAACCTGCTGCACGCACACACACACACACACACGCACGCACGCACGCACACACACACACACACACACACACACAAAAGTCTGGGGGAGGGGTTAGATGTAAATAATCCTAAAGTCTATCTGTGGGTCTTTTTGAAAATCTTGATATATAAATGATCCTTTTTTAGTTACTCGTTTGGTTAAAAGGAACGACGCATTTTCATGAACATATGAATGTAAATATGCCAGTTTACATCTGTGGTCCCTGGCAGGTCAGAGAGATGGAACTTCCCATAATCCACGTGGGAGCAGACCGTCAGTGACTCGGGATATGAAGAGCACCTCCATGCATTTGTGCTACATCGATCCATAAGGAGATCCTCCTTTTTCCATTTCATTTGTTTTGACTTGATCCTTCCAATGCCAGAGCGTCACATTCCTGCATTAGAAGGACTCCATAGACAATAAAAGTTACATATGTGAGATACTAATCCTTATTCTGGAATATGCTCACTGGCTAATCCATTAAAAATCTTTTTCTGGAGAAATCTGGGAGTGTTTGGCTTCCAGGTAGATGGTTGATTCCTCCTGTGTGTTTGTGGGTTAGAGTTTAATCCAGATTATCTTCCTGTTTCTTTCTGCTGTTTTCTCTTCTTACAGCCAATTACTTTTATTATTTGAAATTAAACCAAACTTCTATCTAACCTGAAAGGTCCCTGCCTGTGTTGGGAGTAACGCAGTACAAAAGTAATTAATTACTGTAATGCATTGTTTTTTGCTGTAATGTGGTAATGTAAGGCATTACAGGGAAAGAAAATGGTAATATTTACTCGGTACAATTGTCAGTAACGCGGTAATTATAATGCATTTTTAAACCCAGAATCAAGATGTAGGTTTCTTAAAAATTAAAATTGCGGGAAGCCCAAAAAAAGATCCAGTATCCACATATATGACGTCATTTATGAACTCAGCTTTGCGGGCATTCTATGAGCAGAGAGGACGCAGCGGTAACAGCTCAAATGCTCCATCTGCGTCCTACGCACGGCCGCTGTAACATTCACAAAATCACTCCACCAAAATAAAATAATTCACCTGCGATCGTTCATATCAGCCCATATTCTCTGTACTTTATGTACTTTTCTGACGTGTTTTGCCTCAGCTGAGTTCATAATTTGTGCCCCGGTGATTTCAACTCATTGCTGCAGGAGCGCAGTGCCTATTAAGCTTTTCTTGCGTTTGATAGATCCCTTTGGCTGATTAGTTAGAAAGAAGGAAATATAAGAAACAGTTTTTCTGGAAGACTGAGAAAAGATTGCAGGAAGGTTAGAGAGAGAAAGGGAAGAAGAAGAAAATATAATTTCTATAGCGCCTCTCAAGATAAAAATCACGAGGCACTTCACAAAAACAAAAAATGTAAAAATATAAAAAAGAATTTAGAAAATGGTTAAATATATTTAAAATGAGCAAGAAATAGACAATTGTGATTAAAAAATGTTAAGAGAGAGTGAAAAGAGGGAAATCAGTGGATCCTGAGGAAGGTGGAATAGGTGGGGAGCGCAGAATAAAGAGTGATGAAGAAGGTCATACAAAAGTCAGCTTGAACAAGTGAGTTTTTATGGCGCGGTATGGGGGCCAAAATTAAGACTACTGCCCAGCAGCAGGAGGCTACATAAATTCTGAAGCAAACTACTGATCTGATTAATGATAAGCTGGTACTGGTAACTGAGACGCTGGCGCTGCTTACTGAGGAATAGTACCTTTACCGGCGTTATTACTAGATACACTAGGGACTAGCAGCCCTCGGTTGGTCATTGACTGGTTCAAACACTCCCTCTGCTGTCTATTAGCATGGCTAGGCTAGCGTTAGCCTGGATGGGCTGGTATTAGCATTGGAGAGGCTAGCCATTAGCATGCCTAGGCTGGCCACTAGCTGGATTTCCTACCTCCTTGACGGACCATTTGCATGGATAGGCTGGCGTTAGCATCGGAGAGGCTAGCCATTAGCATGACATGAGAATCCAGGGTGAGAGCTGGGTCAAAGGTCACGCCAAGATTCCTGACGGAAGGTTTGCTGTGAGAAGCAAGCTGACCAAGAGTCTCTGACTTTGGGAACCAGCTTGTCAGGGGCACAGATGAGGATCTCAGTCTTATCTTCATTCAGCTGTAGAAAGCTCCCAGCCATCCAGGCTTTGATAGAGTCTAAGCAGGTGTGCAACAGCTGCAGCTTAGACATCTCATGGGGCTTAAAGGAGATGTACAGTTGGATGTCATCTGCATAAAGATGGTAGGAGATTCCTTTGAAGGAGCTCAGGATGTGCTGAAGAGGAAGCAGATAGAGGAGGAAGAGCAGAGGCCCCAGCACAGAACCTTGTGGGACACCATGGGTAAGGGAGGTGGTGGAGGACCTAAACTTGGAGACGGCCACAGAGAAGGAGCGCTCAGAAAGATAAGAGGAGAACCACTCCAGAGCAGATCCTGATAGGCCTACCCAGTCTCTCAGCCTCTCCAGTAGCAGGTGATGGTCAACAGTGTCAAAGGCTGCAGTCAGGTCTAGCAGGACCAGAACAGAACAGTCCCCTGCATCACTGTGAGTCAGAAGGTCATTAGAGACCCTGGTTTATAGAGAGAATTAAATCATTGAGTAGGAAGGACTTATTGCTAACAAAGCAGGTATTTAATAGAGCCATGCTGAGTGAGGTGGAGGAATCAGAAACTACAGAAAAAGCTGGAGTTAGTGTATGTAAATTAGCAGGGTTAGATCCACGGTGTTTATAAAAACCACTTATGGAGGGAACAGGAGGAGAAACCACTGAGGAATGAGGATAAACCGACTTTAAAAAACTTGGACAGAGAAACTGTGCCACAACGCGGCCTGGCGGGAATGCAGAAGTGGCGCTCAAGTCGCCAAACAAAGGACAAGAAGCCAGAAGATCATGCCAATGTTTACTAGATAAACCACGTTTTATGAGAAGTCCTATCCTCACCTGGATTCCTGCTCGTTTAGTAGATATTCTGCTGTGGTGGGGCTGGGTTGGTGCCCTCGGACTCTGTGAGGCTCTGTGATGCTGCTGCTTTGGGCCCTGGCAGGATGGGCTGGGGTCTCCATGCCCTGGGTGGCAATTTGACAATGGAGGTGCCTATCGGGGCCAGTGGGGGAGCTGGCTCCCTGGAGGGCTAAGCCCAACCAGCCATTCCTCCCCATCCCCGCTTATTTTTCTCCTCCTGCTCCCTCGCATCATCACACAAACATGCACATAGGACCTTGGGGGGTGGACAAGTCAGGAAGTGCGGGTATGAACTCCATTTCCACATTCCTGTGGCAACCTGCCCCCCAATTTTATTTGCACCTTATACACTTCCACTGATGACATTCCACGCAAACACACACTTAGGGCCTTGGGAGTGAGCACATTCAACGGCACTTGGCAGGGGGATTTCTCAGCCTCCTCCCGAGTGCCGGTGCCCACTTCCAATTTTAAACTGCACTTAGACACCGAGGGCTGTGGGTGCAAATGGGGTTGTGTGGTGGCATCAGCTGGCATAGGCCAGACAATGCCCGAACTGCCTGCTCACCACAGCCATGGAATACACCTCATGAACACACAACACTATATTGGAGCAGGCGGAGGGAGACTAGGGGTCTTGGCACACCTCTGTTGTCGCTTGGCTTCCTGGGGTTGGAGGCTAGGAGGGAGATCTGGCCCTCTGGTTGGGGTCTGGGGTGGTGGGTTGCTGTGCTCAGCGTTGGGCGGGGGAGCCTGCTCATCAGCACCCCAGCAGAAAGGGTCAAACTCTGGTAACCGGTGATGGTTGTACCCAATGTGCAGCAGTACCGGGACCAGAGTGAATAGGGTGTGTATGGGGAGCATGAGTGGGTGTCCGGCGTGCATTTTTGTAAGTCTTTGGTTGTATGTGTATGTGTGAGCATGAGGGAGGGAGTGTGTGACTGTGTTTGTGTATGACTGTATATGTCAGGTGGAGCCTTTGACTCCTTTCTTCTCCTGGGACTTCTTTTTATGATATAGATCTTCGTCTCCCCTCTCCCTGCCACACCTGGTGTGGGGTGTGGTGCCTTGGTCTACCTGAGTGTTTGTGGCTCCCGGCTCAGGGGGTTTAAGATCTTTGGCGCCTGCCTGGTCAATCCCGGTGGCTGCCTGGTGGGGTCTGGGTCCCTGGGCTCTGCTGGGTCCCCGGCGGGGGTGGTCGCCCCTGGGTCCCGGGTCGCTGGGTCCCGGGCTTGGCCGGCTAGGGGGTGGGAGGCTGCGGGCGGGCCTGTGGGCTTGCCGCTGAGATCTCCAGGGGCTCTGCCGGCTGCTAGTTGTGGCCCCCCGGGGCGACCCTCTGTGCCTCTGGAGGGGGGCGGGGGCCTTTCTGATTGCAGTCTCCTTGGGGTTCCTGTGTTCTGGGGCAGCGCCTAGATCTCTGGGACTTGGAGCTCCACCCGTCTCCTGCGCATCTTTGGGGGGCAGATCTGTGGTCCCTCACACTCTATTGGATGCTCCTATAGAGAAACCTTAAATAAACAAGCGCGTGTACACACACAGGTGCTCACATGGTGCTCTCAAAGTATGGACTTGGGCACGTTCAACACATGTCTTAAGGTTGTCGCTGCCACTACATGCACTATGATTTATTATCGTGTGATTGTTCAGTTAAACAATGTTGATTTTTTATTTCACCATCAGGTTGACGCAGTGATAGCTTGCTCCTGTTGTATTGTTGTGTGTCCCATTTTTTCTTCTATTCTTTCTCTTTCTGCAGGTCTAGAAGCAGACTTGTTAATTATTATTTAATTTTTTGGACCCCCCCCCCCTTCCCCCCTTCTCCCCACCTTTTGTCTTTTCCTTTCTCTTTCACCTCTGACTCGTGTCTGGTCGGAATTACAAAGCATTCAAAAACAACAACAATAAAGTTTTAGGTATCAGGCGTGACATTAAAAGCAGACACTTTGATGCTCCACCTGAGAGTAAATCTGTAAGAATAATTACCAGCATTCAGACATCAATTCTGTTTGCTTCACAGCCAGACAGGACACGGTACAAAATAAAATAAAATAAAACACTTTCACACAAACACAACAGGCTCCATCATCACAACCTGCTACTAAACACACGTCAACACAAACAGAACCGGGTCCTTCAGATCGCTCCAGATGATCCAAACTCATCTGGTTCTGGTTCCAACTGAGCTCCATGATCCAGAATGTTCAGAGACAACAACGTCTTTGTTTCAGTCACAAATAACTCAGCAGGACTTTGATGTTTCCTGTCAGACCAGATTAGAAACTTCCTGATTTTTCTCTGATGATGAAGATAAAATGTCAAACAGACACATTTGTTTTCATTCAGCGACTAAAACCAGCAAAACCTGTCAGCGATTCTCTAGAAGCAGCTTTTAACTCACAAAGAACACCATCAAACACTTTAGTGGAGAAATCATCACGATTAGACTCTTGGAGCAGATTCCATCTGAAACTCATTTCTGGTGAGTTTCAGGTATTTTTCATCTTCAAATTTTGAGAAAATCTTCAAAAGAGAAGAAGATGATGTCTGATGTCTGAGTGACTCTGATCACATCCTCGTAAGTCCAGAAACATCCAGCAGAACTGGTCCTGCTGCTGACGGAGGCCTGGATGGAGTCCAGCAGGTGGAGCTGTTGACAGTTAAATAATTTTGATTTTTATTTTATTTTATTATTTTTTTGTGGAAAACCTGCAAAACTTACCCAAAATTTTCATCAGAATTTTTTTTCTCTCGTTATTATTGACCTGGTGACTTTGGCGTGTGGATGTGTAAAGGCTGGGTATGGGCAGGATGAGATGAGCTTCTTATGCAGGATTTCTCTCAGATTATAGGGATGTTAGTATGTTTTACTTGTGTGTGATGTTATTGTTACGTTAAAAACAAGCCTCATAAATAATCAACCATCTCCCAGCTGTATCTCATTAACACAGTTAATATTATACATGTGAAATATAAATAATCACCTGTTCAGTTTTAGTGGTTAGGGGGATTTTTTAATAAAAAAAAATGTTTTTCAATTCCCTAAAATGAGATTATATTTTATGTTGTTGCAGAATTCATGAATACGGACAGAAGAATTGATTAATAAATGTTTAAATTATAGGCATAAAGCCTCCAAACCCAAAGCGCCACTTTTCAATGGTGCAGTTCACCAAACGGCCACTAGAGAGCGATACATACATACATACACATCAGACAAAAATGAGACTGTGGGAAAGATTCTAAATATTCATATTCTTTATATTGTTGTTATGATCATGGTGCGTCATGGTGTAATGAAAAGCTGTTTAAACACGTTTTACTAGAAACATAAACTAACAGGTTAAAGTTTCACTTAAATGTTATTTTACACAGATTATTCATAACCCAACCACCAGAATGTTTATTTACTCTTATTTAATTACTTCTGACAGAATAAAATAAAGGTCAGAACTTCCTGAAACAGTGCAGAGCCTGTGGGCGTGGTCAGTGAAGGTCTGGTTGGCGCCGCCCACGTCATTTAGAACCGTAGTATGTCCAAGGAAGGTTCCGCCTTTCTCGCCGCTAATTGGCTGGAAGGTTCTCCTACGATTGGCTACTTCATGTACAGTACACTGTCCCCCCGCTGCAGGGTTGTTTGCAGCCAGATTTTGAGGAGTTTTTTGTAAGAAAATGTGAACTCCTCACTATTAAAACAGTTTATTTTATCAAAGAACCGCTAAAAGTCAAATGTGTATTTCTAATAACTTTTGTTGCGGTTATCTGTTGGCTCTTAAGCGTTGAAAGTGAAATAGCCCTTCTAGCCAATCAGAGGCGAGAAAGGCGGGATCTTCCTTGGACATCCTACGATTCCAAATGGCGCGCCCCGCCCTCCCCGTGGCCCCGCCCCTCTCCGAGCGCTTCCTCAGGTGAGGCAGAAGGAGGGATGGGTCGGACTTGAAACATGATGGACTCCCCGTTCTTCATAGCAGGACTTTAACCGGAACCAACGCCGCTTCCAGCCGCCTGGCGTGAGGAGGTACAGCTGGGTCTCCGAGTCCTTCCGGTTCGGATCACGTTAGTCCTCAGCCCGGTTCGGCTGTTCCACCTGCGGCATTTCACCTGCTGAGCTCCAGGACTTGTTTTTATTGTTGTTGTGTTTCCTGGCGGTCGGGTTCGAGTCACCATGCCGGAACTCATCAGCGTCACCGAGTTCATTACTGAGACCAATGAAGACTACAAAGCTCCTACCACCTCCAGCTTCACCACCAGGATGTCCCACTGCAGGAACACGGTGACGGCGCTGGAGGAGGTGGGCGCGCGCGCACACACACACGCACACACACACACACACACACGTCTGTCTTTCATAGTGAGCACCATCCATTGACTTCTAGTCATATTTGTGACCCCACTGTACCTAACCCATACCTAATCCTATAACCTTAACTAGAGCTTAATTCACACCAGACCTCTAAAACCAACCGGTAACCTTCTAAAACAAAGTGAGGACCAAAAAGTGTCCTCACGGTCAAAATGGTCCTCAGTAAGTACAAGAACTTAGCCTAGTGAACTAGACCAAATTCTTGCTTTGCAAAGTTAAATAATAAATTTATTTAGTCTGGCTTGCCAGGCTAACAAGAACTCTCTCTCTCTCTCTCTCTCTCTCTCTCTCTCTCTCTCTCTCTCTCTCTCTCTCTCTCTCTCTCTCTCTCTCTCTCTCTCTCTCTCTCTCTCTCTCTCTCTCTCATACACACTCTCTCTCTCTCTCTCTCTCTCTCTCTCTCTCTCATACACTCTCTCTCTCTCTCTCTCTCTCTCTCTAACACACACAAACACACTGTCTCTCTCTCTCACACACACACTCACACACACACGCATACATTGCACAACCGCACTAACTATGATCAACAACCCTCTGGACAGGGACTCTGAGGCAGGTTAACAACCCCTTTGACCTGAACTCTTCAACTCCTTAATACATTTTTCTACTTCTGGTTCTGGTTGGAGATCAGAGGTGTCTGCAGATGAGCGAGTCTCCTCTGTTCGTGTTTCCAGGCAGCCAGCTGTGTTTTAGGCAGAAAGAGGAACAGAGAAGTCTACTTCCTCCCTCTGACAGTTGATTCTCTGTGTTGAAATTGACTCGTTTTACTTTAGCAACTTAAGCGATGATGAGGCAGTTTGTTGAAGTTCTGGGAGGAAGCAGCAGTCTCAGATGCTGCAGAGATACTTGTTCTGTTCATGGGTCAGAAACGTCTCCTCCTAGAGGAGGTCCATGGGTCCCTCAGACTGAGGGAGGTTCAGGGGCCTCAGACTGGGGGCCCTTTAGGACTGATATCACATTTAGATAATCACAGCTTTGTCTGATGGGGATGTGTTCAGCATGTCATAATCTGTGTGTGTGTGTGTGTGTGTGTGTGTGTGTGTGTGTGTGTGTGTGTGTGTGTGTGTGTGTGTGTGTGTGTGTGTGTGTGTGTGTGTGTGTGTGTGTGTGTGTGTGTGTGTGTGTGTGTGTGTGTGTGTTTTGCTTTGCCTCATTTTGCAGAACCATTTTATACATTTAGATATTTTCTGTCTTGTTCTGCTTTTTGGACGGTTTAATATTTATCTGCTGATAGTTGGTTTGCAGTTCTAATAAGTAGATGCAATGGTTCTGGTTCTGAGGGCCGAAACAGGTTTCTCAACAGCTGCTGATACCAACATCTGACTGATTTATCTCCAAGAACAAAAGTTAGATTAAGATTTTTCACAGAAATTTGGCGATTCTGATTCTGGAATTCCAAACTTCCACATGGAAGATCCGATCACCTGCTGTTGGTGCATCCGTAGGAATGTGTCCTGATGAGTTTAGGAAATTATCTGGTCAGAATAACCAGTTAGTAGTAAAACAAAAGAGGGAACACGTTTAATGTCAATATTTTGGTTTAAGCAGAGGAATGACTTCAGGGTGGTTGGAGTCACTGGTTCAGACGTTCTGTCATCCTGTTGCATGCTGGGATGTCCCCGCCTAGCAGACCTAAGGCGAAGACAGACCCAGCGGTCTGATCGAGTCCAGACACGACACAGCTCACCTTGATCCCTCTCTGGGAGACTCTTCCTGTTCTCCATTTGTCTCAGATGTTCTGGTTCTGTCTGAAGTGAGTAGAACCAGAACTCCAGAACATCCACAGACCCACCCATCTTGACTCATGATGGGGAAGGCTGTTGTTGGTTTAGTCCAGGAAACAGCAGAGAACACCTCTGCTAGTAGAAGCTAATTGTTAGCATTAGCGTCTCCACCACACAGCAGAACTCCTCCAGGCTTGTGTTATTTGTGGAGATGAAACATCTACGTTGCAGAGCAAACAGAGTCGATGGTAGAGTTGTGTTGCTGTTAGCCAGTCAGAGGAGAGATGTCCACATATCAGGAAATAATGGCAGCACGATCGGGACTGGGTAGCTTTTGAAGTGTTCGTGTTTAGGTAGCCTTGGATTTTTCTGCGCTCAACCAGTCAGTATTTTGTCCCTCATAACAAGTGGTAAATGGTAAATGGCCTGTATTTGATATAGTACCTTCTAGAGTCCTGGAACCCCCCAAGGCGCTTTACAACACAATCAGTCATTCACCCATTCACACACTGGTGGGTACAATGTAGCCACAGCTGCCCTGGGGTGCACTGACAGAGGCGAGGCTGCCGTACAGGCACCACCGGTCCCCCCGACCACCACCAACACACACACACACACACACACACACACACACACACACACACACACACACACACACACACACACACACACACACACACACACACACATACAGCACCGCTGTGTCTTGAGCTGCACGGCCATCGTTAAAGGGAGACACCAATGACTTTTCTGCGAGTCTTTTGCCCCGCCCACATGCTCTGAGATTTCCCCGTTCCTGAGAAGTGTGTGTAAACAAAACCTTCCGGTGCGGGACCCAGACCGACACCACCCAGTCCGGTCCGTGCTGGCCCAGATTTGAAAGCGCCACATGACTCCAGATTCTGCAGCCTGAAGCTTAACCGTGATGTGGCTCATTTCTAGTTCCTGAAATGGGCGCACCAGAGCTTTTTTTCTCCGGACAACGACTTAGAAGGCAGTCGTTCCTACTAGAGACCACTGCAGATGTATAAAATATGAGTAAAGTTGACCTTAAGTCAAAGAGAACTGGCAGAGCCTGGTTGTCGTCGCTACGGTTTGGTTTCTAAACTCATCTACTCTGGTCCGAGGGCTGGTTCCGTCCGAGGGTTCTGGTCTTCTGGATCTGATTCTGATTCATGTCAAAGATCAAAAATGAACAAGAAACATTTTCTGAGTTTCTTATTTACCTGAAGATCTGCTGTTGCCAACTGGCTTACCTTAAAAAAAGATCGGATTTCTGCGTCTCAGGCTGGTCGACCACCAGATCCTTCTCTTCAGAGCCTTCCTGTAAATTCACCAAGGCTCTCTTTTTGGGTTGGGCCAACCAGTACAGAAACTTTTTACCCTGTAATGTTAGCAGAAATTGTTTTTTGGACATCCCTGGTGAAGATCTGGTTCTAGCAGATGTTACTGCTCCTCCAGGCCTCCAGCTGAAACCCAGTTCCCGGTCCCTCGTGGTTCTTTCTGCTCACCGGGGTTGTGTCCAGTTCAAAGTCCAAAGGAGGAAGAGAAGTTAATGGATGGATCACAGAAGAACCAAGCTCTTGGACCTGGTTGTGACAGCTTTCCAGGTGATCCTTCTCCTCTTTGGTTCTGGAACACGCTGCATCCATTTAATCCGTCAAAGATCTGGAAAACCGATCCAAGTTTTCTGCATTTTGTCACTTTATGGATTAACAGCTTCTGGTTCTGGTGGAAACCAGATCTTCTGGTTTGGTTTAGATCCACAGAAACGTTCCGATCCGGTTATTCCTGATGAATCGTTACTCTGGATTCATGCCTGTTAGTTTTTTATGGACCCTGCAGTGATCAAATCTCACTTCCTGGTTTAAAACTTGACTTTTTAGTTTTCAGCAGGAACACCAGGAAGACGTTGATCTGTTTTCAGGAAGCGTGTTTCTGGACTTTCTGCATGTTTCTCAGACTGAGTCACTGATCCGTGACTCACCTGTGCTGCAGCTGGAGGATCGGATCAGAACCAGAGGCATGAGATGGGCATGGAGGAATGCCTCCAGCTCAAGGACAAACATGGAAGTTCAGTCATTCTCAAGTCGGGTTCAGTCTGTGAATGTCAGCTCCGACCTTTAAAACAACGTCTCTTTCATCCTTTATTTACTTTAGTTTTTATTTCCTTTTATGTTGCTTTTTGTGTTTAAATTTTATTGTATTTTTAGTCCATAAATGTTTGTTAAGCAAGTTTTGATTTTTTAAATAAGAAATTTCTTATCTTTCTAAGCCCCGCCCTCTCCCCTAGCTAGACCCTGCCCAGTGTTCTAATCAAAATCCCCGCCCACTCTCCATCCACTTGGATTAGATTCCTGTCAGTTCTTGGCATCCAGCCTGTTTAAGGTCAAAGGTCAGATGTTCTCAATTAGGATTTCCTGCTGCAGAGCAGAATTCCTGGTTCCATCAGTCACAGCGGGTGGTCCGTGACCATCTGGGAACGTTCCCACGAACGTTCTTCACTCCATTGTTCTGGCCTGAAGTCAGACAAAAATCCTCTTTAGTGTTTTTATTTCACAAACGTTCTGCTATTCTTTCACTATCTGATGCGTTTAACTCCAAGTCACACGCTTGTGTAGAAGAACAGGAGAGACTAGTCCTAACTACTCGTGCCGAGAGAAGAGACTCCTTACAGTCGTCACACGTCTGATTGTCTTTGATCGCAGCACCATCTCTGAGCTGGTGGTCGTTACTTCCTGCTCATCATGATTTCCTCCTCCGTTGTTATTGTTTATGTTTAATTTATGCTCTGAAAGTGTAAATATTGACATGGGAGCTGAGCGAAGGAGTTGATCATCTCTTCATGATTCTGAATTTTATGGCCTAATGTCGCGTTCACCGACCAGATCGGCCGATTTTAATCACCAACTGATTTTTTAGAGAATCTGTTTTCCTCTAAGCTCTTGTTATTTTACCCGTTTAGCTGTTTTCTGTCCTTTTGTCTTTGTTTATTTCCTGTTAGTTTTAGTTTCTTAATTCTTTTGTTGTTTTAGTTTTAGTTTGCTTTTATGCTCATCTCTGGTAGACTAGTGGGGTTTTACTGAAGTTGCGGTTTGCTGCAGAGGCCTTTTTCCTGCGTTGTTGCCATGGTAACCTGGGGAAAGCTTTGGACCCGAGCTGATCTGTGTCCTGTTCCTCGTCCTTTAGGTTCTGGACCAGGACAGATCGGTTCTGTCCAAGATCAAAAAGTCCGTGAAGGCCATCAACACTTCTGGTCTGGGTGAGTTTCAGCTAAGCTCCGCCCCATCCCTCATCCTCAGGTAAAGTGGAGAAACTTCCCATTTGCTGCTGTGAGGAGACACATTGTGGAGCGGGTGCGTTTGTTTCATCAGCAGCCGAGCGGTGGGTGGGTTTGTGTTCAGGCAGGTGGAGTTTCTCCTAAGCATTCCTCTCATTCTACTTCCTGTCTCGGCATGTCGAGGGAAGAGTCGCCTGCTGCCAACAGAGGAACAAAGTTCAAATGCAAACCAGCAGTCGGAGGTTTAGTCAGAACTTCTGGCTGCTGCAGAATCAGTCCAGAGGTTCTGACCAGGCTCAGCGAGTTCAGGCCGGGGGCGCACACAGAAAAGTTTGATAAGGGTGGCCAGACGGGACAAAGCGATTTTTGGGGTGGCACGCCAAACTGGTCCTTGTGGTAACTCTGGGAGAGTTCAGCCTGTGGCGATGCATTGCCATTCTTTATTAAAAAACCAAATGCATCCAAAACACTTCACTCAGATACAAGAAACAAACGTTTCAGAAAAACGGGTTTATTGAACAAGGACAGCAGATCGTACATGTAGGGCAATACAAACGTTTTTATACAGAGGCATTCTAGACGGAGGCTAACTTTCAAACCCAGACCTTGGTTGGACTTTTAGAGTTTCGGTTATTTGGACATGTCCCTGAATGCATCATTAAACCTGTCCCTGAATGCATCATTAAACCTGTCCCTGAATGCATCATTGAATCTGTCCCTGAATGCATCATTGAATGTGTCCCTGAATGCATCAGTGAATGTGTCCCTGAATGCATCAGTGAATGTGTCCCTGAATGCATCGTGTTTGCTCATTGGTCACGCTTCTGTGTTGCAGCTCATGTGGAGAACGAGGATCAGTTTGTCCAGTCGATGGAGAAGTTTGGAGACAACTTTGTGAGCAGAGAGGACCCCGAGGTCGGAGCTGCCTTCCTCAGGTTTGCTGTTTTCACCAAGGAGATGACGGCGCTCTTCAAAAACCTGGTGAGGGTCTGAAATCGGCACACGGAGCCGGTCTGAGTGGATTTTAATAACACAGCTTTCCTGCAGCTGCAGAACATGAACAACATCATCAGCTTTCCTCTGGACAGTCTGCTGAAGGGAGACCTGAAGGGAGTTAAAGGGGTTTGTGTCTTCTGTAAACCATTTAAACCCGGCTGGGAGACCAGGTCCTCCTGTCTTTACCACGCTACATATTTCCAGAGTGACTCATTGGTCAAAGTCCTGCGTGTCTTTATTGGTCATCTCCTCAGACTTTGTGACGTTTCTGCTTTTCCTTCCAGGACCTGAAGAAGTCGTTCGATAAATCCTGGAAGGATTACGAAACCAAAGTGTAAGAAAAAAAAAACTCCACAAACACAAACGAGCGCGTTGAAACAGCTGCTGGTCTTTAATGATTAGCTTCCTGGTCTCAGTCAGGAGCTCCAACGTCATCGAATAGTTTATTCTAACGTGATTTCTGCAGAGCAAAGATAGAGAAGGAGAAGAGAGAACACGCCAAGCAACACGGCATGATCCGCACGGAGATCAGCGGAGGAGAAATCGCCGAGGAGATGGAGAAGGAGCGGCGGATGTTCCAGCTCCAGATGTGCGAGGTCCGAGTTGGTTGGTTCTGTTGTTTCCTTTCTGATGAGCTCACAATCAGAAGAAAGATCTCTCCAGCTAGTCCCAAAATGACCAGAGAAGTAACTCGTCTCTGACCCGCCCCCAGATGACCTCTGACCCCTCACGAGTTTGTTTAATAACACGTTTAATATTCTGTCTCTGATAGTAAATCCGGTCGTTTCCTGTTTCCTGCAGTACCTGATCAAAGTGAACGAGATCAAAGTGAAGAAAGGCGCCGACTTCCTGCAGAACCTCATCAAGTATTTCCACGCTCAGTGCAAGTGGGTCCGACAAACGCAACGGTCCGGAATACGTTAACCTTTAAAGGAACACGCAGAAAAACTCTTCCATTTTAACACAAGGCATTTACAAGAAGACATTTTTATTGTTTTCTGTATTTCTTTAAGTTTTATTCTTTTGTTATTTTATTTTTATTTTTAAAGTCACGGTGTGTATTTTTCCTGGCGATAGGGGGCAGTAGATATCTAAATTGTTGCCAGCAAGCTGTATTTTTGTGTTGGAGTAACCCACTAAATTCCACTACCTCCGCTCCGCTCCGCCCCCGCATTCCGCAGCCGCTCGCTTCCGAACTCAATTTTTACTGGTACCCGCTCTACAACGGCTCCGCTCCGGTGCGGAGACCTGAGGGGGGCAAACAAGCATGCGCGGGATTTTCGAGATCTTGCGATACAGTCCGAGCAATAAACGCGGAAGTTAGATCCAAACACCCGTTGTGTGGGAGAAGCATCGGCATGAACTGTTTTAATCTGCCCATCATTTGTGTTGAGAGATCAGCAGTGTTTGGATCAACAAAGGGCGACTACTTTGATAGTGGAAACTGTATTTATGGCTTACTTTTGTGCATTTAAACTTCAGCCGCCATTGATAGTTGTTAAAAGTTGTTAAACCTGTGTATATGAAACAAAAGATGCCTTTTGTTTATCGATTTATTGTGAAAAACGGAAGTTGTGCTTGCTCCTTTTCCTGTTGGGCGTTTGTGATTTCTGTCCATTTACTGCGGAGGTGCTCCGGCGTCCGGCAAAAATAGGATCGATTCTATTTTTGCCGGACGCCGGAACAGAGGGTGGCGCACTGCCGGAGCACGGCTGCAGTAGTGGAATTGCTCTGATTGACTACAACGGGACCGATTTTGCTCCAGCGTTCGTGGCGGAGCGGAGAGGAGGTAGTGGAATTTGGGGGTAAGACCTTGCCAATGGATCCCCATTAGGGTCAAAAAAACCTAACCCGTAGAAGGAAACATGGCATCCAATATGGCGTCGCCCAGAGGCTAAGACCCACTCCCATGTGTTTTGGACCTAATTTTTATGGTTATATGTTAAGAAGCTGTCAACATTTTTCAACAACTGGGCATTATTTCATTCATTTTCAACAACATTTTAATGGATATTTCAACTCAACTCAACTTTATTTGTAAATTGCGCCTTACAGGCAAAAAGATGCCACCAAGGCGCTACACTGATCAAGTAAAAAACATAAAACATTAAGTCTAGAAAATAAAAACATCGTATCACAAGATACAGATAAAAAATACAGTGAGTACACAGATTGCTGTGAGTAAAACAATAAAACTAGTTAGAAAGATTAAAAGACGGATCATAAAAGTAGGTTTTTAGCCTTGCCTTAAAAACCACAACAGAGGTGGAGGCCCTTATGCTGACAGGAAGCTCGTTCCAAAGCTTAGGACCTGCCACAGCAAAGGCCCTATCACCACACGTCTTTAGGCGCGTTCTTGGGACCGAGAGGAGCATGAGGTTCTCCGAGCGGAGTGACCATGCAGGAGGGTACGGTTGAAGCAGTGACACCAAGTTAGGAGGGGCCAAACCATTTAACGTTTTAAAAACCAATAAGAGTATTTTAAAACGAATCCTTACATCAATGGGCAGCCAATGAAGGGCAGCCAGGACAGGAGTAATGTGGTCAAACTTGCGCCTGCCCTCCAAAAACCTGGTAGCAGCATTCTGCACCATTTGCAACCTGGCTATTGAGCCCTTGCTCACACTGAATAAAACAGAGTTACAGTAGTCCAATCGCACCGTAATAAAAGCATGGACTACCGGCTCAAGATCATGACGTGACAAAAATGGTTTGATCTTTGTCAACTGATGAAGGTGGGAAAAGGAGGAGATCACTCCATTGATATGGGTATCAAAACTAAGGGCGCTATCCAGTTTAACACCAAGATTAGTCACCGATGTAGTCAGCTGGCCATTAAATGTCCCACAGTTAGTTAGGGAAGAGTCACAATGTCTGCTTGGAGCAAACGATATAGCCTCTGTTTTGTGATCATTTAGGCTCAGAAAATTTTCACTCATCCAGGTCTTGATCTCCCTCAAACAGTAAGAATAGAAATAGAGAGACTACTTTCCAGAGATTAACGATAAAAACTACACACTGTCCCTTTAAAGTTTCTTTTTTTTTTTTTTTTTTTTTTTACTAAAGCGATAAAATAAGTTAATTGTCCTGTGAAAGTTTGAGCTGCAGGAACTGAATTAGAGACAAATAAAAACTAAAAGTTGATTTTCAACAGGAATAAAGACGATTCTACTTCCTCTACTTTTTAAATATTTATTCATTTATTTATTACCGTCCAGCTTCAAAGTTTTACGTTGATTTTATTTCATCCCATTTTCCTTGAGGTCATGCGCTCTAAACAGGCGTTAAATGTCTCTGTAGTTACTTCCAGGACGGGCTGAAGGCTGTGGAGAGCATGAAGCCCTCCGTGGAGAAGCTGGCTTCAGACCTGAACGCTGTGAGTCTTCCTCATTCTGGATTATTTCTGACGTTTGGTGGGAAAACTGATATTTATCCCAGTTTTCGTGATTGTTCAGATCAAACAGAGTCAGGACGGAGAGAAGAAACAGCTGAGTCAGCTCAGAGACGTCCTGAAGGCGTCGCTGCTGACGGAGCAGAAAGAGGTCAGGAGTAAAACATCTGGATGAGCTCCACTCTGACATCTGGAGGGTTAAAACCAGCTTCTTCTGTCTGCTTCCTGTCTGAAGCAAAGCGTCGTTGGTTTGATCTAAAGTGATGAAGAGAAAATTCATCCATGCTAGTTTTTATTTAAACCTTCAGTTCAGATCTTTCTGTTTTAATATTAGATTCATCCTTAATTTTGTCCTGAAAACGATTCCAGACTCTCTAAAGTGACTCAGATTTGATCCAACCTCAGGATTCCCAGGCGAAGCAGAGCTCCGGCTACAGCCTCCATCAGCTGCAGGGAAACAAGGCCTTTGGGACGGAGCGCAGCGGGGTCCTCTCCAAAAGGAGCGAGGGGTGAGTGGGTTCAGCGTCCCAGAATCCAACAGGAAAACCAACATGGCCGACGGTTTCAGGCAGGTCTAATGGTGCTCTCACCTGTGTCCTCAGGTTAAGGAAGGTGTGGCAGAAGAGGAAATGCTCCGTCAGGAACGGCTTCCTGACCATCTGCCACGGAACGGTGAGACCCGGAATCTGTCGCTCCTCTCCGAGGTTTTCCTGCATGAGATGATTTATTCCCTTTTTTTCTTTTATTTTGAAGTTTTTACTCAAAGATTCGAGTAGAATAATCTTTTATTGTTGTTTCATCCATGATCCGGTCTTGCTGGGTCTATCTGAAGCACGGGTAAAGTAAATGAAAGAGAATAAATGTGTAAAAAAGATTAAGGTGAGTCTGTAACACACCTGGTAGGAAGTGACATCATCAGGACCGAGCCAGTAGAAGAGGAGGGGACTTCCTCTTTTCTCTGCAGATTTTAGGTTTTAGGTTCAACATTAAAGTTATTTTGTCCCAGACTCATCAGCGTTTATGGTAACGAGGAGCAGGAATGGAAGCAGGCACCCCCTAGTGGCTGCCGGACCTTTAACGGGTGGTGTAGCTGGAGCTCGTTGGTTAGCTGCAGATGTTGTCTATCATGAAAATGGAGATTCCAGCTAAAACTCCTCTAAAAGGTCTTTTTACACATGAGTCTTAATTTTACAGACTTTTAAACGTGTCGTTCATGTTGGAGCTGGGAAAGCCCAGAATCCTCCCGTTGGGGTTGGGCTTGACCGTGATCTTGGAGAAGCTGTTTAACCTGTAACTTGTTTACAGGCCAACAAGCCTCCAGCCAGGCTCAACCTGCTCACCTGCCAGGTGAAGAGGAACCCTGAAGATAAGAAGAGCTTCGACCTGTTCTCACGTATGCTGCAGATCCGTCCTCCTCAAACGTCAGAGCAACTCAGTCCGCTTCTGGTTTTCACCCTCAGCTGCTTTTGTCTCCAGATGACCGAACCTACCACTTCCAGGCTGACGACGAGGCCGAGTGTCAGATGTGAGTTCCTGCTGACGTGTCCTCCAGCGCCGGGGTCCTGCTGGTTCTGATGGTGCTCTGTGTTTCAGCTGGGTGTCGGTTCTGCAGAACAGTAAGGAGGAGGCACTGAACATGGCATTCAAAGGAGACCAGGACGAAGGAGAGAACAACATCGTGCAGGAGCTGACCAAAGCCATTGTAGGAGAGGTGAAGAGGATGAGCGGCAACGACAGCTGCTGTGATTGTGAAGCTCCAGGTCGGTTCCTGGTGTCAGAATCCAGCTGAACCCAGCGTCAGATGTTCCTGATCAGACGTGTCCATGTAGAGCTTTAAAGCATTAGAACTTATTTAAAAAGTCATGATAGTTCTGCAGTGGATACCAAACATGTTTATGAAGCTCCAAATCCCTCCGACATAAAACTCTCTGTGGTTTTATCCTGGACAGTTTCAGGACCTTCCAGAATGAGTCCTTTTAGTGCTCTGTCCCTTTAAGCAAACAAGCTACTGCTGGCCATGCCCACCCATTATCTGATTGGCTGCTATGAGTTGAGGAGCTCAAATATCCAAGAGGAGCTTAGAGTAGAGCCGCTGCTCCTCCAGCCTGGAGAGGAGAGGGGGGTATTTCTCTAATGTCCCGGGTTGGGGCATCACAAACAGGGATTTCAGGTGGATAATTCCTGGAATAAAACACTGAGAGAAAACGGATGAATGGGATTGTTTCATGTTTGTCGTGTTTCTAGGGTCAGTAGAGACCAACGTGGCAGCAACCCTTTAACGGCTTCAGCAGGACGTTTCTCTGCTGAAGCTGCAGGATGGAAACGGACCTTTGGTTCTGTTAAAGACGTCTGGTTTGGTTTCTCCGTCATGAAAATGTCCTCCCTCCAGGTCCAACATGGCTGTCCACCAACCTTGGGATTCTGATCTGCATCGAGTGTTCTGGGATCCACAGGGAGATGGGGGTCCATTACTCCAGGATCCAGAGTCTGGACCTGGATGTTCTGGGAACTTCCGAGCTGCTGGTGAGAAAAACATTTAAACTTCTTCAACTTTTAATCGTTTTTGGTCTTTTGCTTCACTTTTATATTTTGTAGAACTTTTTTTTAACAATTATTAATTTTTCATTAACATTTAAAAAGTTTCGGCTGTAGATGGAGATTAAAGACAAACACGTGGTGATCAGCAGGGAACCCTGACCCGGAACAAGGGTTATGTTCATGTCCCTGTTGTGTTTTCTTCCTCTTCTTCAGTTGGCGAAGAATGTCGGGAACGCCAACTTCAATGAGATCATGGAGGCGGGTCTGTCGGATACAGGTGTGACCAAACCGGACCCGAGCAGCGACATGTAGGTGACGATGGGAGCGAGCTGGCCTCGATAGGGAGGACAGGAAGTCTCTGATATCTGATGGTCTTCCAGGCAGATCAGGAAGGATTTCATCTTGGCCAAGTACACGGAGAAGCGCTACGCCGAGCAGCTGTGCTCCAACGACGAGGCCAAACTGCAGGTTCTGTACCGGGCCGTGAGGAACCGGGACATCCTGTCTCTTATCCAGGTCTACGCTGAGGGGGCGGACCTGATGGCGGTGGTCCCGGCTCCCTACGAACACGTAGGAGAACACAAACGAGATCAGACCTTTCCTTTTCCTGGTTGAACGTCTGAGTTTCTCTGTAGTAAACTTTAGATTTAGCGGAATGTTCAGATAAATGAACCTTTTTGTGTCAAAAACTAAAACTTTAAGGAATTCAGCTGACTTCAAAAATATTGTATTAATAGTTTGATTATTTTGTTTATTAATTTAATCTTTTTGGCCTGGTTTTCCACAATAACTTTGTTTTTATTCCATCGTCTCAAAATGTTTTTCCTAAAACTGAAAAGATAAAAATCTGACTGTAAATAATAAAAAATGTTTAACTGTGTTGAAAAGGACAGTTTTAGTTTTCTGAAGGGATCAGTCAGGCGGACTCATTCATTTGTTCGCTGGCGAGGGATAGCCACAGCGGCCATCTTGAAGAGGACTCGTACGTGAATCAGCTGTAAACAAACATCCAGGTGTTCAGCAGCTGTTTAGCTAATAAACACAAACAGGCAAAAACCTTTAATTATCATTCAATGTAGACTTAATTATTTCCTCTTTTAAATTAAAATCTTTTTATTAAAAAAATAATAGATTTTGTTACATTTGCAGCAGCAACACCTGAGATTTGTTCTGTGTTACATATTCAGTTAATCAGGATTTATTCTAGTAAACAAGTCATTAATATATAGGTCGTTCTCTCAAAATATCTGACCACGCTGTGTGGCAATTACTGTGTGTGTGTGTGTGTGTGTGTGTGTGTGTGTGTGTGTGTGTGTGTGTGTGTGTGTGTGTGTGTGTGTGTGTGTGTGTGTGTGTGTGTGTGTGTGTGTGTGTGTGTGTGTGTGTGTGTGTGTGTTTTCTCGTTCCTGTCAGGAACCTGGGGAGACGGTGCTCCACCTGGCGGTCTGGATGGTTGACAGGAATTCTCTGCACATTGTAGACTTCCTGGCTCAGAACAGGTAACATCCCCAATTAGCCTGTTTCCATGGTTTCTGATCACTAGATGTGGTATAGGTGTATGTGCAGGTTGCATAGTTGGGACTGTGTGTGTGTGTGTTTCAGCGCTAACCTGGACAAGCAGACAAGCAGAGGAAGCACGGCGCTGCATTACTGCTGCCTAACCAACAACAGCGAGTGTCTGAAGCTGCTCCTGAGGGGAAAAGCTTCAGTTTCCATCAGTAAGAGACTTAAACTGGTTTAGATGCAGCTACTCGTGCACATATTGTTCACACATGAACGTTTCACCAGTAAATTTAAGTTTCTTTACGTTCAAAAATCTGTTGAATCATCATAGGGAGACTAGGTCACTTCCACATCACGGGTTCCTGGAAGAACGAATCAATGAATGCACACAAGTCAACGGGGCTAATAATGCAATTTTCTAACCTGCTCTGCCCTGGATCACATGTGTTGTATTGCAGTTTAAATGAAAAGTCACGTTGGTGTTTCAACCACGCCATTAACGTATTTTTAGATTTATCAGCTTGTAAAAGTTCGTAATTAGCAGGAATACACACCAGACGTCGGTAGTACATCACATATGTGACGTCACACAGAATCTCCTCCACCTAGCGTAGCTGCTACTTACCACATGACCAGACTAAAGTTGTTCCTGGACTAAAGTTGTCCCCGAAGTAAAGTTGTCCCCGGACTAAAGTTTTCCCCAGACTAAAGGACTAAAGTTGTCCCTGGACTAAAGTTGTCCTCGGACTAAAGTTGTCCCTGGATGAAAGTTGTCCTCGGACAAAAGTTGTCCCTGGACTAAAGTTGTCCCCGGACTAAAAGACTAAAGTTGTCGTCAGACTAAAGGATTAAAGTTTGTCCCTGGTCTAAAGTTGTCCCCGGACTAAAGGACTAAAGCTGTCCCTGGATTAAAGTTGTCCTTGAACTAAAGTTGTTCAAGGACTAAAGTTGTCCCCGGTGTAAAGTTGTCCCCGGACTAAAGTTGTCCTCGGACTAAAGGACTAAAGTTGTCCCTGGATTAAAGTTGTCCCCGGACTAATGTTGTCTCTGGACTAAAGTTGTCCCCAGACTAAAGAACAAAAGTTGTCCTCGGACTAACATTGTCCCCGAACTAAAGTTGTCCCTGGACTAAAGTTATCCCCAGACTAGAGTTTTCCCCGGACTAAAGGACTAAAGGTGTCCTCGGACTAAAGGACTAAAGTTGTCCCTGGATTAAAGTTGTTCCCGGACTAAAGTTGTCCCTGGACTAAAGTTGTCCCCAGACTAAAATTGTCCCCAGACTAAAGAACAAACGTTGTCCTCGGACTAAAGTTGTCCCTGGATTAAAGTTGTCCTTGGACTAAAGTTGTTCCCGGTCTAAAGTTGTCCCCGAAGTAAAGTTGTCCCCGACTAAAGTTGTCCGCGAAGTAAAGTTGTCCCCGGACTAAAGTTGTTCCCCTGACGAAAGTTGTCCTCGGACTAAAGTTATCCCTGGATGAAAGTTGTCCCTGAACTAAAGTTGTCCCTGGACAAAAGTTGTCCCTGAACTAAAGTTGTCCCCGGACTAAAAGACTGAAGTTGTCCTTGGTCTAAAGGACTGAAGTTGTCCCGGGACTAAAAGACTGAAGTTGTCCTTGGTCTAAAGGACTGAAGTTGTCCTTGGTCTAAAGGACTGAAGTTGTCCCTGGACTAAAGTTGTCCTTGGACTGAAGTTGTCCTCGGACTAAAGTTGCCCCTGGATGAAAGTTGTCCTCTGACTAAAGTTGTCCTCGGACTCAAGTTGTCCCCAGACTCAAGTTGTCCCCAGACTCAAGTTGTCCCCGGACTAAAGTTGTCCCTGAACTGAAGTTGTCCTTGGACTAAAGTTGTCCTTGGACTAAAGTTGTCCTTGGACTAAAGTTGTCCTTGGACTGAAGTTGTCCCTGGATTAAAGTTGTCCTAGGACTAAAGTAATTCCCCGACTAAAGTTGTCCCCGAAGTAAAGTTGTCCCCGGACTAAAGTTGTCCCCGTACTAAAGGACTAAAGTTGTTCCCGGACTAAAGGACTAAAGTTGTCCCCGGACTAAAGCTGAAACACTTTGAATGTTTAAAGGTTATATTTTTGTCCACAGCAAACGAAGCAGGAGAAACTGCTCTGGACATCGCTCGGCGTCTGCAGCACACTCAGTGTGAGGAACTGGTGAGTTACCTGTAGTAACGTGGACACGTACTGGACTGGGACTTTGTCCTGTTCTTTTTGTTTGTGTAAATAAAGTTGTGTCTGCGTTGCAGCTGACTCAGGCTCAGACGGGGAAGTTTAATGTCCATGTCCACGTGGAGTATGAGTGGCGTCTCCAGAATGAGGACTTGGATGAGAGCGAGGATGAGATGGAGGACAAGGTTGGCCAGTTGGACCTGACAGAGACAATCAGTGTTTAGATTCCAGATGTTTACGTGTGAACTGTGTGCAGCCTATCCCGATCCGGCGTGAGGAGCGTCCAGTCAGCTGCTTCGTGCCGATGCAGCCCAACCTGGCAGCTCTGGCCCGAGATGCCGCCCTCGTTGTGAGGGACAAGCAGAGACCTGCGGCTCCCAGCACCATCATCTCCAATGAGACGTATGGAACTATGCTGGACTTGAACCTCCCACCACCAGGACCAACCCCCCCGCTGCCCCCCAGATTTCAACAGAAGGGTCAGACATGGAGCCAGCATGAGTTTCCAGAGGTCCGCCTCCTGTTTATCTGTAGTTCTGTCTCCTTCCAGGTGTTGGTAAACCTCCTGCTATGGAGTCAGTAGGAAGACAGCGTTCCTCCTCGGATCCATCCAGCTCTCCTGAGAGGAACACCTCCCTGTATGGTGAGCGTCTCCCTGGTTCTGTTCCCTCTCCAGAACCACTTTTACTGTGTGGTTGAATAAAGGTAGCTTGATGTGGTTAATGTATTAAAGCCCTGTGTTTTCTTTGACCTGCATTCATATGTAAATTATACGATGTAATGGCCGCTGAGAAAAGGGTTGTTTTGAGTAACACAGGTTTAACGCATCAGAGGCTAAGACACACCTTCTTAAATCTGCATGTCCCAACCCACTTCAAGGTCAGCAATATGTAAACGTTGGCCATGGAAATGCTAACCACATTACACTAGCCCGAGCTACTGCTAACAGTAGCCCAAGTTGCTGCTAGTGCTAGCCCGAGCTACCGCTAACACTAGCCCAAGTTGCTGCTAGTGCTAGCCTGAGCTACTACTAACACTAGCCCAAGCTACTGCTAATGCTAGCATGAGCTACTACTAACACTAGCCCAAGTCACTGCTTAGACTAGCTCGAGCTACTACTAACACTAGCTCAAGCTACTGCTAATGTTAGCATGAGTTACTGCTAACACTAGCCTGAGCTACTGCTAACACTAGCTCAAGCTAATGCTAATGCTAGCATGAGCTACTACGAACACTAGTCCAAGTTACTGCTAACACTAGCCTGAAATACTGCTAACACTAGCTCAAGCTAATGCCAATGCTAGCATGAGCTACTGCTAACACTAGCCCGAGCTACTACTAACACTAGCTCAAGCTACTGCTAATGTTAGCATGAGCTACTGCTAACACTAACCCGAGCTACTGCTAACAGTAGCCCAAGTTGCTGCCAGTGCTAGTCCGAGCTACTGCTAACACTTTATATAGCCCCAAATCACGACAAGAGTCATCTCAAGGCACTTCACATAATAAACATTCCAATTCAGGTCAGTTTCTTAAGCCAATCAGAAAAAAAAATGTTTCCTATATAAGGAACCCAGCAAATTGCATCAAGTCACTGACTAGTGTCAGTGACTTTCACTTTCAAAGTCACTGACTAGTTTCAGTGACTTTACAGCAATCCTCATACTTGCCCCGGGTTTCCACGGGAGCCGTCAGCAGCACGTTACTGCAGCAGCACGTCTAGCTGCTGCTTGGCCCTTCCCACGAGACGCGAAGCAGCAGGGGAGCAGCTGTCACCAACCGAGCACGAAGTCACACGAGTGACTTCGTCAGTAAACACAACAACAAGCAGGAGAAAATTACAACATGGTTTGTGTTTTATGTTCTGTCCGTTTTATAATCGCCAATACGGACCTGAAAAACAAAGGAGACCGCTAGCTATGTGATAACTTCTCACGGGGACGCACAGTTAGTAACGTTTTTTAAAAGTAAAGCAACCGGAAGGCAGTACGTTCTTTATTCTGAAAATCTCGAGAGCTTCTCTCCATTTCCGCGTCCGATTTCCTGTCTTTCCTTCCCCAAAAATGTCGAAATTGACCCATTTCAGAGGCGTCGCGCGTAGAAAATAGAACCGGCGCGTAAAGGCCGCGACATGCTGCTCCTAAGACGCGGCCGACTCATGCTGCTGACGGCTCCAGTGGAAAAGGTTCTGTTGACCACAGCAGTTCCTATCAGCAGCTATGACGTGCTGCTGCAGTAACGTGCTGCTGACGGCTCCTGTGGAAAGCCGGGGTTAGCAAGCATATAGCGACAGTGGAGAGGAAAACTCCCTTTTAACAGGAAGAAACCTCCAGAGGATCATGGCTCAGTATAAGCAGCCATCCGCCACGACTCACTGGGGATTGAGAAGACAGAGCACACACACACACACACACACACACACACACACACACACACACACACACACAATGTGTCTATGGTTACATTGTGATTGCTTAGTAAATATTCTATTTGGCGAGAGATAAACTTTATTGTATTTATCCAAGTCAGGGTATCTGCAGGTTTAAGGGAGCCAAATTTAAGACTTTTTAAGACCTTTTTAAGGCCACTTGGACCAAATTTAAGCTACTTTTTTAAATTAAATTTAAGCTTTAATTTCCAGCTATTGTCTGGAATCGGTGCTAACCACGTCGCGAACGTGGGTTTAGCCATCCGGTTACCATTAATGTTTCACTTACCCATGGTGCAAACTCCCACTAGCGTGCTAATCTAAAAATGGCCGCCTTTCACAACCAACCGAATGTGTACGGTTCCGCTTATGCCAATATTGTACACAAAAAATGCTGAACACTAACTAGAAATTCACGAAAATTTTATAGAAATAAAAGAATCTTGTTTATTGGGTCTTTGGTAATTTAAGACCTTTGGAAACTCTAAGGATTATTTGTAATTTTTAAGGATTTTTAAGGCCTTAAATTTGGAAAAGCAAATTCAAGACTTTTTAAGACTTTTTAAGGACCTGCAGATACCCTGCTAGTGAATCTATGATTAAACTGGTAAATTAGCAGTAGCACATCCAACGTCAAGGAAAGCAAAAAGTTATTATCAGGAGAGGGAGAAAATTTAAGTGGTTAGCAGCAGTGTTGCAGACGATGACCCCCTCCATGAGGCCACCACAGCTCAGCAGAACATCATTGTAGCTTCTTCTGGGGAGAAAAACACTTAGAGAAAAAATAAAGTTAACTGCTGAAATAGCAGGAAATAATACAGTTAAAGAGCAAGTCACCCCCTACCAGATTCTTACTCAACTCCCACTTCATGTTTGAAAAATGCAACAAATGCTGTTGCCTCGCAGACCGAGAGGGCAGAGCCGCTAACAAATACGCACACACACAGGCTCACAATGGCATTGTGACATCATAATGTACCAGTTTACATCATAGCATACCTCTTAGCCAATAGTGATGGCAGATTTAAATTCCAATGCAGTGCTGAGTTTTTACCTGACAATGACACAATTCAATTCAATTTTATTTATATAGCGCCAAATCACAAGAGTCATCTCAAGGCACGTCACATAATAAACATTCCACAACACTGACAGTTTTAGGCTGAATATTTAAATATTAACTAAGATGCACTGAAGTACCAAATTATTGACGACACGTGTCTGCAGCACAATTAGACACACATTTATATAGTTTATCAGCAAAAAAAAAGTTGATTTGGGGGTGACTAAAGAGCAGATTGCAGAAGAAAGTAGTAGAGTGTGAAAAGTGGTCAGTGCATCCTCCAGCAGTCTAAGCCTATAGCAGCATAACTACAGAGATAACTCTGGATAACCTAGCCTTTTTAGATGGAGGCATGTTGGAGGCAGTGCAAGGGAGAGCCGTCTTTACCGACTGTACACTCCACCTCCCTGTACTCCCCCACTTGTCCAGATCTAGCCTAACATCAGATTTTAACCATAGGCCCTATCAAATAAAAATGTTTTAAGCCTAGTCTTAAAAGTAGACAAGGTGTCTGCCTCACAGACTAACCCCGGCTTTCCACAGCAGCCGTCAGCAGCACGTTACTGCAGCAGCACGTCATAGCTGCTGATAGGACCCGCTGTGGTCAACAGAACCTTTTCCACTGGAGCCATCAGCAGCCGTCAGCAGCGCTAGTCGGTCGCATCTCAGGAGCAGCATGTCGCGGCCTTTACGCGCTGGTTCTATTTTCTACGCGCGACGCCTCTGAAACGGGTCAAGTTTGACATTTTTGGGGAAGGAAAGACAGGAAATTGGACGCGGAAATGGAGAGACGCTACCGAGATTTTCAGAATAAAGAACGTACTGCCTTCCGGTTGCTTTACTTTTAAAAAGGGTTACTAACTGTGCGTCCCCGTGAGAAGTTATCACCTAGCTAGCGGTCTCCTTTGTTTTTCAGGTCCGTATTGGCGATTATAAAACGGACAGAACATAAAACACAAACCATGTTGTAGTTTTCTCCTGCTTGTTGTTGTGTTTACTGACAAAGTCACTCGTGTGACTTCGTGCTCTGTCGGTGACAGCTGCTCCCCTGCTGCTTCGCGTCTCGTGGGAAGGGCCAAGCAGCAGCTTACGCGAGCAAGACGTGCTGCTGCAGTAACGTGCTGCTGACGGCTCCCGTGGAAACCCGGGGTAAGGCTGGGAGCTGGTTCCACAGGAGAGGAGCCTGCTGACTAAAAGATCTGCCTCCCATCCTAATTTTAGATATTCTGGGAACCACCAGTAAACCTGCAGTCTGAGAGCGAAGTGTTTGGTTAGGAACGTATGGAACAATCAGATCACTGATGTATGATGGAGCTTGATTATTAAGAGCTTTATATGTGAGAAGAAGGATCTTTGTCATGGTCTGCGTCTGCGTCTTCCCCATGTGTCTCCTGATGTTCTCCATCCCTCTCTAGCTTCCCCTTATGTGTCTCATAGTGCCCTCATGTGTCCTTTGTCTGCATCTCATTTATGTGTCTTCTGTTTGTAGCCCTTCAGATCATTCCCCTCAGGTCCGGTGTTCATTCAGTCATCCCCAGCCCCTCCAGTTGTAGCTCCAGCCTCTTTGTCCCCAGCTTGGTGTGTGTGTGTGTGTCATTTCCCAGCTCAGTGTGTGTGTGTGTGTGTGTGTGTGTGCGCGCGCGCGTGTGCATGCGTGTGTGCGTGCGTGTCAATTCCCCAGCTCAGTGTGTGTGTGTGTGTGTGTGTGTGTGTGTGTGTGTGTGTGTGTGTGTGTGTGTGTGTGTGTGTGTGTGTGTGTGTGTGTGTGTGTGTGTGTGTGTGTGTGTGTGTGTGTGTGTGTGTGTGTGTGTGTGTGTGTGTGTGTGTGTGTGTGTGTGTGAGAGAGTCCTTCCTTCAGTCTTTTAGGTTTAGTTAGATCCATGTTTTATAGGTTTATGTTTATCTGCCCTCCTGCCAAGCTCTTTCCCTGCCCATTTAGTTAATTGATTCCACCAGTTTCTCCTCAGCTCTCACTCCTCACACCTGTCACATGTTTCCCTGATTACCTCCCTCTGTGTTTATAAGACTTGTCTTGTCACTCTGTGGTTGTTGGTTCATTGTCTTGGTCAGCGTTGTTTTGTCTCCAGTCTCCAGTCTCCAGTCTCTAGTCTTTAGTCTCTAGTCTCTTGTCTTTAGGTCTCTGCTCAGAAGGTGAGCTTTTGGCTTTTTGATCTGAGTTTAGTTATTAGGTTTTGCCTTCACCCCTTGGATATTTGGTTCTCTTCCTAAATAAAGAATTTTTACTTTTCAACCGCTCCTGCCTGTGTGTTCTGGATTTACTGCACCTTGGGTCCAAACCTCCTGCTCTCGGCGTGACAATCTTAAAATCTATTCTGAATTTAACAGGTAGCCAATGGAGGGCAGCTAAGACAGGAGAGATATGATCTCTCTTTTTAATTCTTATCAGAACTCTAGCTGCAGCATTTTGGACAAGCTGAAGACTTTTAACTACATTCTGTGGACTTTCCGAGAGTAATGAATTACAGTAATCCAGTCTTGATGTAATAAATGCATGAACTAGTTTTTCAGCATCACTCCTGGAAAGGATGCTTCTAATCTTAGCAATATTCCGAAGGTGGAAAAAGGAAATCCTACAAACCTGATTAATCTGGGATTTGAATGACATGTCCTGGTCAAAGATAACACTAAGGTTCCTTACTTTGTTCTCTGAGACTAATTTAATGCCATTCAGGTCAGGTGATTGACTAAGCAATTTCCTTTTCTGGATTTCTGGTCCAAAGATGAGAAATTCCGTCTTGTCTTGATTTAAAAGCAAAAAGTTTAGAGTCATCCAATTTTTTATGTCCTCAAGACAAGCCTGTAATCTGCCTAACCGATTAGGTTCATCAGGGTTAATGGATAAATATAACTGAGTATTGTCAGCATAACAGTGAAAGTTTATTCCATGCTGTCTAATGATTTTACCAATTGGGAGCATATATATAGTAAAAAGAATTGATCCAAGCACTGAACTCTGTGGTACTCCACAAGTAACCCTGGAGTATGAAGATTTGTCATGTACATTTACAAAATGAAATCTGTCAGACAGGTGGGATTTAAACCAGCCTAGTGCTGTTCCTTTGATCCCTACAACATGTTCAAGCCTTTCAACAAGAACATTGTGATCTACTGTGTCAAAAGCAGCACTGAGATCTAACAAGACTGAACAGACACAAAATTCTTATCTGAGGCCATGAGAATACATTTGTAACTCTCACTAATGCAGTTTCAGTGCTGTGATACTCTATACAAGTTACTGCTAACACTAGCCCGAGCTATTACTAACACTAACTCAAGCTACTGCTAATGTTGGCATGAGCTACTGCTAACACTAACCCGAGCTACTGCTAACACTAATCCAAGTTGCTGCTAGTGCTAGCCTGAGATACTACTAACACTAGCCCAAGATACTGATAATGCTAACATGAGCTATTGCTAATACTAGTCCAAGTTCTGCTAATGCTAGCATGAGCTAGAGCTTACCAGAGCTACAGCTAATGTGTTTGTTGGACAAGAAGAAAACAACAAAGAGGAATGTCGGAGCACATGTGTAACGTTTCAGGATGTACAGGGAATATCAGACTTTGACTGAATCCCAGATAGGTCCATAGTTGCTTATTCGGTTATCCAGATATGGCTGTACAGGGTTTCTAACTTTCGGCAGCATCATAGAGTCATGAAGGTAAACCAGCCAATCATCACACAGCCTATTTAATATTCAAATCCTGGCTGAGTGGGCAGAGGAAACCAGTCTTTCCGCTGTGGGCCTTATTATGGGCTTTCGTTTGGACATTTATCAGGGCTTCTTGGGCATTTTGGGCTCAGAGATCAGTTTGTTCTAGAATATTTTTACAAAGAAGTTTTATAGAAACTGTGTTCTGTTCCTTTCCCAGTGCTGCCAGAGGTTGCTCCTCCTCCTCCCCCTCCCCCTCCTCTTCCTCCTTCAGCCAACAAAAAGTCCAACACATGGGAAAAGAAGACGATGTCAGCCAGAAACACCCCACTACCTCCTATTCCTCCCCCACCAGGTCCTGTCCTATCAGGTCCTCCAATCACATCCCCGCCTCATTACAAAGCTCTGCCCCCTCCCCCACCTGCGTCAAGCCAACAGATCAGTAAACTACCAGGACCATTAGGAACACCAGGGCCCCCTAGACCCTCAGGACCCTCACCACTACCATCTGGACCACCAGGACCACCTAGACCCTCAGGACCCTCTGGACCATCAGGATCAATAGGACCACCTGGACCCCCAAGACCCACAGGACCCCCAGGACCGTCGATACCATCAGGATCGCTAGGACCTATCCTACCTAGATCCCCCGGGTACGTGGTGAATTGGACCATTTGATACTGGTTTGTAGTAACCTGGAGCATGTAATGATTTAAATTACATGTTATTTAATAAGCCATAAGGCAAAAGATTCCATAGCAAATATGAAATCAACCTTATGGATCTGTGAGGTTATTTTAAACCAGAAGACTGGAACTTTTTATTGCAGGGATTAGATAACAGCTTCGTATTCACTCGGAGACAACAGAAGAGAGAGAGTCGAGTTTAAATGTTTAAAAATGTCTTACTAAACAAATTAACTAGACTAACTTTAACACTAAATGTATGGTGTAACTAAGGTGAATGAGATGGAGAATGGTGTGATGTGGAATGTTGCTCAGAACCAGCAAATCCAAAGAAGCGATTAGTTCTGATGGGAACTGAAGGTGATGTCTTCACGTTAAGCTTTGGTTAGGAGATTCATAAACACATTCAACGCCATTTCGTCTGCCTACATACCCTGGTGGAAGTCCCCGTTAGATCAGGAATGTCGAGGTCCAGCTTGACCTTCTCTGGAACCGAAGCCGGTAGGAAAATCAGTGGTTGCCAACCAGATCAGTCTTTGAGATACTTCCGGGTCACAACGGTTTTGTTGGCATCTAGTGCGACCCAAACCTGGGTCGTGATGGTTCAGCTTTAATTCTGAAAGGAACCGTTGCAGCAGTTGGAACAGCAACAGATTTTATCCAGCTTGTCGTTGGTTCTTTTGGCTGAAGAGGAAAGTTACGGATTGGCCACTCCGACAACTTCTCTAGAACGCTTTGAACTGGCGTTAAAGATGACGTGGGCATAGTTTTATACTTCGGATGTTTTGGTTTATGGTCGAATGAAAAGGTGACAGATTTACCAAACACCATCAAAACCACGCCTCTGTCAGATCTGTCAGATTCTGATTGGATCAGTGAATGCAATGTGTCATGTCTTTTAACGCTACGTGAGATCAGTCCTAGTGGAACATTTAAAGTCATATTACTTTTATATTCTATAGGATTATAATAAAGTAATTCATATTTTGATTTCACAGATTGGTCACATATTATTTATTGACTAACACTTTGTTTGATTAGCTTTATTAAAATAGAGTTCTTTGATTTGTTAAAAGGAGAGAGTCCATTCTTCAATCCTCTCTTGAGCTGGAAAGGAGCAGTTTATAACAAATACATGAGACCTTTGAGGCCATATCTCATGCAGACTAGTTCTGTGTCAGAGGAGAGGGGGAAAATGACTTTAGGTGGAAATCAGTCATTTCATACCGTTACAAGCACTAGACTAGTCAGTTCTAGTCTAGAACTGACTAGATTAGGAAGTGATCTCTGTTTTTATTAACTGTTGTTGACAAATTTAGATAAATCATTAATAGTGATAATGTTATGATATGACTGTGTTTATACTTATAGGTTAATTAGTAATTCAACCATTACTGATTTGGTCATTTTAACCCACAATGTAAAGTACAGCACACATTATTAAACACTGTGGATTTAAACATATTGCTCATTGAACAGAATGTGATTATATGAAGTTTGGAAGTTGTTTATGTCGGGGAAGACAGACTTTATTAAGATCGTAAAAGATAGGAAGTCCTCATGACAGGCGCAGGATTAGTTAAGAACGTTGGAGCAAGTTAATCTTTTCAGATCGGCACCTCGGTGTCAGACTGACCTGTAAGTTAAACTTAACTTCTGGTCATTTCTGATGACACACTTGGCCTTTTGGTACGCTACAGTGTCCTTGGAGCTGGTCTTTATCCGCAGGTACCAGAGATGGGTTCTATTGGATTGGGTTTATGTTTCAGCGTCAGACCAGATCAGAACGGGTTGATTCTGGACCGAACAGGTTGACTTTCTTTTTGCTGATTTCAGAGCCGTAAAACTTCCTCCTCAAAGACCTCCAGTCAGAACCGGATCCATCACTAAACCAGGTAAGAACTCACAATCACAGATCCGAGTTGGTGCCAGATGTTGGTCCAAGAACCACGTGGGGCACCCAGGATCCTCCAGGTGGTTCTTAGAAGAACTTCATATAAATCACAATCTGAACTAAGTGGAAAATTGTGACCTTGGGTCCTTAAGTCCCGGGTCCTCCCAGAGCCCTGCTTTCAGTTAAACATCTCCAGAACACCAGAATGAACTAGCTCTACTTCCTTCTTTGGATGCACCGAAGCAACAACTGAGTTTCTTCCTCTGTCCCAAAATAAAACCGATTTTATTTTTTTGCAGATTTTCCATCCCAGTCCCCTAAAAGTCCAGCTCCTTCCACTAAACCCAGATCAGTCTTCTCGGTGAGTCCACAGACCTCCCAGCTCCTTCAGCAGTGGCCAGTGAGCCTCAGAGTGAATGGTTGTGTTTGCAGAAGCAGAAGCCTCAGAGGGTGAAGGCCATCTACGACTGCTCTGCCGATAATCCAGATGAGCTGACCTTCAAGGAGGGGGAGGTAATTGTGGTGGAGGGAGAGGAGGACAGCGATTGGTGGGTGAGTGTCCAGCGTCCTCAGCACAGGAAACATTACGTCCCCCGTCTCCTCCAGGAGCTGAAAGTCCCACCAGAGGATCCCGGTCTAGTGTGGTCTCTGAGACTTGGCTGTTGTTTGCCTTTTGTCTGAATGAAGCGTGGATCCTCTGTGTTTCAGATTGGGCACGTCGAAGGAGATCCGAGCAGAAAAGGAGCGTTTCCCATCACCTTTGTCCACTTCATCTCAGAGTGACTGTTTTCATCCTGGTCCTTCAAAAACACAAGCTGGAACATGTGGAACAGACCCTGGATCAGCTGGGAGACTCCACGTGGGACGTCCCACGAAGTTTGCTCCAGCTGATGAAGACAAGAGCAGGAGGACCGTTTCTGCCTAACCGAGCTTCGTGACTTTAGAAAGATTTATTTTTATCCAGCTGAACTTTGGAGTTTTGTTTTAACTAAGCAGGTTTTAAATAAATAAGACTTTCACTGTGTGTGTGTGTGTGTGTGTGTGTGTGTGTGTGTGTGTGTGTGTGTGTGTGTGTGTGTGTGTGTGTGTGTGTGTGTGTGTGTGTGTGTGTGTGTGTGTGTGTGTGTGTGTGTGTGTGTGTGTGTGTGTGTGTGTGTGTGTGTGTGTGTGTGTGTGTGTGTGTGTGTGTGTGTGTGTGTGTGTGTGTGTGTGTGTGTGTGTGAGAGAGAGAGAGAGAGAGAATGCGGGGACCTCTAGAGGAAGAGAGGAGGAATGACACGAGCAAAATTTTCAAAGTCTTGATTTAATCTCGACTTTATGGTTTTTTTATTTAATTGAAGAAACCAGCCACTAAGGTTTGTGTCCACTCAATTTGTTGTTGGAGACCCGCCCTGGAACCAGTGATCCAAACCTGCACCGCGGGTCAGAAGAGCTGTTGGGATCAGAACCAGCTTCACGTTTCAGGTCAAATTAAAAAGTGTATGTATTGATATCATTTTTGTCTTCAGGGAAAAGTGTAGAATAAAACATGCAACCCTGTTAGATGTGATAGTTTTATCTCTATTAAAACACTGATGAGGAACTGACTCGTGTTTTCAGTGCGCTGCTCTTTTCTTTCCCCCTCTTTCCTAATTTATTTCTTCTAATGAGGTTTCTGCTGGGTTTGATCCTAAAGCAGTCTTCTGTGAGTTCTTTGGTGTTCCACTGATATTTAGATGTTTAACCACTTATTTTATAAGTGGTGAATTGTTTAGATATTTACGAAGCACCTGAACTTAACAGATCGTTTGTTTTTAGCAGCATGTGACAGAGACGGTTAGTTCCTGTTTCTTTTGTGGAATTTTTAAAAATGTCAAAACACAGTTTGACAACCATAACAGTTACAGAACTCCCAAAGAGTTCGAATCTGCATATTTATCTTTATCTTTGATGTTCAGCTCTTTAAAAAGCAGAAGATGAGCAGAACAAACCCAAGAAAACCCCTAAAGCTCACCATCCTCCAGCTGATGGAGTCTCACATCTAGAGACGTTAAATGTGTCCTGAAAATTAGAAGCAGTGAAATTCTCCAGACTTTTATTATAAACATGTTTATTCACTTGAGGCAGTAAGAGTTAAAATAAGTTAATTAAAAGGAAAAAATGGGATAATGTTTCACTTTTATTTCAATCATTTGCTTTCGTCTTTTGTGTTTAGGTCAGAGAGACAAAGTGGTTGATCTGAGGTCATAATTTACAGATTTCAGTCCTGGTGGAAGTCTGAGGTTATAAACCACCAAATAGTTCCCAAGCACAGCCACAGCTGCAGCTCACCACTCCCCAGGGGCGTAAGTCAGGTGCAGTGATGTAATAATGACTGGTGTGTGATAATGACTAAAGGGACTTCAACAAATTTTTATCAAGGAGACACCAAAATCATAGGAGCAGAAAGAAAATTCTTCTGTTCTTTTATAAGAAAATGTATTTTGACTTTAAATAACTGTAACTCTCTTTTGTGATTTTAGTTATGTTACTTGTTTGTATTTTTAAATCAGGTCCTCGAAGTGGTAAGCAAAGTAAAATACTTGGGGCACATTTTAAGAAGTGACCTCTGTGATGACGAGGACATTAAGAGGCAATGCGGTAAGCTATACATGCAGGCTAACACTCTGGCACGTAACTTTGGCATGTGCTCAGATCCTGTTAAAGTGTCCCTCTTTCGTTCCTTTTGTATTACTTTCTATACAGCCCACTTGTGGTGCAACTATAGTAAGGTAGTAATGAAGAAGCTTCAAGTGGCTTATCAGGATGCTTTTAGAATCCTCATGAAGCTCCCTAGATGGACTTCGGCAAGTCACATGTTTGTTCTGAGTAACATCCCTACTTTTCATGCGCTTCTGAGGCTCTTCATGTACAAATTCATCTGCCGACTGAGTTTGTCAGCTAACGCGGTTGTTAGAGCTCTGTCATCTTTATCTTACAGTGACACGAGGTACTCCTCAGTCCTTTTTAAACATTGGAACAACTGCCTATACGGTTTGTAATTAGAATGTGTTTGTATTTTATTTTTATTTTTTTATTTTTTATTCTTGTTATGGATATCCCTTGTCTGAAATAAAGTTTGATTGATTTAAGGTATTTTTCATACGGCATTTTACTTCAGACTCTATGCAACTCTAATAACAAAAGATAAACTAAAATCTTATATTTTAATGTAAAAAACAATATAAAATCATTATACAAAATACAAATATGTATTTTTATGTATATATTTTGTTTTAAAGGGACAGTTTAGGTGAAATTTCCTCTTTGGGGGAACCAAAAGATTTTGCTGTCTTACACGGACAGATTTCCGCAAGAACCGGAAGTGACGTTTGGATGAAACTTGCTGGTAACCGGTCGATGAAGTTAACTGACAAACTAACGGAGAGATGTTTGTGATTGTTTGTTAGTTTGTTTTGTTTCTCGGTGTAAACATGGCAGCTAAACGTAAAGCTGACGTCACGGTTCCTGCGGAGGAAAGCGACCAGCTGCTGATCCGCCCGCTGTGAGTTTAATTCCGACACTCCGGCGCGCGGCGCGTCCTTCACCAAACTCCGTTCACTAAACCACTCTCCAGCTGCTTTCTCTGTGTCTTTATACCGGAAATGTGATGTTAGCAGATTTAATTAATCGTTGTGAGCGTTATTTAAATTCGGGGTATAAAAATATCATTAAATTAGTTTTTGTATTAGTTTTTATAGCCTGTACACACGCATTCACGTACACACACACACACAGTTAGCTTCTTGGGCCCTCTTTTAGCGTCTGTTTACTTTTCCATGACTTGAATAATTTACCAGGTATTTACTTAACAGGTGAATTTAAAGGTGATTAAATATTGTGGACTTTGGTAGAAACAGAAGTTACGTTTTAATGGTGCGTTTGTGTGCAGCGGAGCTGGTCAGGAAGTGGGACGATCCTGCATCATCCTGGAGTTTAAGGGCAGAAAGATCATGGTAACTCAGATTTTAGTGTTTATCAGAGAAACTAGAGAAAAAATCAGTTTTTAAGTGTGTGTGTGTGTGTGTGTGTGTGTGTGTGTGTGTGTGTGTGTGTGTGTGTGTGTGTGTGTGTGTGTGTGTGTGTGTGTGTGTGTGTCTCAGCTGGACTGTGGGATCCATCCTGGGCTGGATGGGATGGATGCGCTGCCCTACATCGATCTGATCGATCCGGCTGAGATCGACCTGCTGCTCATCAGCCAGTGAGTTCAGAACCCCTGAATCTTAGTTCATCCTTTTGTGATTTTATCTGGATACAAACATTTAAGTTGTTTTCTCTCACCGTAGAATAAAACATCCCATAATGTCCCAAACCAGAGACACCTCACTTTATTTTTGTTCTGTTCATAGATTTAACTTTTAGATCAACTTTTGAAAAACCCAAGCAGTGAACCAAAGATTCTGTTCTCATTAGTCATGAACTTTAGTGCCGTAACCTTCCTTATGAGTTTAGGTTGAAACTCTGACTTTAAACCAACCTCAAACTTTCTCCTCCAGTTTCCATCTGGACCACTGTGGAGCTCTGCCCTGGTTCCTGCAGAAGACCAGCTTCAAAGGACGGACCTTCATGACGCACGCCACCAAGGCCATCTACCGCTGGCTGCTGTCGGACTACGTTAAAGTCAGGTACGCTCCATTAAAGACTCTTTAACATTCCTATTTTAGTCCAACTGGATAAATATGGAAAAATCTGCATTTTATTGACTAATAAACTGACATCAAGTCTAAATTTAACCTTCTGGACTGAAATAAGTGAGTAAAGACAGAATCAGATGAGAGAAGAACGCATCGTAAACAAACCAAATGTTTCTCTACTGGTGGAATGTTTGATCAGACAAACCGGGAGGAGACGGTTTCTAACCTGTTTTCTGTCGGACAAACTTCCGAAAGGGAAGAAAAAATCTGGAAACATTTTTCTCTCCATCAAATTCCTTCTACTGTTTTACCCTTGGTGAGGCCACAGTGACTTACTGACGCTTTAAATCCCGAGTTCCTGATTTCAAAATGTGAAAAAGAAAACCAGAAAAGTTTTTATTAAATTAAAAATAAAATAAGATGTTTGAAAAGTTCTGAAAGAAAAAGATTTAAGGTGTAAATAATCTAAACGATTATTTTAGTTTCGGTTCCACTGAGTCCTACGGAAGCCCGGTGCTGCCTCTGGAAGAATCTGGTTTTATTCCCACGACTTTCCCTGCAGCAACATCTCCGCTGACGACATGCTCTACACGGAGACCGACCTGGAGGACAGCATGGAGAAGATCGAGACCATCAACTTCCACGAGGTGAAGGAGGTGGCGGGCATCAAGTTCTGGTGTTACCACGCGGGTCACGTCCTCGGAGCTGCCATGTTCATGATCGAGATCGCCGGGGTCAAAGTAGGTCAACGCCAGCATGAGAGACATGTGGTGGGGGGGGGTCAGAGACGCAGAGGCATTCCTGTTTCTCTCATCCTGACTGCAGCTGCTGTACACCGGAGACTTCTCCAGACAGGAGGACCGACACCTGATGGCAGCAGAGATCCCGAGCGTGAAGCCTGACATCCTCATCACCGTAAGTCTGGCGTTCCTGTTAGGATCCAAACTGGAAACCAGGAAATTACCTTCTAGCGTCGAACCGAGCATCTTAGAGGTTTTAGAAAACAAATGTGTGAAGAAGTTCTCATGATGAACAGCCGGACACGTGTTCTGTGGACCAGTGTCGATGGTTCCACAGGAGCTGGGACAAACAGGCGTCTGGTTCTGTAAGTTATAAAACAAACCAGAAGGACGACTAATCAATAAATAAATCACTAATTAAATTAAAGAGACAATGTGTAGTTTTTATCGTCTGGAAATATCCGTCAAATTACTGTTGAAAATGACAGGAATGATGCTCGTTGTTGAAAAACAGTGGCTTCGTAACATAACCATTAAAATCTGGTCTAGGTTACATGGGAGCGGGTCTAACGCCCGGAACACACCAGACCTTGCGCCGCGAAGCGCCGTGGATCGACGAGCGCTTCGAATCGGCGCCCTCGTTCACCTATGCTCTCGGTCACATCCGCCGTGAAGCGCCACGAAGGCTCGCGCCGTGCAGCGATCGTTTCGGCTTGAGCTCTATTCTTTCGTGAGCCACGTCAATTCTGGCAGGAAGTCAAACCAAAACAGAAGAGACAGGCCAGTAAATTTTAACAAAATAAAATAAATTGTTCAAAATAAAACACAGCCATTGTTAAATGTGATCATTTTTGTGTATCTAAACAGACTAGAGAGATGAAAATGAACACACACACCTGCAGAAAAACAGCATTTCCATAATTTTATATGCAGCTTTTACAGCAAAAGGTGGATTTATTAAATGGGAAAACAAACAAAAACTTTTAATTCAAAGGTAAATATCCAACAGCATCGTACACTAACACTAGTTATTTACTTAACCATCTACCTCTTCACTCGTTGCCGCTGATGAAAGGGAGTCTGATGTACTTGACATCAGATTCTCCCTGGGTCTTTTTGACCCTAATGGGCATCCGTTAATAAGGTCTTACTCCATCACCAGAATACAGCTTGCTTGCAACACTTTGGGTTTCTACTGCCCCCTGTCGCCAGGAAAATTACACACCGTCACTTTAATTCTAGCACAAAGTTTCTCTAAAGATGTGAGTCTGGATCTTTGGGTCCAGCAGGGGGCGCTCTGTGCTGCGTCCTGTTAGCCGGGGGTTTGTGAAACCGTCAAAGATAAAAAAACGTGGATCTAAAGTTTGTCTAAATCCTCAAAAGATCTTTGTGTCCGACAGGAGTCGACGTACGGGACTCACATCCACGAGAAGCGGGAGGAGAGGGAAGCGCGGTTCTGTAACACCGTGCACGACATCGTTAACCGGGAAGGTCGCTGTCTGATCCCCGTCTTCGCTTTGGGCCGAGCTCAGGAGCTGCTGCTGATCCTCGGTGAGTCCAGGTTCCTGTGAGGTCCTCAACTGGAGATCCAGAAGATCTGAGATCTGGTTTTTAATCTCTGTAACCAAAGTCTGAAGGAACGAAACCAGAACCACTTCTAAATAAAGGTTTCCTGTGTTTGTGGCCCAGACGAGTATTGGCAGAACCATCCGGAGCTCCACGACATTCCCATCTACTACGCCTCGTCTCTGGCCAGGAAGTGCATGGCCGTCTACCAGACCTACATCAACGCCATGAATGACAAGATCCGTAAAGCCATCAACGTCAACAACCCGTTCGTCTTCAAGCACATCAGCAACCTGAAGGTCAGCGAGCGCTCCACCGGAGGTCCGACTGCGGCTCGGGTCGGTTCTGATCCTGTCTGTGTTCCAGAGCATGGACCACTTTGACGACATCGGGCCCAGCGTGGTGATGGCGTCTCCTGGGATGATGCAGAGCGGCCTGTCCAGGGAGCTGTTTGAGAGCTGGTGCACCGACCGGAGGAACGGCGTCATCATCGCTGGATACTGTGTGGAGGGAACGCTAGCCAAGGTCGGCAGCCTGACCCGTAACCCGCCCACGGTTCTGTTTACGGTCCCCACGAAGAAGGTCCACTCTCCTTCAGTCTGGGCGTCTGATCTTCAGCAGGTTCTGAAATGGTTCTGATCCACTGGGTTGGGCAGCGGGTTGTCCAGTAATCAGAAGGTTGCAGGTTCGATCCCGGCTCCAGACAGAGAATTCTGCTGTTGTGTCCTTGAGCAAGACACTTAACACTGGTGGTGGTCAGAGGGACCTGTGTGTGTGTGTGTGTGTGTGTGTGTGTGTGTGTGTGTGTGTGTGTGTGTGTGTGTGTGTGTGTGTGTGTGTGTGTGTGTAGCTGCAGAGCCGGCCCAAACATCAGCTACGTGTGCCGCTGTGCATTATGGATAAGGTCCGAGACCATGACCCGGTGGGTCCGTCTGAGCTTGGATCAGAACCACCGTAGAACCTGCTGGAACCCGGAGGATGGATCTTCTCTTTACTGTGACTGTGTCAGAGTTCTGCTGGACCGGTTCTGTTTGAAACACTCTGGTTCTGTGTTCCAGCACATCATGACGGAACCAGAGGAGATCGTCACCATGTCGGGTCAGAAGCTTCCTCTGAAGATGTCGGTGGACTACATCTCCTTCTCCGCTCACACCGACTATCAGCAGACCAGCGAGTTCATCAGAGCGCTCAAACCTCCTCATGTGGTACACACACACACACACACACACACACACACACACACGTCATACCCTAACCAGCACCTTAGTTATCCGTTGTTTACAGTTTAGTAAAAATGTTTTTTACGCGACACGTTTCGTATCTCCAGCAGCATCAGATCTTTATAGAGAACTAAGCTTTTAGAAGGAGGAGCAGAAACATGTCCTCGTTTTTTTTGCGTCAGCCTGACGAAGTTTGCAGCCGCAAATGAAACGCTGCAGGTAAATAAAACCGTTCTGTGTTTTAAAAAGAACTAAAAGATGGAATGTCCTCAGTTGTAGAACACACACTCTACATACCATCATTAATACTAATATTTAAGTATTATACTATATTATAATACTATAATATTTATAGTATTAAGTACTAACTCATTAGTGATATTATTTTGATTTATGATTTAATTGTTTTCGGTCTCAAACTTCTCCAGTTTTGGAGAGGTTTTCATTTGTATTAGTTCAGTGTTTGAGAGGGACTAGAGGACAAGTCGGGGGACACGTTGTCTCGGTAACACCTCCTCCTGTTCCTGGGTCTGCAGATTCTGGTCCACGGCGAGCAGAACGAGATGGCCCGGCTGAAGGCGGCTCTGATCCGCGAGTATGAAGACAACGACGAGGTCCACATCGAGGTCCACAACCCGAGGAACACGGAAGCCGTCACGCTGAACTTCAGAGGAGAGAAACTGGCGAAGGTTGGTGTGATCTGACCTGTGAGTCGGCGAGTCAGACCGAGTCTAACTCCCTGCATGCTCCGCCGCAGGTGATGGGCTCGCTCGCTGACAGGAAGTGCGCTCAGGGTCAGAAGGTGTCCGGGATTCTGGTCAAGAGGGACTTCAACTACCACATCCTGACGCCGTCCGACCTGTCGAGTCAGTATCAGCCTGAGTTTTTGTGGGTTTTAACCGCTGCTGTGACATTTATCTCAGAAACATCTTCAAACATCTCGACCAGAACCGGAAAACATCCGTTAGCATGTCCGTAACTTTTATTTTAACGCACAGGTGTCCACCTCAGGCCCTCGGTCCAACTTTGGCCCGCGAGATTAAATATTAAAATGGATTCAAACTGGTCCATTTGGCCTCAGACTACAAATCCCATGGTGCCTTGTGGCGTCAGCGCTCCCTCCTCTCTGTTTACAGTCATTAGCATCCGTGCTCCTCGAATCGGCGTCGGCAGTGTTCCCGCCTCCGTCTCAAACTGAAATGCTCCTAAGCACCGAGTTTCCCGAGATCCACGGATTTCCTCGTTCCTACTCATTTCTCTCGTCCCTTTGTTAATCACACTTTCTATTTTTTCGTCTCATTTTAAACATTTTTTATCATATTTAAAAATCTTTTTTATTGTTTATTTTTGTGAAGCGCCTCGTGACGCGCGACACAAAAGATGGTTTCTGCCTTTACTCTGCGATTTGCCAACTTTGAAGCCCAGAAATTGAGATTTCATCGCTGATTGAACTCCGGCGTACTCAAGTCGTATCTCTCTGACCCAACGTCGGCCTTAGCTGCTCAGATCCTCCATGTTCAGCAGCACATATGTGAGCAACTGTTGTCTGTGATGAAGATGAACAGAACAACACCGGAGTCTCACTGATGAACTCCTCCCTCAGCTCAGAGCCAACCCCAGAGATGCAGGTGTTAGGCTGGAACAGGTGAGCGTCACAGTAAATCAGAGCGGAGCTCGAATTATTCTCTTTTTCTGCTCCGAATCATGAATGTAATCATCCGAGATCTTTTCATTTAAGAGAAGTTTTTTTTGGGGTTTTGTTGTTGGCCTGTAAAAAAGGAATAACGACACTCTAACATGGGAACAGCAAAGGCTACAGAATAGAAGAATAGAATAGAAAATCCCTTTATTGTCCCTCAGTGGGGAAAGTTTGGCGTCACAGCAGCAATAACTTTATTTGCAGGAGCAGAAAAGGAGAATTAAAAAGAATAAAGAGTAAACAACAAGAAAACAGAAATACTTAAAAGACTAAGAAATGCTGAAGGCTGTAGGCCCAGTGTGTGGTATTTTTGCAGTTTGTTTGCAGTTCACAAACGTGTCCTTTTTCTCTAATATTTCTCTCCAACATCAATTCTAAATATTCGTCTCAACTTGAATTTATACATTTTTATATACATAAACTGTGGTCGACGCTCCATGGTCATCCACCATCTTAAAATACAGTAGCTGTTTAGGGACATACGAGCTCCACCTTACCCGTTTGGACTATGACTGTAACCTGAAAGAACCAGCAGAGGGCAGCAGTGCGCCCTGGAAGCATGGAGTCTGCTAATTCAGCTAAGAAATAGAAAGGAATAGCTACACCTGCTGTACTTGTTAGTCTGGATAAAAAACAATTAAATCAAAAGACATAAAATTAGTCAGTTCATCATCATGTCCAACACAAGCAAGCCGCATATATTTAGACCCCCGTCTGCTATTATCTGGACGCCAGCCTCCGATTAGTGTCTCTGACTCCCAAACTCACCTCAAGTTGTTCATCCGTCTTTTCCTAGTACCAGAACTCCCGATCCGGTACCAACGTGTCCGTACCAAAGTCCTTCTACTCAAGTCTCCTCTCTTCCTGCAGCCTGCCGTCTCGCCCAACACGCTCCAGCACTCGTCCGATAGCCAGTGGCTAAATCAGCGTTGTTTACTTTATCTCCACAACATTCTACTAACGGCGATGTAGTTCTCCACGCGTTACTGAGACGCTCCGACTCAGAGGGCTTCTTCTCAAACGTTACCTTTAGACTTGGGTCTCCTTTTGCTGGTAATCCGTGGGAGAGTACACACCGCATACACAGCATCTCCCCGGCTCTAGCCATGGCTAACTAGTAGCTCGGTAGCTTGTGACGCCCATCTCCACCACGCCAGCCGCGAGCCACGATTAGCTGGTGTCAGCATTGTTTACTTGATCTCCAGCATGTCCCCGGCTCACCAACACTCCTTCACCAGCCGTGGTTAACGACCAGCCAGTGATCGCTCCGTATCCATATAAGCTGGTAGCGGCAGCCAGTTTGTTTACATCGAGGCTCCGTGATCCACATGAAATGGGTGTTGTGGGAATTTATGTTCCCTGAAATATTCTGTTTCCCTTAGGCAGTCAAGAGCAAATATTTCCAAATTCACAGAATGTTAAGTCCATTATGAGGACTGAACTACCTCAAATAAAAGATGTTAAACGGAGTGAGATTACATCCTTTTACATAACTTTCAAATATGATAAATAAGCTTGCTGCAAAAGAGTGAACAAGAATGTTTTTACTGTATCTTTTTATTGTTTTAGGAGGAATTACAGATAAAAAATCACAAGCATAACATTATTACATTACATGACATCATTTTCCTGTAAAAGTTGATCACAAATGTTGTGAAAATAGCCAGAAGTGTGATCTCCCGACAGGGGGGGGGACAGAATATTTCAGGGGAACACAATTTCTCACAACACCTGACCTCCCGGCTGACGTCACCCCTCCTCCGTGTGTGAACTGTGACCGCTTCAAGATCTAACAGAACTAGCTTGCTTCCTTCGGGACTGGTAGGTTGATAAACAGTCATAATTAAAAAGGTAGAGTAGCTCGTTTTAAGCTTCATGTGGGTTAGGCTACACAGGTTGGAACCTGATTATACAGTCAAACTCATGAGTGGGCCACCGTAGCTGCAATACCTTCTCTGACCTGCACGGCGCTAAAGAGTCATTTTTCCATCATGATTTCAATGGATTTCACACATGGGGCCTTGAAGGAATAAAATGAGTAAATAACTGAGACACAACAACTGATGTGTTTTATTTACTAGTCGGGTGTAATTGGGTCATACTGGATTCAGTGTTTATGTAAAAATAAGTTTGTTTCAAATGGAAAGACTCAGCAACATATCTGTAGATATCCATCGCTTTTCTAAATATCAAGTTTGGCCCGCGACTTCGACCCAGTGGGATTTAGGGTTTAACACGCCTGGTTTCAGGTGAAACTGGGTCTTTAAACAGCGACCCGGTTCTGTTTGACACATCAGGACAAAACAACACCAGTAACAATTTAAAGTAGGGCTGCAGCTATCGAATAATTTTGTAATAGAGTACTCTATCGAATCTTTTATCGATTAATCGAGTACTCTAATAAATTACTCTTGAGTTTTAAACCATTATATCAAATAGCATGTTATAAAATATGAAAGACCTCTTGAAATGAGCAAGCAATTGCCAGTTATTCTTCAAGTTTTATTCAAATTTAGTTTACACAACTTCAGCACTTCAACTTTACTTCACAGTAAACAAATGCGAGCGGCTGCGGCCCAAACAGAACCAGAACCGCTCACGGCGCATGCGCAAACATGGCTCGCCAGCTGTTTCCCTATTAACACACGTCCGTTTAAATTTCTACACTTTTTTTTTCTCACACTAACAAGGATTGTCGAAGGCATGTTTGCCGTGGTTATGTCAAATTATACAGATCACAAAACATTTATTTACTTCCTTTCGTTTTCCTCCGCTGCTCATAAGTACCTGTGTCCTCCTGCAGCAATCCTGAGGGACAACAGACATCAATAACAACACAGTAAAAAGTCTGACGTGTTGTAAAAACTGCTATTTTTTGCACATTTTAAGTCCGACGTGTTGCTACCAGACGTACGGTGTGAGCTGAAACTGAGTGCTACAAATGAAAAAGTCGCACAGTGTCCGCAGAATATATAGAAATACAGGCTAAAATGCATTATCTTGTAGAGGCTCCGAGTCCGCTTGCAGAAGTGACATTTACAGATGCTGCAGCTTGGAGGATGTGGTGTTGTAGTAGGCTAAATCCATGTTGTTACAGTATTTACACTGGACTACGTTTTCCACATTACGACGTGAAAAATGGTCCCACACCTTTGACATTTTCTGTCTTTTTCGCACTCCACCGGGGTCCACGTTGTCCGCCATGGCTTAAGAGAAAGTTAAATTACATTCGCTACTTGTGTGAGCATTCAGTGCAGTGTGTATGTGCGTCACTTATTTTGGTCCGGGTGAAACATGACCCGGGCGATTGCAAAGCCATGAATTAATTAAACATGAATTAAACGAAGCCTCGAGGCAGAGAATTAGACTCGAGGCTTTTTTGTACTCTTAATTATTCGAGGTACTCGAGGAATCGTTTCAGCCCTATTTTAAAGGTCCGTTATTTTTGACACGCCTGTGATTCCGTACTTCAGCTGTTTGAATCTGTGCCGGGTCTTCAGTCTGAGGCTCATCAGGTGTTTAAAACATCTGCAGAACTTTAAAGATCCAGTCCAGAAAACCAGTGTTGGCCCATTTGTGTTTCTCTGTTCAGACTACACAGATCTGTCGGTCGGTACCGTGACTCAGAACCAGGCCATCCCGTTCACCGGACCCATCTCCCTGCTGGTCAGTCAGCTGAAGAACCTGGCAGGTAAGGACTCACCTGAGCTCAGAATGTTCTGGTTTGGTTCTAGACATTTATTGTGTGTGTGTGTGTGTGTGTGTGTGTGTGTGTGTGTGTGTGTGTGTGTGTGTGTGTGTGTGTGTGTGTGTGTGTGTGTGTGTGTGTGTAGGTGATGTGCAGCAGGTGGAGGGGACGGAGAAGATCACGGTGAAGATCTTCCAGAGCATCACTCTGGTCCACGAACCCGGGATGGTTCTGCTGGAGGTCAGAACCAAACTCAGTTTTGTTTATTCTGTTTTAGATTTTTATTGATTTACAGCGAGAAGCTGAAGTGTTTCCCGTCCTGGCCGCCCGCGTCCTTCCACAGCGGTGGTTACCAGCCTTTCAGCAGGACCCCCAAGCCCAGCTCCTACCGACACACGCCGTTAAAAACTTTGTTCTAAGTTGTGACTGGTTTTGGGATGGGGGTTTTCTGGAGGTAACTTCTACACATGTAACCTCTGTAACCTCACATCGACACCACGGGGGGTCCCAGACCTCAGATTGAGAACCACTGAGTGTTCTTCTGTGTTCCAGGTTCTCTCATCTAATTGGTTCCTTTGTTAAACGTTTGTTTTTTTCTATTAAATAAAAGTCGTTCCTGATTCTTTAAATTTCTCACAATAAACATAATTTTATATTTTTATGAAATGGTAAAAAAAAAGTAACATTTCTGCAGCAAAATCACTTATTAGGCTTATTAATAACAAGGAAATTAAATCTGCATACATCAAAAATAAAAATGTAATTTTTTATCATATCGTTATTTCTGTTGGTTAAAAAACATTTAAATTAGTTTTTGGTATAAAGTTTAAAAACCTTTATTTTAACGTATTTTTGTCTCTTTTCTATTACTGCTTAGTAATAATAAACGCTAATTTATTTCCCATTTAAAGGATAAGGAGTCGTTTATAGTCATAAATCTGTTAGTCGTCCTCTGAAGTCTGTTTGTTTCGTCTCCAGTGGATCGCCGGTCCGCTCAACGACATGTACGCCGACGCCGTCTCCACCGTGATCCTGGAGGTCCAGTCCAACCCCAACAATCAGAAGTGTCAGTAAACGCAACACAACAGCCTGCAGCGATGCATTCAGGGACTCGGTCAGCTGACTTCTGTTTGTTTGTTTCAGTCCTGGAGGGCAAGAGGGAGATCTTTGACATGGAGGTGTTTGTGGAGCGTCTGGAGCTCATGCTGCAGTGAGCGCGCGCACACACACATGCACACACACACACTCACACGGTCTGCTGAATGACATTGAACTCTGCTGTGCTGCAGTGACATGTTCGGGGACGACTGCGTGAATTTCAGCGACAGTAAAAACTTGTGTGTGACGGTGGGAGGAGCTACAGCGAACATCGACCCAGAAACCAGAGTGAGTAAAAGTGGGCAGGGCCTAATGATCCAGTCCGGGTGTTTTCCATTCCCGGGAGGCCTTTGAAAGGTTTTTGGTGTTCTGGTGATGTGCTGACCTCAGATCTGTGACACCAGGTGGTGACGTGCCAGGACGACGAGACTCTAAGGGAGATGGTAGAAGTCGCCGTCCATCGGCTCTACGATGCCCTCACGCCCGCCTTCTGACAAGCCACGCCCACTTTGTCACAAACACAACTCCAGATGATTATTTTTTGTTGTTGTAATAATTTACATCATTTTTCAAGAAAACTTTTTGTAAGTAAATAAAATTTGTTCTGATGGACGTTTGACGTTTGGGCTTTCCATAGAGACGCCGCACCTCATCAAGAAGCAGCTGAGGTGGTTAGCTCACACTAACCTCTCGTTTCAGGTTTTTCTTTCTCTATTTTATATAAAACATTCAGAAAAGTCTGATAATTATTCAACAGTGACTTTATTTCACACATAAAAACAGCAGCTTCTAGATTTTAATGCCAGAAACGCGAAACCTAATGAACACGACAGACGAGACACGAAGAAATACTGACCGAGGTGCGTTGGAATACCAAAGAGAAGAAAAAGTTCACTAAGCAGCTATTTAGAAATACGAAACACGTCCCTGAACTTTAATCTGAAGCCCTTTTATTGTCAGTTTAAAATTTATTCAAAGCTGATGCAAAAACAACAAATGTTTAATTTTAAAGCGCAGCTTCAAAAAAAATTATGGCTACTTTTTCCACTGTTTTGGCATCAAACATTATTTTAGAAAATAGAATTTGCATCATAAAATTCTCCGATTGAAAATTAAAGAATTCCATTAAACGAGTCGTCGTGCAAAAGCCACCAAAATTTCCCAGAAGATCCTAAAATTCCCACATTCCTAATAACGTTTCATAAAAGTTCTCCCATCAAAAGTGCTGGAGTGGGAATTGAAAATTTTGACATGACTGCAGCATCACAGCCTAAATGTTAAGGACGTAAAACTGCAGTCAGAAGCATCGTTACCATGGTTACTCGTTAGACAAGTTTCCACCAGCCCAGGTCCCGCTCACAGGTCTGTGGAGACAGGCTGTCTCCCTGCACTGTGATCCTCTACAGAAACAGGATTAAATAATCCCTGGAAAAGATGTTTTGAATGACTTGATGTGGTTCCAAGGGGTGAGGACTGGTTGTAACCGGTTCCCTGTAGAACCAGTAAAGACTCTGGTCAAAGACTGAAACCTTTTGGTGAACAATTCTGAATGACAGTTTGGTTTAAAGTGCAGGGCGTGAAAATGGGGATTAGAGATTAGAGGCAAACCCTTTAGTCTGACCTGTCTGTAGCTCAACTATTAGGTGTGATCTGATTGGTTCTCTCTCAGAACCAATCAGGAAGACACTCAGATGTTTGTTTGCAATCAGCGCCCCCTGTCCATGTCTCTCAGCACTGCGTCTCCTTGCTGTCGATCTGATGTCTCTGCATTCGGGACACCTTCGTCTTCCCGCTGCGACTCGCTGGACTTTTCTCTGTCAGGTCCTCGAAGGAGCGTTGAATCGCTCTGGTTGGACGCCCAAACGCCTCCTCCAGCTCCTCCGTGTCCAGGTGGGAGTCTAAGCTTGGGTCCTCGTGGATGGTGGCCATTCGAGGACTGTCTGCAAGTGGAGGGGTGTGGCCCAGAGGGGGGGCGGAGCTAAAGACAGGAGGGGGACTGGTCTGCTGGAGGCCACTGGACTGGCACCGCACCGGGCCAGTTGGGAAGGTCAGAGGCTTGTAGATCCGGACAGATGCAGAGTCCAGGCTGCTCAGGAGCTCGGCATTCTGGGAAATGAATGACGAGTTAGTGGGATGGTAAATCTAGTCTGTCACTGAGACTGTTGGAGACAGTTTGTCATTTATGTCCCAAAGTTTCCTCCTTCCTCCTGACTCAAAAACTAACCGGAGTCCCAGGTCTCCATGACAACCCAAAGAGTCTGCTGAGGGAACTTATTTGAACATTTAAACGCTTAGCTCCAGCGACACGAGAGTAAAACCCTACGAACCTTCACAAAATGATCTGATTCTTTTGAACGTGGTCATAGCCCATGAGAGACTGGGCTTACCTACGTTTCTAACAAGTTTGACTATTCTGACAGACGGAAGAGCCAACATTCGGTCTGTGACTCCACCGGAGTTCCTCAAGGCAGAGTGTTCGGTCCCTTATCCAGATGACTCCCACTAAAGGCCCTCATGTTCCCGGCATCAGTCTCATCTGATGCACCGTATCCACATGGATTCCCTCGTAAAATGCTTTAACCAGGATTACTACTCACACTGGGGAAGAACAGAGATTTGGTGGTCTGTTCGTACTGTCGGTCCATCTTCTTGTCCTGAAAGCACAAAGGAAACCAAGGTTATGATCGTCCTTCAGACAGGAAAGACAAACGTGTCGCACCAGATGGAACCATGTCAGAGAGGGTGAGGAGAGATTCTCACCACGCAGTGGACCAGGATGCTCAACGGTACCCAGAACAGGAGCGAGAACGCCACCACTGAGCCCACGATGTTATCGGCCAGGAACTTCCTGAAGGTGTTGATGTTGAGTTTATCGATGAAGTCCCACAGACGCTCCACCACATCCTGAACCTGCTTCATGCACTTCCCCTGCATAGAAACACCCAGCCACCACTCAGGTTCACTAGCTAACATGCTACTTTGGTCCTTTACACAAATCCCTACAAGTTTTGGGGGTGGGCCCAAAGGCCCAGGCCTTATTCTTATTGACCCTTTGCACGTGACATCACACCACTCATGGGACTTCCCCCTTCGCCATAATGGATGGCAAAAAGACCGTTTACACATGTTGAAACTCCAGTGAAGCTAGTCAAAAGAAACCGGTTTGTAGCCTTTTATCGCTTTTATTTCATTGATTTTAGGGTAAAATGGTAACGGCTTGCTGTGCGGTTGGCTGCACTAACAGACAAGGATGTAAAGTCGACTTGTTTTGTTTCTTTCACATAACTTTGATGGAGACTGAGGACGAAGATGACCTGCAGTGACCATGCAGGACCTGCAGTGACCATGCAGGACTAGCAGCCCTCAGATTTGCAGCAAATGTGTTTTTACCGGGTAAGATCAATGCGTTCTTACTACTTATTGATAATCCTGATGGATGGATATTTCACCACAGAGGACGCACGGTACTGTCCACTGTGATAAATGTAAGATAATTATTTACAATCTTATTACTCCAATGTTGATTACGTATGGTAGTTGGTGGTTGGATTACGTTATTTATTTGGTACGAGCGTTGCCGTTCACAGATCTCATCCCGGTGTGAAAGCAGCAGCTGAACCTGGTGACACCAGCAACAAAAGCTGGACAGGGATCCGGACTCTTTTTAAAATCAGCTTCCGTGTTAAGTGAAACGCCGTTTATAACAATGTTAGAAATCCAGTTGTGTGAATTTTGGCAGTGTCGGACTTCAGTAAAGCTGACAAGATATTCGCAGATTCGACTTTTGCGGCTCTATGCCACGCCCATCTACTTCTGCATCACGGGTCCCCGGAAGAACAAAAAATGAACGCAAGTCAATGGGGCTAAAAACAAAATTTTCTAATTCCGCTTGTTTTGTACCATGGATTTCACATATGATGTCCGTGAATTGTAAAGACACATTTTGATACAGAGAAAGTGCTTATTTTCGAACAGGGGTAACGTTATTTTAGGTTTTGTGTGAAGATAAGTCCAGGACTACAAATGTGTTTCACGGAAGTGACGTCATCAAACCAGACACGGAGAAAATTGAGAGAAAAGGGCTGTAAGTTCAGCAAACTTCCCACAGGAAGAAAGAACCACCATAAATCTGGTCATGTGGTGAGTAGCAGCTACGCTAGGGGGAGGAGATTCTGTGGCGACGTCACATATACGACTTACCGATTTCCAGTTTGTAGTCATGCTAATTGCGAACTTTTACAAGCTGAGGTTCATTGTCTCATAGACCGCAATTTAGAGCGTTATCTCGTAGACAGCGATTTAGAGAGTCGACTCGTAGACCGCGATTTAGAGCGTCGTCTCGTAGACCGCGATTTAGAGCGTCATCCCGTAGACCGCGATTTAGAGCGTTGTCCCATAGACCACGATTTCGAGCGTCGTCTCGTAGACCGCGATTTAGGACATCGTCCCGTAGGGCGCGATTTAGAGTGTCGTCTCTTAAACCGCGATTTAGAGTGTCGTCTCTTAAACCGCGATTTAGAGCATCGTCCCGTAGACCGCGATTTAGAACGTTGTCTCGTAGATCGCGATTTAGAGCGTTGTCCCGTAGACCCCAATTTAGAGCATCGTCTCGTAGACTGCGATTTCGAGCGTCGTCCCGTAGACCGCGATTTAGAACGTCGTCTCGTAGACCGCGATTTAGAGCGCCCTCCCATAGACCGCGATTAAGAGCGTCGTCCCGTAGACCGCAATTTAGAGCGTCGTCTCTTAAAAAAATGTCCCCGTTTTCCGTGTGCAGAACGTAGACGGTATCAGCGTCTCCGCGGCCCAGCAGTGTGGAAGTGCGCTAAAGCCGCTACGAGTTTGAAGCCAACAGAGCTACTTATACAGGTTTGTGATTCTGAGCGTGCTCGTGTGCGGACGTGGAGGAAGGAGCTCCGTAATGTTTCCTCAGAGTGGCTGGTGACGTAGGTGCAAAGGGTCAATTCCTTGGATTTACTTAAGCAGGAGCAGTCGGCAGAATAACTGGACCGGTTCTCAGCCCAGACCCTGACTACATCCCTGAGGTCTGCAGGAACAAGGTGCTAAATCTTCCTGATTATCTATTCCAACACAAATTCCAATGGAAATACGGACACAATCCCACGATGACCCTAAGACCTGGGAGGTAAATCCACTCACCGCTCCATCACAGAACCCCACAGTGCAGGGTTTGCCTTTCCGCAGGTAAAGGAAGGCTCCGGACTGGTCCTGGTACGGGCTGCAGGTACCGGTATCACTCCGGCAGCAGACGTGACAGGATGAGTTTGTTTCTGGGAAAAATTAAGAGATACGGAATGCCGATGTAAAACTGAAGACTGGAGGTCGATGTGAGTTAAATGATCTAACAAGGAACGGAGAACCAGAACCCAAAGAAACGGAAGCAGTTTAAGTTTCATTGACTGACTCAGAAAACCAGAACCATCCAGTTCTGGTGCTGCTGGTTCTGGGTTATCCTCGTCGGCATCGAGACCCAATTTCACCTCAAAAGCCTTGAGTCTCTCTCTCCCACCCCTCCCCTTGTCCTCCCCCCCCATATCTAGGAGAACATTCCCGGTTCCCGCTGATCTCTCAAATTTGAGCTGGCCTTTAACGTTCCCGTTTTATGCCAGCTGAACGCAGATGCCCGGTACCGTTGCAGGCGCAGGGCTCCAGGTTGAGGACGGCCTGACAGAAAGGAACACACTCTCCATTCAGACACTCCCCGTTGTCCAAACAAACTGTTTTATCTGGAGCGTTCTCCGGAGGAGGACACTCGCTGGTGTTTCCTGTCAATGACAAAAAACAAGGTTCTGTTTACGCTCTTCTTGCTGAGTCCGAGACTCAGAACAACGTTTTTATCTACCTGCGTCATTTAAAAGCTAAAAAACGTTTATGCAATTATTTTATAAAATCAGAAAAACAAAAGCTCGGATATTTTTCCAGATCCCAGAAGAGAAAACTAAATCTGGGAGGAAAGATCAAACAGGATTTTATAGTTTTCACAATCTAAAAATGCAGAAAAAACTCAAACCAGAAGCAGGAGGTTCTGGCCGGGTTCTGACCTGAGCAGTACGAGTGACCCTTACAGGTGGCATCGATGGGTTCCTGACAGACTTCCCCTCTGGACTGGAACCGGCAGGCCCGGCAACAGGCGCTGTTCCTGTCGCTGCATACAGGCACGGATCAGAGCCGCCGTCTCACCACAACAGAACTTTGGAACGTTACGGATCGGACCTGCACTGAGCGCCGTCCTTCAGCCGACAGTCTTTGGTGCAGCAGCGGTCCGAGTTTATGTGCAGCAGACCCGGGTCGCACTCCTCACCCCGCTCCACACGGGAATTCCCGCACACGTTTGTGTTCCTCTCCCGGAAGCAGGACGCCGCCTTCGACCGCAGACGCTTCACGATGGAGCGCCGGCTGCAGGTGGAGAACAGCTGGAGTGGAACAGGAGAAAATTGGTTTTACAGAGTCGAGCTAAGTGTTCTGAGTGTTCGATCAGTTTGAGCAGAACCAGAACCTTGTTGTTGGTGTGATCTCCGCTTACGGCGATGGGGTACATCACGTACTTCCCCCCCTGGTCCTCCCGGGGGGCGCAGTACGGAACATTATCCGGGTCGTGTTCTGCTCCAAAATTATGGCCCAGTTCATGAGTCGTCACCAGGTCCGCTTCCTGTGGGGAACCAATGGGTCAGAACCGACTCTGACTCCAACCCGGCCGTCATCCTAGATAGCTTTGCTCCTGTTTCTTTGCCTGAGCTAACCAAACTAGTTTATGAAGACCTCTGCAGGCCCCCTCCACATCTTACCCTCATCTTTAAAAATGCTTTTCAGTCCATCGGTTCCAGTCTCTAATGCCCTTCTGACCCACACTGATGCAGAGTTCTGGCTCTGGTCCTGCTGGACCTGACTGCAGCCTTTGACACTGTTGACCATCACCTGCTACTGGAGAGGCTGAGAGACTGGGTAGGCCTATCAGGAACCGCTCTGGAGTGGTTCTCCTCTGATCTTTCTGAGCGCTCCTTTTCTGTGGCAGTCTCCAAGTTTAGGTCCTCCACCACCTCCCTTACCCATGGTGTCTCACAAGGTTCTGTGCTGGGGCCTCTGCTCTTCCTCCTCTATCTGCTTCCTCTTCAGCACATCCTGAGCTCGTTCAAAGGAATCTCCTACCATCTTTATGCAGACGACATCCAACTGTACATCTCCTTCAAGCCCCATGAGATGTCTATGCTGCAGCTGTTACACACCTGCTTAGACTCTATCAAAACCTGGATGGCTGGGAGCTTTCTACAGTTGAATGAAGATAAGACTGAGATCCTCATCTGTGCCCCAGACAAGCTGGTTCCCAAAGTCAGAGACTCTCTTGGTCAGCTTGCTTCTCACACCAAACCTTCTGTCAGGAGTCTTGGTGTGACCTTTGACCCAGCTCTCACCCTGGATTCTCATGTCAGTTCTCTTGTTCGCTCTTCCTTCTTCCATCTCAGGAACATTGCTAAGCTGAGTCCCATTCTGTCCCGCTCTGAACTTGAGACAGTTCTCCACACCTTCATCTCCTCACGCTTAGACTACTGTAACTCTCTTTTCACGTGTCTGAGCAGAACCTCCCTGAACCGTCTACAGGTGGTTCAGAATGCCTGTGCTCGGCTTCTGACCAAGTCCTCCAAACACACTCACATCACCCCGCTTCTCCTCCAGCTTCACTGGCTGCCAGTCAACTTCAGGGTTCATTTCAAGATCCTGGTTCTGGTCTATAGGGCCTTACATGGACAAGCACCATCTTATACTGGTGATCTTCTTAGTCCCTACACCCCCAGCAGGTCCCTGAGGTCCAGTGACCAAAGCCTACTGGTTGTGCAGCGCCAGGCTAAAGGTCAAAGGTGACAGATCATCTGCTGCTGTGGCCTCCAGACTCTGGACCTCTCTCCCCCTGAGCTTGAGATCAGTGGTCTCCTTTAAACTCACCTGTTCAGGCTTTGGTGGGACCTTCATCACCACCTCTCCTTGTTCTGCTCTTATTCTGCCTTTCCCGGGATCCACTGATTTCCCTCTTTTTCTCATTTTAAAAATATTTTAATTGTTTTTTTTTTATCTTTTATTGTTTTTGTAAAGCGCCTGGTGATTTTTGTCTTGAGGCGAAATATAAAAGACGCCTTCTTTCTTTTGAGTCTGAGCAGAACTGGAGGCAGAAGAGATGTTCCAGAACTATCTGATGGTTCTATTAAATACAGCTAACGGACCAGGTCAGGGGTTCTTATCTGGGTCAGGCCCACCTTGGTCAGGATGGTTTTGCCGTAGTTCTTGGTGCTGGTCAGGCCCGTGTTCAGGTAAATGGCTCCCTGCTTGTTAGCTGCTGAAGGACAAGCTGGAGACACAACAGGAGGACATATGAGGACGGCGGATGAAGAAATCTGGGAACGTCGGGATGGAGCGGGGCTTACCTTTGGAGCAGAGACCTCCTGGGATGTCGGGTTTGGACGGCGCCACGTAGGCCAGACCCAGAGTCCCCTCATCGAAGTCCTGGTAGGTGAACAGATGGGCCAGGCACACACTGGATGCCTTCTCCGCTATGTCCACGCTGAACTGCTGCAGGTGGACAAAGACACCAACATCCGGGTAATGGCGGCTCAATCATGGAGCAGATGTCAGGTGTGGTTGTCATGGTTACCTCCAGAAGCTTCTTCACGTCCCAGACGTCCTTCCCTGGAACCGGACTTCCCCTCATGTTGAAGTGGCTTTGTCCCGGGGACACAGGAGTGGGACCGTTCTCTATGATGATCTGCCAGCAGGAAGACAGCAGCCCTGTTCAGTCGGGTCAGAACCGGACCCTTACCCAGAACTCACCTGCTGGATCTGGACCCCGTAGCCGCTGAACTCACTGTCCCACGACGTGTTTCGGTAGATGTCATCCACGCGGTCGATCAGCTCGATCTGAAACGGAGACGGGAGAGTTAGAGTCGGGGAGGGGTCGGGGTGGGCGGAGCCTGGTCTCACCAGGTAGTTCAGGGTGGTGCTCTCCTCCCCCCGACCCATGTGCTTGAAGAAGCGGTGGTCGGCCACCAGCAGCAGCGGACACGTGTTCTTCTTATGGTCGTAAACCTGACGCTTCCCCCTGAACGCAGGCTCTAAACAAACAAACAATTAAAAATTAACACACAAATAAATAAAGAATTGTATATTTATGTAAACAGCTGATCAGCTCCGTCACAAAACTAAACAAGCTTCAGGAGAAAATATGTTACTTTCGTCTTCCTGATGTTTTCACATTTACTAACCAGCGTCGTCGTTCCCATCCAACATGGCCGCTCTGAGAGAGGAGTCGGGCGCCGCGTAGCCGCAGACGGACGGCTGCTGCAGCCGGCTGATGTTCCTGATGTCCTCAGAGCGATAGATCAGGAGACGGCCATCAGGCGGCGCCAACGTGAACCTCCAGAGAGGCTGGGGGGGTGGACGGGTAACATTAGACCAGTTTGACCCGAACTGGTGGGGGTTTGAGTCACTCAGTTTTACCTCGATGTTGAACTCTGCCTCGTCGGTCAAGATGTGAGCAGAGAACTCGTCGTCATCGATGTGAGCCTGAACGCGAGAGTTCTCCTCCCCTGGGAGAGAAAACACTGAACTAAAGGAGCGTTTTTCCAGCTTTTCCTAAAACACACAACCACAAGGACCCCGGGTCAGCACCGGCTCCGTACCAGGTTCTGGTACCTCCCTGGTTCAGACTGGGACGGCGGATTAAAGGTACAGAAAACCAATATAACTACCATCCGGATGAATATGACCTGGGTTCCTGCTGTTGAGGACTTTAGTCATAAATCCAAACCCTCTCCTACAGAAGAACGGCCACGTCACGTATGTCACTCCAACAGTAAACAAGGACGCTGCTGTATTGTGAATAACTGTACTTTGTTTACTTTTGTGATCCTAATTATTACAGAAAACTGTTTACAGCTGCAGCAAAACCCTGTTTGGATTCTAAACGTTCTCAGAAATGTTTCCTTCGGTTCGTTTCTAAGAGACGAACTGGGACAACCCGGATCTGACCCAAACAAATGGACTCAGCTGTCCCTCTGGGAAGCACCCAGGCATTAGACGGCTCTGGGTCTGCAACCAGACTCCAGGATCAGCTGTTCTAACAGACACCGGAGCTCCTCGGAGCACCACGTTACCGATGACGTGTCCGGTAAAGTAGTTGTGTCTGTTAACAGGGACGCCTCGCTCTCGGCCATCCTCGTCCACAACCACGGCTCTGAAGTCCTCAGTGAAGAGCTCGTTGTTGGTCCTCAGGTAGAGTCTGAACCGCCTGCACTCAGAAACACAGAGCAGTCAGACTGAACCAACCACACACGGAGCAAACATACAGGAAGTGGAATGTGACCTCTGCAGGGCGCTGAAGCTCAGCAGCTTCTCCACGTGAGCTTCAGTCTGGACGTCACGGCGGCGGACGGAGTGGGTCTGAAGGCTGGAGAAAGGAAGAACTTCAAAGTCATCCAACATGGACCTGAGAGGAGCTGTGGTGGAAAAGAACACGTTAATGATCCTCAGGATCACAGAGTCCTCTATCCCACTTCAGATGGATCCTTGAATCCTAGAGGTCTCAACCCGCTGAAGATGTTAAAAATGAAAGTTAATCAACTTTAGATGTTCTTGTAGACTGTGTGTGTGTGTGTGTGTGTGTGTGTGAGTGTGTGTGTGTATGTGTGTGTGTGTCCATCCACTGTCTGAACCCGCTTGTCCACGTAGGGTCGCGAGGGGGCTGGTGCCTATCTCCAGCGGTCAATGGGCAATCAGGCGGGGTACACCCCTGGACAGAGAGCCAGTCCATCGCAGGGCAACACAGACACACACAGGACAAACAACCACACACACACACACATAAGGACAATTTGGACAGACCAATCAGCGAACCCAGGACCTTCTTGCTGCAAGGCAACAGCTCTAACCACTGCGCCACTGCGCAGCCTGTGTGTGTGTGTATGTGTGTGTGTGATTTATTAAACTAACGTGAGATTTTTTAAACTATATGTTTCTGAGTTATTTAATGTAAAACAGTTATTGTGTATTTACCAAAGGCAAATGAAAAGCTCTAAAGCATCACATCTAGTTTGGGATTTCCATTATTATCATTTATTACATTGTTATCAAAATGTTTTAGCTTGGTACTAAATAGTACCTTGAAGATTTTTAAAAATGACTATTTGTCCAAATAAAATTTGTGATTCAAAATGTACAATTATTACAAAACATCAATTCAAAATCTAATAATTTAATCTTTGGAAAAAATTTGTTTTGTTTCAGAATTAAAATGTGATCTTTTTGACATGAGTCGTTTTCCATATATATTACCAGCGTAATAACATTTACATGATCTCAAAAGTATTTTTATTTTGTCACCTCATTGGGACGATAAAACATCAATTTAAATAACTTGTTTGTTTAAATATTATATTTGAATAGTTTTTAGTGGTTTTGTCACTAAAAGGGTTCCATACCTGAAATCAAGTTTTCGCCTCAGCGAACAAACTTAATTCATTAATAAACTCCTAAAGAAACTCTTACCGAACTCCTGCTGCTGCGCGTCCGCGGGCGGAGACGCTGCTGCCTCCGTTAAAACGGTAAAAAACAAAAAAACGGCGAGCTGCCCTCTCATGTTGGACAGTTTGACGGATGTCTCTCGCAGCAGGACGGCGAAGACTAGAACCGCTACACCTTTCAGGTCTTACGGGTCACAAACAAACTTCTGACTTCCGGCGCGTTCTGGAGAGGAAACTCTGCGATCCGCATAAGTCATTGTTGTTTTCTGAGGAAAATCACAGAAAAACGCCTTTACTCCGCAGAACCAGGAAGACCCAGAGCCGCTGTGGAAAGCTGGCGTGAACTGAGGACGCGGGACGGAAAAAGGCCAAACGGCCTTCACAATAAAAGCACCGCAGTTGAGAAATAGACCGTCTTGATTTATTTTGATTGCAGTCTTTTTGCCACTGACTGTACATCCTTCGTGTCTTATATGTGCATTTTGTTGTACAGCTTTGGAACACATTGTTGTTTTTATGAGTATTTTATAGATAATTTCTGTCTAAAATCATTGAAAGGGTGGCTTTCAAGCTTAACACAGAATACCTCTCACAAAATTGTCTGATTGACCCTTACCAATCTGAGTTCAAAAAGGGCCACTCCACTGAAACTGCTCTGTTAGCAGAGACGGAATCCTTAAAAGAAGCTAGAGCGACTGCCAAATCCTCAGTGCTTATTCTGCTCGACTTATCGGCTGCATTTGACACTGTCAACCATGGCTTCCTTTTGTCCACACTCTCTGGCATGGGCATCACAGAGAAAGCAAACGCCTGGTTTCAATCATACCTCACAGGACGATCATTCAGTGTATCTTGGCTTGGACAATTCTCTACCGTACACTATCTTGCCACAGAAGTCCCCCAGGGCTCTGTAGTAGGATATCTTCTCTTTGCCATATACACCACCTCACTGGGTGAGATCATTCGATCATATGGCTTCTCCTACCACTGCTATGCAGACGACACCCAGCTCTATCTGTCATTTCCACCGGACGACCACACTGTCTCTGCACGAATATCAAACTGTCTCTCTGACATATCAAAATGGATGAAATCCCACCATCTCCAACTCAACCTCTCTAAAACTGAACAACTTGTCATCCCAGCAAAACCATCCATACAGCACAATATCTCAATCCAAAATGACTTCCTATCACTGGCTCCTTCAAAGGCAGTTCGAAATCTGGGTGTTGTGATTGATGAACACCTGACCTTTAAAGATCATGTTGCCTCTGTTGCTCGTTCATGACGCTTTGCGCTGTATAACATACGAAAGATCCGACCATACCTAACACAACATGCCACCCAGCTCCTGGTGCAATCTACAGTCATCTCTTGCCTCGATTACTGCAATGCCCTTCTAACTGGTCTTTCAGCCTGTACTGTGAGACCTCTTCAAATGGTCCAGAACGCAGCGGCGCGTCTGGTCTTCAATCAGCCAAAAAGAGCACACATCACCCCTCTGTTCATTGAGCTCCACTGGCTACCGCTAGCAGCACACATCAAATTCAAATTGCTAACACTAGCATACAAAGTCCGAGATGGTACGGCTCCCATCTACCTGAATCCTCTTGCAAAGGCTTACGTCTCGGCCCAGCCGCTCTGGTCATCACAGGATCACCGGCTAGCAGTGCCTATACACGCTCAGGACAATCCAGACTCTTCTCATGCATCGTTCCACAAATGTGGAAGGACCTTCCAAGCACTACCAGAACAGGGGCTTCCTTTTCAATTTTCAAGAAACTCCTAAAGACAATGCTCTTCAGAGAGCATCGTCTAAACTAGCACCCTCCCTGCACCCGTCCCCCCTCTCTACTGTCCACTCCTTGTTCCCTCCTCTCCATGATTCATCATGCTGCCTCGCTGCTACCTACAACTGACTGGAAATTGTTTGTTGTTGTTATTGTTGTTGTTAGCATCAAGGGCAACATGCCAATTATCACTTGTAAGTCGCTTTGGACAAAAGCGTCTGCTAAATACATAAACATAATTTGGATTTGAATCTGAATGAAATAACTGACACGTGCACCAGGATAAAATCAAATTAGTCCAAATGAAAGCCATTGGACCAAATACATTAATTTAAAAGAAAGTCTAACTGTGAAAATAGTTTATTATTGCCAATTTGAGTTACCTACTTGTTTTTCACAATTAGAAGCCTGAGCTTTGGTGAAACATGTGAAATTATATAAAATATATATTTAACTCAAAATAATAGCTACATTAAACATAAATACATAATATGTAAGCAACTATCTTGTAACAGTTTATTTGATATTTTCTTGGTACACAGCAAATGAATAATTTCTTAAATTCTTTGTTTTGTTTTAGTGTTTGCTTTTATTTTGAAAGTGCGCCTCAGCTTGTTGTGCGTGTTGTCGCGCGCTCGACGGGCTCGTGAGTAGAACGCGTGTGTGCTCTCTGAGCTCGTGAAAGATGAACCCAGCAGTTGGGTCGTGAATTTTAGCGATTGTACAAGAAACATAAGCTCCTAACTTCCAGAACCACAACAGAAAGACACAAAAATAAAGTTTCTTCTGAAAAGCGACTCGATTCGTGACGTAACATAAGAGAAAGACGGAAACATCTGGCGAGTCTTTTTATAATCTCTGATCTCATCCAAATCCAAATCCGCTTTTAAACGAGAGGCCAAAGTCTGTAAAACACCACCAGCAAACATGACGACCGAACCGAACATCAGATATGACAAAAATACAATAAAATACAGCAGAACTCTACATAAAATACCTTTTGAATAACTTTGTGAAAAATCTAAATGAGCTTTCAATAGTTTTAATTGGAACGTTGTAAAACATTTTCTTCCGGATGTACTTGACACGTAATTGATGAATGTTGAATTACACAGACAGCAAAAGCGAGTTATAACCATAGTTGGCGGTTGTAGTTCACATTGCAACCTGTTGGTGGCAGTATAGAAACCTTGCAGTTGCTAAAATCAACCGATGAAGATGAAGCGGTTCCAGCTACAAACACGCTTCTCTCATTTTAGCTTGAGAGCTAAAAGGAAAACCTAATGAATAAATTAAACACATAATGACCAGACTTTAGTTTTAAATCACGATGGATGAAGACGCTACGGTAAACACCTTTAAGCATTTTTTATTTGTAAATATGTCGCGTACATTTAATTAAGGGGGAATGTTGATGTTAGCTAGCTGGTTGAGGCACACACAACCCTATTAACAACACGCCTTCTTTCATTATTATTAAATACGAAGTCTGAAAGAAATCATTTAACAACTTGGTCGGAATCTACAGCGGTCGGTTTAGTAATCGGCATAGATTTAGTAACGTTACCAACACGATCAATGTAGTTATTCAGTCGTTCATGTAGAGGTTAGTAGTAGCATTCCACCTAATTAGAGCTGTGAAGAAAAAAGAAAGAAAACGATCTTTTATGTAGCGCCTGTCAAGATAAAAATCACGTGGAGCTTAAAAAAAAGTATAAAAAGGATTTAAAATATGTTTAAAATGAGAAAAAGTGGGAAACCAGTGGATCACATGAAAGGCGGAATAAGAGCAGAACAAGGAGAGGGAGGTGATGAAGGTCCCACCAAAGCCTGCACAGGTGAGTTTAAAGGAGACCACGGAGTCCACTGATCTCAGGCTCAGGGGGAGAGAGGTCCAGAGTCTGGAGGCCACAGCAGCAGATAATCTGTCACCTTTGACCTTTACCCTGGTGCTGCACAACCAGTAGGCTTTGGTCACTGGACCTCAGGGTCCTGCTGGGGGTGTGGGGACTAAGAAGATCACCAATGTAAGAAGGTGCTTGTCCATGTAAGCCCCTAAAGACCAGAACCAGGATCTTGAAATGAACCCTGAAGTTGACTGGCAGCCAGTGAAGCTGGAGGAGAAGCGGGGTGATGTGGGTGTGTTTGGAGGACTTGGTCAGAAGCCGAGCACAGGCATTCTGAACCAGGTGGAGCAAAAGCTGCTAATAGTTAAGCTTTTATTTGTGTTTATTATTTATTGAGTATTTAAACCCGTTTTGATGCACCAACATCCTGCTGTGGTCAAGAAAGTAAGATTTAACATTTTACTCTTTCTGTTTGATTTAATTTATCTCATTTTTCTTCAAAAGCTCATTTTTGTCTAACTCACTGAAGGTTCTCATTTTTCAAGTTTCTTACAAACATTTTTCTTATTATGCATCAGATTTTAGATTTAATTTATTACTTTTTATTTGCTTTTTTATTCAAAGTTTGTTGTGAATCTACTTGTGTGAGTCGTGAGAATATTAATAATATTAGTAATAATTTTTAGGTTTTTGTCAAAAGCTCAGGTGAGTTTGAGTTGCTCTCTTCACCCGTACCTGTGTTCCTGTCCAGGCTGGCTACAGGGAGCCCTGCGCTCAGTGTGCAGCGGTGAACTGGGGCATCTCAGAAGAAGGTCGTTTCTACTGCATGTCCTGCCACAACGTCATAGAGGTAAACAACAACAACAACTTACAAGTGATGTAGGCGTGTTTGGAGGACTCGGTCAGAAGCCGAGCACAGGCATTTTGAACCACCTGTAGACGGTTCAGGGAGGTTCTGCTCAGACACGTGAAAAGAGAGTTATAGTAGTCTAAGCGTGAGGAGATGAAGGTGTGGAGAACAGTCTCAAGTTCAGAGCAGGACAGAATGGGACTCAGCTTAGCAATGTTCCTGAGATGGAAGAAGGAAGAGCGAACAAGAGAACTTACATGAGAATCAATGAGTATGTTACCATGGTAACACTTCCTCAGATGTCTTAAAACTCTGAAAGTTAGAAGCTTCTAAATTCTCATATTGTGGTTTCTGAACATGTGTCTGCATGGACGTTATTAATGTGGGTTTAAGCTTTCCGTTAGCTTTAGCCATGCTAGCTTGCACTTCTGAGAGGCTGGAGCATTTAGTGTTAGACTGCTAGATAATAATAATAATTATAATAATAATAAGCACAGTGAAGGAAACTCCTGAGTTCACATTTTAAAGAGACAGTTGGTACCTTGCTGCAGCTGTTTACTGCTGATAATAATAATAGATTAGATTTATAAAGAGCTTTTGGGCTCTCTGCTGGTGATGGAAAACTCAAACGTAGCCATGCTGCCCTGGGGTTGTCTGAGAGGTGAGGTTGTCATTTTGCACTCCCTCTGATTACTGGACAGCAGGCTCTACTGATCTTAAGGTCCTCATCAGCTTGAATGATAAATGCTCTAGACTTTCTGACTGATTTCCTGTTTCCTCTGCCTCCCAAGTCCAACGCTTTTACGTACAATTGAGCCTGTCAGCGTCATTGCCATGGAACGTGGTTAAAACGGGTTTTTGGCAGCTGTAGTGCCTGTGGCTGTCAGCAGGAGGCGCTGTTTTATCTGAGGCCTCCCCTGATGGTTTTTATACATGTTCCTGTGCTCAGAGGACCATAGAGGTGGTGGACCTGAGCGTCGCTGGAAGCTCCAACCGATTAAAATCTATCGCCAAAGGACCCAGAACCAGTAAAGAAGGTGGGTGTGTCCTCTGAGGTTGTTTCAGCTGGAATAACCACACACACACATACACCACACACACACACACATACACCACACACACATACACCACACACACACACACACACACACACACACAACTTTATTTTACAAACACAGATCTTTCTGGTCTCTAAAGCCGTCCCCAGATGTTTTCTAGCTGCAGGGGAACTTCAGTTTAGTTTCTGACAGGTTGATGTTCCTCAGAGCGCGGCTACACCTGGCTGGTCTGTGAGGGGTTCCAGTTCATCCTGAAGAACCAGGCTGACGCTCTGCTCCGGCTGGGAGTCGATCCGAACTTTAAGGTCCTTTTATTCTCAAGCGGATGTGGATGCTCCGGCGCCGGCCGATCCCGTCTGATCCGTCTAATCCATTTCAGGAGGTTTTGTGTCAGATGTGGAGACTTTACCTGCAGAAGAGCCAGCAGGCGTACACCTCCGATCGGCTGCGTGGGTCCAGGTTCAGACCGGTCCGTTCTGCAGATTCATTCATTCATTCATTCATGTGCATGAATGTGGAGTTGTAATGGTTTATTATTGTTTTATACAGTATTGTGTTTTTTGTTTGATCTGTTTTTCTTTAGCGTGTTTTTTCTGTTACTATTAGATAATTTCTTTTTATAAGACTTTCTGCTTTTATTACATCCTTTTAAAACTGCAGATTTTTGATTTCAGACTTTTGTTATTTTCTATTTTTAAACAAATGTTTGTTTCTTAAAATCTTTTTTCCTCTAGATGGATTTTTATGTATTTGAATGAAACGTTTTTATCTTTTTAGTTTTTACATTTTTAATAGTTTTTATATTTAGATCTTAATCCATTTTAGTCATTTTTCACCAACTTTATTAAACTATTTTTATACTTTAATGTGTGAATGGTGGACTTGCTTGTGGTTTAAAGCTGAGCTGAAAGTTGTGACTAATTAACTCGCCCGTCTCGTCAGCTCAACATCGACTCAGACTCTGACTGCGCCACCGAGTCGTCCATCGTGTCGGAGAGAGAGTCGAACCCGTCCAGTTTCTCAGGTTCTAGCACCAGAACATCAGGTTAACCTTCAGACTTGCTTCAGCAGCTTTCTGCTGACTAAACGAGTTTCCCTTCGACCCTCAGAGATCGACAGCGATTGCTCCGGTTCCGCCGACGAGAGAACCCCACGGAGGAGGAACCGCTTGATGAGAATGAGGAAGACTCTGGCTCTGGTTCACCTAGCGTTGGTGTGGAGCCGCGAGGCTCTGACGCTCAGCGACCTGCTCAGGTGCGCGCATGCACACACACTCACGAGATTATAAATAAAGTTTATTTGAATGGTGTGTGTTTGTTTCCAGGCTGGTCAGAGACGGCCACGTCCCATACCTGAACGCCTACGAGCAGTTTCCTGAAGAGATGAAGCTGAGTGGAAACAAATCCAGTGTCTTCAACACCAAGGTGAGAATTCCTAAACGGGAACGACACACTTGGACCAGAGAGAGTAGGTCAACACTAGAGATCGGGTGTTTCCAGTCATTCTTCTCTAAAGGAAACAGGAAGTGGATCAGTTACATGGGGTGGAGCTTATTTATGAACTCTTGGGTCTGTTCCTGTTAGGTTGACGACGTGACATGAACGTTCATAAAATAAGCACGGTCAGTCTTCACTCAGACTAGCTGTTAGCTTATCTATCCTGATGGACCTAAACACTATTTCTCTGAGCTGAGGTTGTTCAGGAAGTGTTTCTAGTTCCTACCCACTCGTCTCTGCAGAGCATCCCGTCTCACCGCCTGGTCCATAAAGTGGCTCAGAGTCTGGTTCTGGTCCTGGAGCTTCCTGCTTTTCCTCCCATCGGCCCAGAGAATCTGCTCCACCCGGCGATGCTCAGCATGCGTTACCTAGCTGATGCCAACCTGCCCGGTAACTCCCACCTGACCCGGTTAGTTCCACGTACTGGTACCAGCACCGCTGACCCGTCTCCCATCCCTGTCTCCCGTCAGATGGGCTGCACCGGTGGGTCTGCAGCCTGATGGAGCGCCCACAGAAGTCTAAACGGGATCCGAGTCCGGCGTTGCCACGGCACGACGTTCAGGCCGCTGCCCACATCATCGTCACCATGAAGCTGATCTTCGGTCTAGACGACCATACCGAATGGTACCCCGACCCGCCCGATTCTAACCACTTCCTGTCCCTCAGCGGCTCAGCTGTCACTTTTTCTTCTGTGTTTCAGGGAATTATCCAACAAAGTGACCCCGCATGACCCCTCTGGTAGGTGTTTCTCCTGGTTCCCTGTCGGGTCAAAGGTTGTGGATTTTCTGGTGGATCCGCAGGGTCTGGTTCTGCTAGAACAGATTTATTTTGGATGATGTGTTTTTACGGTCGGCCATTCTGGCTCAGGTCTGACACCTGTGGTCTGAATCTGATGTTTACAGAAAACCTGTTCAGCTTCAGGAGGTGGTTCCGGCTGATGGGGGCGGCTCTGGGCCGAGCCGAGCAGAAGCGGGACCGGGATATGGCCAGGTGAGGATCAGAGGTCAGCCTACATCTGGATCCTGAACCTGTTTGGACCTCTCTCATCCTCCACAGCTTTTTATTTATTTAGTTCAGTCGGACCACCTTTTACCCGCTTTAGTTGGGTTGGACTCAGACTGGGTCTGAACTGTGGTCGTAAAAATATCCTCTTTCAGGTGAATTTGGTGTTTTTATCCCATCGGCTGCTTCAGAGGGCGATCAGCAGGTGGCGCTGCTGGCCCGTGTATGCTTCAACCCTGTGTGGTTGGATACAATTCTGCTTGTTTTAAACTTTTCACTCAAAATTTTCTAAAAGTATCTGGTTTCGACTTCAACCGGGTAAACCCTAAACCAGGTAGACCGTAACCCAGGTAAACAATAAACTAGGTAAACAGGTTTTTTTACTTTCCTGAATCTATTTATTTCTCTGAGCAGAAAGCTGATTTAAAAAGTTCCGATCTGCTTCATGGAATCTGCTTTTAAACACAAACCTAACAAAATAAAAGCCTCTTGGGAGTGGAATCCGTTTACCGTCCAGGTTTTGTGTTTTGATAAAAAACTGATTTATTTTTTCTCTTTGTCTCGTTTGCAGGAAGCAGTGGAAGCCAACGAAACCGATTATCCTACGTAGGAGGCTGGCGGGCCGCGCGATGAAGACAAAAAGTGAGAATCTGAAATGAAAACTGAAAATTTATCTTTTGTTGGAACTACTTTTATTTTATTTTGAAAGAACTCTTTCTCTTCCTGCCCTAAGTCGTCCAGTCAGCATTCAGGCTGCAGACTTGAGCGGTCTGTAGTTCAAACCTGAACCCGTGACCCGGCTCTGGAGGTCTCTCCTGGCTCAACGTGTCGCTGCAGCGGGGTTTAAGGTCTGAGCCACAGATCTGTTCAGGTTCTGACACCGTGGTTTTGTTCCTTCAGGAATCTCTGAGCAGCTGCAAATGTGCTTCGAGAAGCTGTCCTCCAGTCCTGCAGGTGTCCAGGATGTCGGTCTGTCCAGCTTCAGGTTCTGCTGGGGCGACGAGGACGGGTCCAACGGTCCCAGTCTGCATCACATGAAGCTGGATGGAGTCCTGAGCCTGGAGGACGATGTCCTGACTCCCCTTAACTCCTCCTACTGGCATCCAGGCCTCAGACGCTGCAAACTGATGTGAGTTCTGAGTCTGACCCAGGAGAACCAGAACCAGGAGCCCCATCTCAGCGTCTAACCCTGACTGTCCCGTCCTCTGCAGGCACTGCCAAGGATCGGCCCCGGGTCATTACCCCGAGTTCGAGCCGTCGCTGCCGCGGTCCTTCGTCTGGGTGCTGCGGCTCTTCAGCTTCCTGCTGGACGTGGAACCATGTTACCTGTTTCAGGAGGTGCTGGAGGTGGAGAGGAGGCTGGTCGGATCCAGGTTACCAGGGCAACGAAACAAAAGGAGGCTCAGGAACAGGACAGGAAAGGAAGAGGAGCAGCAGGAAGAGAGGAGCTGAAGGGATGAAGGATTAGCCTACCTGGACGTGTCCCCAAACGTCCCACCTGGTGTCTCGAGAACAGACTCGGAGGAGAAAAGTTATCAAGTTTCATTTCATCTGGATTCAGATGGTTGTAAAAGAAAATTCATGAGATAAGATTCTTAATTTTTTTATGAACTTGTATAAAAACATGAAACGAGTGTATTAAAACAGAAAACTCTGACATGAAGCATCAGAGACATGTTTATGTGACCCAAGTGCAGGTGTTTCTGTCCTCATGCGGCTGCTGCTGATGATGATCAAGTAAATTCATGCTTTCACTTCCTGTTTTTGTGCTTTGTCTGGAGACAAAGGAGCTGCAGTAGCGGGGAGCAGCCAGCAGGGGGACAGGTGGTGAAGGAGGCTGAACACCAGACCAGAGATGTTTGTCTGCAGCTCCTCTGGAGTGGAGATGTTCCTGCTGGGCAGCTCCAGCAGAACCTGTTCCCTGGATGATCCCGTCTCACCAGAACGGGTTTCATCTCCTATCTGATGCGTCTGAGGCTGAGAACACGGCAGGAGAGTGGTTCAGTCAGCCGCTTCCAGACAGGTGATGTCTGCATCCAGCTGTTTGTTTTGTCGCTGCTGTTGCTAGGCAACAGGACAGCTTGGGCAGGTTGCCATGGAGATGTCACAGGTAAGAGTCCAACAGGCAAACATGAGCTCACTGCTGATGATAATGTGTCTCGGAGAAACTGGAATACCAAATCCTCTCCGGCGGATCTGACTCCAGTTACCATAAATTCCACCAAAACATGGAATGATTGACAGGTGTCCCTTCTAAGGGGGCGCCTCAGATGGCTCTGTGAACAGCCTCAGTTTGGAGAGTTACCTGGAGCCCAGGTGTGTCCCTGTGATGGACTAGAGTCCATTCCAGGTGGGTGTTGGACAGACGAGGGATACGTTTTTCCCATCTGGGACTGGGTGTCCCATCAGGTCCGGGTCCTTCCTCCCACCTCCTCCAGAACTCTGAAGACGCTCGACCTGTTTCTCCTTCCTGGTTCAGCCAATCAGAACTCAGCTTTTCTGCTGGCATCATTTTATGTTTCTGTAGGATTTTGTGCCTAAATGGGAATGATCTATCATGTAACTCCGAACTCACAAAGACTTCTCCTGAAATCAGCTGGTGAATAAGGTTTAACTCGGGACTGCTGCCGGAGAACTCTGGAAAGTTTTATATATAAATATATATATATTTTTTTTTTTTCGTGGGTGCTCAGCGAGTCGACTGGAAAAGAAAACACGACTCAGATTCCTGATTTAGAAACGTTCCTGCTGCCGTCGGCCTGCTGATACCAAACATCTGGGAAACATCCAGATTTCTGTCGCTGAGTTCCTGGAAAGCAAACGGGAATGTTGAGTCGGATCGACTCACAGCCCGATCTTCAGATGAATAATTAATAAATCTGATTGTCTTTTATTTCCTTTTTCTTTAAAGGAATTGTTTTATTTTCAGGATTTTTCTTTTCTTTTTGAACTAAATGAACTTTTGTTTTGCTGTAGAATAAAACAAACATTAAAAAAAGGTTTTAAATGTTTCTGGTTTTAAATCTGCACTAAAAACGTTTTATTCGTTCTGTTTTAATTTTTTTCTCATAAACTGATTTTTTTTATTAAATCGCCCTTTTAGCTGCTGTTTCAAATCATTGGTTTGATTTAAACGTTTTTGTTTCTTTTTCCTGTAAAACATGACATTTTTTTAACGGATAAATAAAAAATGAATTAATAAAACATCTCCAGACAGAAATAATTTACTTTTGAAAAAAGGAAAACGATATAAAGATTAAAATAATTTTATGAATTTCCTCAAACGAAAAAACAATTGTTTTGTTATAAAATAAAATAAAAACATGTTTAGCTTTAAACTTGGATTCAGGCTCAAAAGTGACTTAATGTGATTAAATTATTTAAATTAAATCAGAAGTTTTTGTTTAATAAAACTATTTTAAATCTGGTTTTTGTGACAAACGACAAACTCACGAATCTTTTTTTAAAAGTTGTGTTTTTTGTCATTTTGTGGAATTTTATTATGTTTTCTGTTTAATTTTTTGCCAACGGAGTTGCTCTTTTTTTAAAAGACAAATACAAAAATAATTTAAATTATAACAAATAACAGCAGGAAGGTAAAACACACACACACAGGCCTGCTTAGAAAACACGTCAGTTCTGATGATTTTAAAATTAAAAAAGCAAATACATTTTATTTGATTTCTGTTAGATTTTTTTGGTTCATCCTAAACTACTTTTTTTCTGAATGTTAACTTTTGTTGCTCGGTCCATTTCAGTCTTTACTGTTTCCATCATTTATTCTGATTTTATCATTTTCTCCAGTTTTTGTCACATTTGCCTGTTTAGTTTTCATCCAGCTGATTTTCTGCAGACTTGATGGAGCAGAACCAAACCAGCTGATGTGACATTTTGGATCTTGATGCTGGAGAATCATCTTTTGATCATCTGGGCTCCATCTCTATGGTTCTGGTGACAGCTGAGTCGCTGGCAGGAAGTGAAGGCAGAGAAACGGGAAGTGTTTGTTTCAGTTGGTCTGGAATCAGTCGCCTCAGCAAAAACCAACTCCCATCATGCATTTCACCTAAAGCAGCTAAAATAACGTTTGTTGATTCTCACCTGATGTAGCAAGAGAGAAGGAAGAGAGAGAGGGATTCGAGCGAGAAGAAGCTAAGGACGTTTAAAAAGAAAGGTGTGAAAATGGAAAAAAACAACATCTGGTCAGGACATCTCCCTGGTGAGGTTTTCTGGGCACATCTAACTGGAAGGACACCCAAGGGAAGACCCAGGACTTGCTGGAGGGACACTCTGCAGGCCAGGGACTGCCTTGGGAGAGGGAAGTCTGGGCCTCTGCTTAGGCTGCTGCCCCTGGATAAATAATTATTAAGTAAAATATAATCAAATGAAAGATGGGAGGAGTTCAGGTTAGTTGTTGAGGCCCCGCTCCTCTGGACACACCTCATCAAACCCTAACTGTTGCCATGGAGATGAAATCAGACGGATAAATAAACTGGAACCAAACCGAAAATAAAACCAAGAAAACCTTGAAGACTGGAGCTGAGTTAAAAATAAAATATTAGTTACAACCTAAAAAGTTTGAAATGAATCGTTTAAACCAGATTTTTTAACTCCACAGCTGACTGGGACATCTGACCCGGTTCTGATCAGATGTGAAACAGGAAGTCAGCAGCATCAACAAATAATCATCACAACAGAACTAAACTCAGATTCTCTGATTGGAGAAACCACCTGAAGCTCCCATTGGCTCAGCCAGCTGTCATCAAATCGCTGTCCAAGCCCTGTTTTCATGAGACTGGTTCGATCAAACATCAGAACATAACCTGCGTTCCCATCTGGAACAACGTGAGCAGAAGCTTAAGGACGGGATGTTCCGGACGGAAGTCCTCAGGAGGAGCGTTGACCTTTGACCCCACAGCCATGAGCGAGATGTGAAGGGGCGCTCTGTCTCAAAAGTTCATCTGGAACTTTATGTGGGCAAACTGGTGAGGAGCTGCAGAACCAGCTGATTAAAAACAAACATCAGAACCAAGACCTCAGACTGGACCTGATAACCATCTGAACCCAATCAGAACCAGACCTGGACCAGAAAAGAACTGGTCCTAAATCCTCACACGGTTTCCATAAAAACACAGAATTCCCCAAAGTCACGCTGACCCAAAAAGGACTTGACCCTAACCCTCTAGAGAAGTTCTGGGATGACCGAAGGATGACGAGAACTTCCTGTGAAACAGTTTTACTTTTTACATGTTTGTAAAACTTCTGCTTCCTTTTTAGTTTATTCTAAAATTTGTAAAAAAAAAAAAAAAAAAAAATTAACAAACTAAAAATGTGCAAATGAAAATTCTGACCTAATGAAAAAAAACCTTTTCTATTGGAATTATTTCTGGAATTTCTGGATTTTACAACCTGCAGGGTTCAGACAGCCTCCCTGTTGCCATGACGACAGCCAGTCAGTTATTGCCTCCTGACAGAGTAATTGAAGGATGCGACTCGTTTGTGTCCCGTTTTCTGACATCAGGACCGACGCAGAAATCCCAAAGATGATTGAAATAAACCTGAATTTATTTATATTTATTATGAAAACGTAACTTTCCTCTTTGAGTTTTAATCGTTTCCTTTTTGATTTTTCATTTTTATTGTAACTGTGCAGAACTTCTATAAAACTTTCATGATTTTTATCAACAAGCATCACATTAATTGTTTTTGTTCAACGTAAAAACTGTTTTAAACTCTGCCAAATGAAATTATTTTGAATCACTAAAACTGTTTCCTGCAGAAAGTCATTCAGAAACGCACGATTTCAGATTTCTCTGTAGACATGTTTTTGTTTATTCTTTATGCTTTTATTGAACAAACTAAACTCTGAACGAGTCAATAGAAACTCTGGTTTTTATTCTCATCACATCTTTTCTGGGAGATCTGATGCCAAACCTCTTGGCTGTGATGGGACAGAACCGAGTCCAGAACCAGGTTCTGAGTCGGAGCCAGCAGAGCGCGGATGTTTGATTCCCTTCTGCTTAAATCTGGGAGTTTTCTGCCTGGAAACTGGTTTTTATGGGAGGACCGCGAGTGTTTTCCTTTTTTTTACTCCGCAACCTCAGTGAACCTGGAAGGAGGAATGAACTCACGTCACCCTGCTGCTGCTGCAGGATCCGGATCCGCACCACGGGGGGCTTTATTCTCTCTGACGGTCTCTGCTGCTGCAGGTGAGCTCAGGTGAGGTCTCCTGTCAATCAAGCACACCCTAAACTCTGTTTCAAGACAGGAAATGGACATCAGCTCCTTGTTGCTGATGATGACACCCCACTACCATGATGTGGCTTAAAGGGTTAACATAGCCTCAACAAAGGACCTGGCACTGGACATGCGCGTGCACGAGGCTGGGGGAGGCTGGATGAGGGAGGGGGCGTTTTTTTTTAGCCCCGCCCTGAAATTCTTCAGTGGAGAGGCTGTTTACAACCTCGGTGTGCAGCCAGGAGTCTTTGGGTTCATCTGCCCGGTGGGGAGGGGGGAGTCATCGGCAGGAAAACGGTGCAGGAACAATAACTGCTCCAGAGCTGCAGGATCTGCGCGCTTTTGTCCGGAACTCCGTTTTAAGCTGATTTCTGAGCAGGAACAAAAGAATGTGCGTTTCCTGAGAGATTCCGAGTTTTGGTTCCTTCTGTCTGCAGCAGCTCCTCCTGGACACGTGTTTAAGATAAAAATCACCTGATCGCCTTAAAAGCAGTTTACCTGGAGAGCAGCTGCTTCAAGATTACTTTTAAATGAATGTGCAGCGCTTTGGTCGGCTGTAATGCCGCGTGAAGCGTGTTTTGGTACCATAGCAATAATAAATCTGTAATTATATGTAAAACATGACATTTTCATTAAAATCACAAACAGAAGAAACGAGATTAAAATGTTTTACTTTCATTTTTGTGAGTAAAAACATAAAACCTGAGTCTTTGTTTTGGTTCACGTTTTTCCAGCCGAGATAAAAAAGAAAAGTGACGACACACAGCTGTGTGTGTGTGTGTGTGTGTGTGTGTGTGTGTGTGTGTGTGTGTGTGTGTGTGTGTGTGTGTGTGTGTGTGTGTGTGTGTGTGTGTGTGTGTGTGTGTGTGTGTGTGTGTAACAGCCTATCGCGCGCGCCCCCGCGGATCCGCCTCGCGCCTGTCTGCTTCCTCGGATGGAGCGCGCTGCCGGGTTCATCGGGTTTACTCTGACACCGCTGACTCTCCGGCCACGCCCCCAGCGGACAACGCACCCCGCCTCCCACCAATCAGAACGGGATCACGAACAGATCAAGAACCGCCTCGCCGCTGATTGGCCGCGGCCCGATACACCTTTAGCTGTGATTGGCTGCGTGTTACCACCCGCCAGACTGCTCTGAATTTTGTTTCTGTGTTGTTTTTTTGTCCTCTTCTTCTTTTCCAGTTGCTCTCAGCTGAAGCTTGGTCCCAGGCTCACGCTCCGCTCTCCGCTTCACTTTGTCAGCTCCTCCTCCTCATGCTCGGCTTGGCGGCGGAGCGCCCCTGGCAGGTGAGTCCTGGACCGGTTCCTGACGGCCGTCCGGTCCCGGGGTTTGTTTAAAGTTGTCCCCCGGTGCTCTGGGATCAGCTGCTGGAGCTGCACCGGGCTCCAGTCCCGCTTAACGGCGCTGATTCGGTCTCATTTCCGCGCTGTCAGCCGGTTTATCTGAGGTCACGCTGAACCCAGTGACTCCGGTGCGCGCGCACGTGTGTTTGTGTGTGGCTGCAGCCTGCACGTGTGTGTGTTTCCGCGCGCTAACAACAGTTGCATCCCTGCATCAGAAAGTTTGCAGATGTAGAAACGATCCGCAGCTGCTTGTCTTCGTTGTGATTCTGATGGTTCCTATTGTTTCTCATCTCTGCTGGGAAAACCCAAGCATGAACGATTAACAGCTGTAATCATCGATTAATCGTCAGATTGTGTTTTATCCAGACCAAGTATTCTCAAAAATCATGTTTTAGCCGCGAGAGTTCAATGATTTCCTTTGTTTTGGTTGTGATGGTTCCATCATTTATTTTTTATGTATTTACCAGATGAGTCGATAATCTTTATCTAACCTGACCGATTAATCAGCTGATCGGTGGATCCATGATTAGGTCCTGTTTAGAGCTCTGACGTCATGGTATTAAGGTCAAATTAAACAGCAATAAAAGAATTTTGGCTGAAGCCCAGATTAGAGGATTTTTACCATCAACACAAAAGTCTCATTAGCCATCACACACTGGTGAAGTCATCTCTGTATGTGACCCATCCCCATGGGGAGCGGTGGCTGTGCTCAGGAACTATCTGGTGGTTTGCCCCCCCACCCCACCCTTAAAGCTGAGTGAAGTAGGGAGGCGTTGGGACAACCCGACCTCCCAGTCCCAGGGTGAACACCTAACCCTCTGAGAACCACTGAGAAGGTCTAACAAACATGTTTTGTATTTAGTTTAAACACCTGCTGTCTCTAACTGATACGCATCTACGATTGGACTGATCAGAATCTGATCATGAACAATAAGGTCTTATCTATACTGTTCCTGCTGATCCTCTGGTTCAGTGGTTCTGATCCCGGGTCCGTTTCCTCAGAACCGCTCTCCTGAAAACAAAGAAACGGCGAGTCGGCCACACATGGAGGCAAATCCAGAACCAAACACGAAAACAACACGATGTGATCAATAGGCCCTCTGTGGCTGTGCAGAGCTCTGCTTTGATGCGGTGATTGATTATTAATGTCTACGATCAGGTGGTGTGTTTGTGGAGAGGTGGGAGTGCGCGCTCTGATGTGTTTCTAGCAGATTGTTTTGTTTGACTTCCTGTTGGCATCCTTTCCTCGGGGTGAGCCAGTGCATGTAAATGTGGGAGGTGGGGGCGTGGCCTGGATCTAGGGGGCGTAACCCATCCTATCATCTATTCAGGGTGAAGGGAGGTTCCCCTCCAGCTTTTTGTGAGACACAGCAGAGGGGCCCATCCCTCTCTCTCTCTCCCCCCCTGCCTGCTCTGTGCAGGTCTCTCGCCCCTACGCTCCTCCACCCTTCCTGTGTGCAGCTGAGCATTCGCCACACGCCGTCCAACTGGGCCAAACGCCCTGCAGCCCTTTGTCCCCGATTCGCCTCCCACTCAGCTTCAGCTTTATTTATTTGTTTGCTTTTTCACCTTTTTTTGGAGTGGCGGTTTGGCTCTGCAGGAAGTGGGAAAGCTGTGATGTCATGGGTAATTGGATGGGTGGTGTGTGGCCTCCTTCCCAGAGGAAGAAGGCAAGGCTGGAAAACAGACTCTGTAGTTTGCTGGTGCATTCAGGTCATGTGGGAATGGCATATTGGGAATCTTCCCATCTTGTTAGCAGCCAATCAACAGCAAGCATTTCTAGAGTCCTTATCTTCTTTCCCCAAACAAGGTTAGAAATTATAGAGGCCAGTTTCACGTCTGGAATCTCACCGGCTTCCCACTTTCAGCGCCTAATTGTGAACGGTATTCGTCGGGGCTCCACCTTCTCTCACAACTGGCAGGAATTTTTAACTATTTAAAAGATAGTTGGATTGATTTCCTCCCACAGATCCCCCCCCCCCCCCCCCCCCCCCCGAAGAAGATTGAGACTCTTTGAGACTAAACTGCACACCTGTTGCAGGAGCGTTTGTTTATTTGCAGCTTTGTGGGGTTAGCTCGTTTTTCGGCAGCACGGTGACGGGTGTTACAGTCAGAGACACCTCATGGCTTCACGGCTCGTGTGGAAAAGACACGAATGTGCTGCCATAGTAAAGGAACAGCCTCTACGTCTGAGCTGAAACACACAGATGCCGTCCGGGTTCTGAGTCGGCCGGCTCGCTGCTCCTCCTCTTTAATTGGATGAAGCTGAGCGGCTGAAGTGTGAGGTCATGGAAACGAAAAGCCGGTTTCCTGTTGGTGAGAAAACCACACAGGAGAACTATTTCACATCGTCGCCCAACTTTACCAGAGCAGGAAACGTGTTTAGAGTCTTCAGTTTATGTGAAAGTGTTTTGCTGACCTTTGACCTCCTGATCGCCCTCAGGTTGACCACGGCAAAAAACAGCTGACGACGGCCATGGAGCTGAAGTCGTGCGTGGAGTACCATGACCTCGAGGCTGCCGAGGCGCTGGTCAGCATGAGCTTCTGGTGTCAAAGGCCACAGAAGCCCCGCCCACTCACCCCCACCTCTGACTCCTGTGACTCCATCCAGCTCCACCCAGAAGGAGGTGACGCTCCCAAAGACCTGATCGCCCTCTCCTCTCTGGTAGGAAATCCATCCTTCAGTTAGTAAAGATGTTTGTTAACCTCTAACATCTGGTCGATGACGTCTCGTCTTTTTCAGTGCATGACTCCGCCTCACAGTCCCAGCTTCGCCGAAGCGTCCACCACGACTGTCCTCACCACAACGTCTGTCCTTAGCCCCGCCTCCAGACAGATGTTACTCTGCCCCAGCCTCACCTCCTGTCCCACCCTCCTCAGCGACTTCCTCCCCCAGCCCTCCTCCTCGCCCATTTCCTCAGAGACCTCCACACTCCCGCATCACTCCGAGACTTTGTATGTGGCTCCGCCCAGCAAAGCAATGGCCACCAGCGTTATCCGCCACACCGCTGACAGCCTTGGCCTTCCAGGTCCTCCACCTTCCATCCTGCTGACCGAAACCTCCTCAGCTCCTCAACCACAAAAGACATCTGCAGAGGAGAAGGATGTGCCTCCACCGTCTCCCCTCAGCATGTCTTCTTCCCCTTCCTCGGTGTCTCAGCCTCACTCCGCCTCGCCGTCTTCCTCCCCGGTTGCTTCTTCTCCAGTCCTCTGTCAGGTTTTCCCAGTAAGCAGCCAGACCGGGATGATCTCTGCCTTTGTCCAGGCTCCGGTTCAGGTCCAGACGGGACCCAAACCCATCCTGCCCCAGAGTCCTCCTCCTGGCTTCGCCCAGCCTCTGCTGGTGGGCTCAACCATGCCGCAAGGGGCCGTCATGTTTGTAGTCCCACAGGCGCCCGTCTCCCAGCCGTCGCAGGGGCCACAGACTGTAATGACCCTGGGCAACACCAAGCTCCTCCCCCTTGCACCTGCTCCTGTTTACATGCCATCAGGAACAAACAACGGCGCCTCACAGGCCGACTTCTCCCGCAGACGCAACTACGTGTGCACCTTTCCCGGCTGCAAGAAGACATACTTCAAGAGTTCTCACCTGAAGGCTCACCTGCGCACGCACACAGGTAAGAATCAGGTGGGACGGGCAGCATCACGTTTTACCGTGTTGAGTCTGAAAGGCAGAAACACTTATCTGGTTCGGCCTCGCTCACTGATCCGTTGACCTTCTTCGCAGGTGAGAAGCCGTTCAGCTGTCACTGGGAAGGCTGCGACAAGAAGTTTGCCCGCTCCGATGAGCTTTCGCGCCATCGCCGAACGCACACGGGCGAAAAGAAGTTTGTCTGCACTGTGTGCGACCGGCGCTTCATGCGCAGCGACCACTTGACCAAACACGCTCGGCGTCACATGACGAGCAAGAGGGCGTCGTCGTGGCCGACCGAAACCCGAGACCTCATCAAGGGAGCCTCGCCTAAGGGCCAGAACAGAGGTCCGACACTTCCTGTTGGTGTGCTGGTCCCAACCACCAACTGAGAGGTTCTCGGACCCACAGCGCCAGCTCAGGACTCCAAGGGTTGTGGGGGACGTTCAGATCAGACTCATGACTGTGACTGGGGCGTTCAATCAGCACCACCAGCTACATCAGGAAGAGGTTTCCTAGTCTGCTGGTCCGATCTGCGTTTACAGGACCTGAGAACAGGGTCGGGAACACCTGCAGAACTCCAGTAAACTACTTCCTGTAACGATGTCCGTCCTCTGAGTGACTCGCTCAGATCCCATCATCACATTCAAGTACTACTTTGCATACATGCACAGAAACTCAGAACCTTCAAGAATATTTGTACAAGATCCGAGTGCTGCCATAACCCGGACACACGTCTGGGTCGGGTCCGTTAGCGGGGAGCCCCCTGGGGCCCTCCGCCCTGCTCAGGACATTTTACTACCACAACCACAAAACTCACTGCAAAAGGAGGAGGAGGAGGAGACAACAGGCTGCTATCCATCCGCGGACAGAAACCAACAGAAACCTGACGTTGCACTGGATTTTCTACACCTGACGCGTTTTTATAATCATGTTTACTTCATGTGTCACATTTAGCCAGATGTATGCACACGTTTTATTGTTTGCCAAAGCTTCTGTATCGTGCTTTTGTTTTTAGCCGATTTGTGTTTATTTGACAGTAAATAATGTAAATATCCTGATATCTATATGAATGTTACGTGTATTCCAGTCTCCATCTAAAAACAACTTATGGGTTTTTTTTATGTCAGTGGACAGTATTCATCACTGTGATACTACCTATCTTTGCTTTACTCTTTATTATTATTATTTAATAAACATTTGTTAAGGAAAAGTGTTTGTTTTTAATATCTTGATTTGGCCCATATTGTAGCCAGTAAGAGAATACCTCATGTTTTTAAATGTTATATCAGAATAATCCCATTTCCATACATTTGCTTGTGGGCAACAGTGAACAATATAGCTTTTATAATAAAACCTTACCATGAAACTCTGGACTGCTGTGGTGTTTTTATAACTGTCCTCTTTATGCAAAATATCAAACACTTTTATCAGTTTAACATACAACTTGGAGGACAATATTATTTTTATAATATCTGATATTTGTACACTTAGGAAAAATGAAACCACCTCTCCCACGTCAGAAGTCATTATTCAACGGTACAAAGTTTATTTCAAGTATTTTGAGGTTTTAGTTCATAAACTTGAGGAAGGAAACCCACGCATGCATGTGGATTCCTTGCTGCGTGGCACCCGCACCCTAATGAGCCACTGGCAACAGCGTTAACATTTCTGTCCACCTTGGCAGAAACTGTCGAGGGGTGGTTGGTGTGTTAAAATGGTTTCTCTATTCCTGTTTAGTGTTTTTATATAATGACAACCCTACACTGGAAGAAACTCTTTGGAGTTACTTGAATTTATTGTGTGCATTGGTTCCACATGATAAAAATAAAAGAAGATTCTCTTCCTTCTGCTGATGAACTCTAGTCAAACTAAAATATTTAGTTGATGATTAAATCACTCTACTTGATTTTAACTTGGGGCCGGGGTGTGTGGGCCCCTCGCTCGGCCATGTTGCACATGCTCCCTGTGACTTCCACAGGTATTGATAGTTTTTTCTCACTGCCAGCTATAAAACACCACTTTTGTTTTAGCACATGTATATTTCATTTCATTCATAATACCTTGAACGTGATTTGAACTAAAACCGTAATCAGTTGATTTATTTAGATTGTCAACATTTAAGAAAGGCTGTGGCATGCTGGGAAATCTGCTTTATCCAACCAGTGATCAGTGTGCTGAAGGATGATCACTCGCATCTTTTTAAGTCACCCCAACTAGAAGGAATAAAGTAGAAACTACCTTGTACCCGAACATTACACGGGTTCATCACGTTCGCCTTACAAACTTCATCCGATAATGTAGAAACTATGTAAGGAGTAAGAGAACCTAAGGAGGATTTCCAGGTTTTCAGTCATTTCCGGTTGTGGTTGAACATGATCATATTGACAATGCAAGAAAATTTAGTGCATTGAGTTTATCAATAAATGCCGCAAGTCTACTTCAGTTAATCATATTTATAGATGAAACATGTATAATCTGTCTCATTTAGCATATTCAATGAGCTGCCGATTATCTTTTTTGAGTGTATAATTTCTAGAACTGGAAACTAATTTACACAATTTTATAAAATAGTGATAAAAGGTTTAAAATAATAATCTAAACAGAATAAAGACCTCAGGTGTTAAAAAACAAAGGAAACAATCTTTTATATAGCGCTTTTAAATCATGAGGCGCTTCAACAAAACAAAAATTTTAAAGAATAAAAAAATTAAAAAAATAATTTAAAATGTGTTTAAAATGAGAACAAATTGAAATTGTGGTACAAAAAATTGTAAGGAAAGGGAGAGAGGAAATGAATGTTTGTAATGCAGAGGATAGTGGCCACAGGGCCTCAGCTGGTTTCTGGATCAAATCCAAGCTCCATCCATGGCAGATGTTGTGCCCTTGAGCAAGACAATTCACCCTCCTTACCTGCTGGTGCTGGTCGGAGGGACTGGTAGCTTCTGTCAGGGAGCCCCAGAGAAGTTGTAGCTAAGAGGTAGCTTATGGGCGTTGGTGGCACAGGAGTTAAGTGCAAGCCCCGTAATCGGAAGGTTGCCGATACAAACTCTGCTCAATCTGTCACTGTTGTTGTGTCCTTGGGCAAGGCACTTAACCCCCCTTGCCTGCTGGTGGTGGTCAGAGGGACCGGTGGTGCCTGTGCCTCTGTCAGTGCGCCCCAGGGCAGCTGTGGCTACATCATAGCTCATCCCCACCAGGGTGTGAATGTGTGAATGACTGATTGTGTTGTAAAGCGCCTTGGGGGGGGGGGGGGGGGGGGGGGGGGGGGGGTGGGTAGGGGGGTCCAGGACTCTAGAAGACATTATATCAAACACAGGCCATTTACCATTTATCACCATCAGTGTGGAAATGTATGAATGACTGTAGGGTAAAGCGCTTTGGAGTCCTCTGACTCAGATAGGTGTCATACGGATGAAGGTCACCACCCCATTCAGAGAAAAGACTTTACTGCTGAACACCTGCAGACGTCTACATTTAACGTTGTCTCAGAATAAGACTGAAACTGAGTATCCAGAAGTCCCGTAAAATATAAGTGGGTTCAACCAAAGGTAATAAAGGTTGTGACTGGACCAGCCCGGGCTCAAGCTCACAAAGTGTAGAGTTCCACGTTCTTTCCAAAGACGCTGAATTTCAAATTCAACAAACAAATGTTGTTTAATAAAAGGTTTTCAAATAGTAAGTAAGAACAGTCTTGCTGTGTGTGTGTTTGTGTGTGTGTGTGTGTGTGTGTGTGAGAGAGAGAGAGAGAGAGAGAGAGAGAGAGAGAGAGAGAGAGAGAGAGAGAGAGAGAGAGAGAGAGAGAGAGAGAGAGAGAGAGAGAGAGAGAGAGAGAGATTTCTGCTGCAGGATTAGCTATTTTTCTCGTATTGTTCCTACTTTAGTTTTAATTTTCTCCTTCTGAAAAGGTTATTTAGATCTTAGTTAATCTATGAAATATGTCACAAAGTCCCTCAGACTGAGGTCTGAGTTACAGTTGGGCCCGTCCACTAACCCTTTGATGCATAATGGTCACTACAGTGGACAGGTACTCAAAATTGTTATTTATTTATTTTTGCTATTAAACACAGCTGTTGAAGACTTTATTGCATGTGAGCCCCTCCATTTGGACTTCAGTAAGGCAAGCCAACATATTTCATGTTCAGAATGCACACTGTCCACTGAGATGGACATGTAAAGTATTTGTAAATTAACAAAATGTTACAAAAAATATTTGTTGAAACTTGTTTCATTCACACCTAAAGATGAATGAAAAAAATTGTTAAAAAAATCATGGTTGAAGATCTCATAATTCATGCATCAGAGGGCTAAAACATGATGGGAAATAAACCGGTTCATGTTATGTTGTGGGCAGCAGTTTCACTTCGTGTTCGTCCTTTCTGAGCTTTAAACTCTGCGACACAAACACAAGTTAATTCAGCTTTCTGAGCCGCGGTTACATAAACACACGCAGCGTCCCGTTTCTGACGTTTCTTCGGTGACGTACTGAGTTATACAACCGGAGCTCCGCCGCTCTCTCTCCCCACAACACCCAGTAACAACCTCCAGCCAATCCGGAGGCAGCAATGAGGGGGCGTGACCAATCGTAGAGCGCGTCGGTGTGAATCAAACGTAAAAGAGGCGTGTCGGTAAAACGTGAGGTTTCCGCCCCTCTGCCTTACTGACCGACATTCAGTTGCAGCCAAAGAAAGAATAAAGTAAACAAAAGGACACTGGCGGCTGGTGGGAGCCTCATTTTCTGGGTATCAGCGCCGCTTCGTGGCTTGTTGTTGCTACTGCAGCTCTGATGTACAAAGTACTCATGGCGGTTTTCAGTCTGGCTGTTTAAGGCCTTTAAATTACATCTTAGACTAAGTTTCTAGTGAAGAGGTGACCCACAAAGAGGAAAACTAAAAGAGAACTTTTGATTAGGTTGTTTATGTTTACAAAGACATTCCCGGTAAAGAAATTTGTCATTCATTTTGTCCCAAAAACATTCCATGGCATTCCGCTGTGGAAAGAAGTAGTACACCTGTGGTGTTCTATGCCAGTGGTTCCCAACCTTTTTCCCAAGGGACCCCGTTTTTTACCAGTAAAATTTTTGACGACCCCCTCCCATTCTCTCTTCCAGTACAAACATTATTAAGAAATGATAAAATTGTTCAAGCACATTTTAATATGCTTTGATTCAATAGATAACAGTAATAGTAGGCTCCAGTACAGAACAAAGTCACTAACAAAACCAAACAGAGCATAATGTGCTTGACAGTTTGTATTACTTTTCTGAACACATTGTTTCTTGTAAACACTGATAAATCAATCATTCCTTTCAATAAACGTTAAAAAATACACTGAGCAAAATGTACTTAAATGTGTATATTACTGTTTATTCTAGATTATTTACTGTAAAGGCTGTGATTAATCAACCAGTCCTATCTTTAATGAACTTTTGACACTTGAAAATAAAACAGTGAGCTGAGCAAAATGTTCTTAAAAGTGTGTTACTTTTTCTGTACTAATTATTTCCTGTCTTAATATCAGTAAACTTTTCACTCATGAAAAAAATGTGAACAAAATGTAGGCTATAAACAAGTAATAAATGAAGTTTTAACCCCTTAGAGTGGAGAGGTCCTGGCGACCCACTGAGAGGCTTTGGCGCCCCCTTGTGGGGGTCGGGACGCCCAGATTAGGAACCACTGTCTATGCCACATTTCATTATGTAAAAACACAAAGGTTATTTGGTCTTTATTGAAAAGGAGACTAAACTGGAAAGAAAGAAAGAAAGAAAGAAAACAATCTTTTATATAGTGCCTCTCAAGATAAAAATCATAAGGCGTTTCACTACAACAAAAAAGGTTTTGCAAAATGATTTAAAAACATCATAAAAATTAGAAAAATAAAAACTCAGAGAAAGAGGATCAGAATAATGTTTAATCAAAAATCAAATATAAAACTTTGCTAAAACCCATCAGTTAAAGGAGAAGAATCAGAAAAGCACATGTATAATATAAATCCTAATTTCATACAATATTTCCAAATAAACCTGTAGACTTCACACTATTTTAAATACTTCCTAAATTCTTCTAGTTTATTTGAATGATAATTTATTTCTGATCAGCTGTAGTGAGGCACCAGTTCCTTCAGGTGATTAAAATGTCAGTACTCCTCCCGGCCACGCGGGGCGACGCTCTCGCCTAGTGCTCCAGCGTGATGCCTTCGTCATCTCACACAACCAGAAACGGTCTTTAGAGGGAAAATGTGGCCGTTTGTGACATCGTTGTTCGTCCTTCTGATCCTGGATCCTGATTAAATTAACAGGTATAGAACAGATATAATGTAATAAACAAAGGAAAAGATATCATTTGAAATTACGCAAATCGAGTAAACAGCAACATCGATGGGTCACGTTTAGTGTCTTGTGAAGTCGACCGGACATGTTTGCGTTTTTATTGTTTGGTTATAAAATTATTTTTATACGGGTTTTATTAACTTATTGTCGATACATTCAGAATCTAGGTTATAAAATTATTCGTAACCGATTTATCAGATAGTCGCACGTGAACATGTGACCTACACCAGATTACGATGTTTACTGTGTTTATTGGGTGCCTTTTTGTTCGCGGTGCATCTAAATGCAACCAGGAAGAAAGTAAAACCAACATAACTTTAGTTATTTATCTATAATTTATTAAGTATTTTTGTGTTTAGAGCCTATCACCACGTGCCCTTTTATAATCAGCTCAGCCGTAGCAAAAAAAAAAAAGCAATCACGTGAGCCACCACTGTCCTCTGATAGACTCATGGTTTTAACGAGACAGCGCGAGCCCAGTTTCTATTGGTCACCTCGGTTTTCCCGCCCAGATTCCAATAAAAAGCGAGTTTTTGGCAATATGGACGCCAGTCTCGTAGTTGTGGTGTTAGCGTGTTTAAGCTCTTAGGTTGTGTTTGTGCGAGTCCAGAGAAGTTAAGATGCTGTCTGCGCGGTCTTCTCTATCTGAGAGCAGCTCTGTGAGCGACACATGGCCGGACAAAGAAAACACGGTGAGAAATGTCTCAGCATCCGGGTTATTTACCAGGGATTCATTTGGTGCAACGGTTTGTTTTCTTTCAGCCCCCGAGCTTGAGCAGCCGCGCCCTCGCGTGCAGAACTTCGCGGAGGATCCTCAGTGACGTTACGGTGAGTTATGTCCAGGATGTTAGGAGCTGGAACTGTAAAAATGGCGCCTCACAGGTGACCTGTTCCATGGAAGTGTCAGGCGGTTGGCCATGTATGAACAATTCAATTCAAGTTTATTTATAAAGAGCCAAATCAGGACCAGAGTCGTCTCAAGGACCTTCACACAGTAAACATTCCAACACAGGTCAGGTCATTAAGCCAATCAGTAACAAGTTTCCTGTATAAGGAACCCAGCAGGTTGCATCGAGTCACTGACTAGTGTCAGCGTCTTTACAGCAGGGGTGCCCAATCCTGGTCCTGGAGGGCCGGTATCCAGCATGTTTTAGTTTTAACTCTGCTTCAGCACACCTGATTTCAATCAGCATGTGATTAACATGCTTCTGCAGAGCCTGATGAGATGCTGCACATGTGATTCAACCAGTTAATCAAGTGTGTTGGAGCAGAAAAACCACAAAACCTGCCGGATACCGGCCCTCCAGGACCAGGATTGGGCACCCCTGCTTTACAGCAATCCTCATACTAAGCAAGCTTGCAGCGACAGTGGAGAGGAAAACTCCTTTTTAACAGGAAGAAACCTCCAGAGGATCCTGGCTCAGTAAGGACATGGAGAAAATGGTTGTCTCCTGCTGTTTTGCTACTTGCAGGATGGCAAGTTGACTGATAAACCATCTGATCAGAGGCGAGATGTCAGCATATTAGTAAATGATACAGAGTACAACTCCACATCTGCCATTTTCTTCTCAAACTAACTTGTTCCTGAAACAGGAGCACCAGAGCATGACAACTTTATGCCCGCCTATGTCAGGAACTATGGAACAGCTTTTAAAATGATTACAATTACAATCATTGTTCCTCTTCTTCATATGAGCAGCCAGTTCTCAAAATAACCAATGAAAATATAGAGATGCTCAAATACGCATTAGTTTGTCAAGCTTGAGTTGTGCAGTATTCAGCACCATCAGTAGGTGGCACTATCACGACAAATGCATTCAGTTTTCACATTAGAATCAAATAGTTGGGGCAAATAAACACATTTCCAGCTAGAGGACTAGAGCTACTAGCGGAAGCATGTAAAATAAACCACTTTTACTAAACTAAGAGAAGCTCGAAAATGGACGTACGACTTTAGCTCCGTCTGTAGGGAGCCTAAGTTACGCCCTTCTGCTTCCAGACCAGTGGGACATGGTTACGAACCCTCAACCTACTGCACTAAAGGGGTGGGTCAGGCTTTCACCAGGTGTCAGATTGGCCAATCATGTTGGTTATTGATTTTGTTAGAAAGCACCTAGTTTTTTAAAATTTTGTTGAAGTTAAATTTTAAATGACGTGTATTTCAGCCTGAAGCTGCAACAAGCAGCTCAGAGGAGCCACTGCTGAAGGAGAACCCTCGTCGCTTTGTTATCCTTCCTATCCAGTACCAGGACATCTGGCAGATGTACAAGCAGGCAGAAGCTTCGTTCTGGACGGCGGAGGAGGTGAGTAGGAGCTCGGGTCTTCAAGCTAATTTAAGGGGTCTTAAAGTTGTGTAGTATTCTATGCAAATGTGATTGATAAGAAAAACACCAGTAGTGCATATAATTAAACACAATAACAACGCAGACTCCTGGTAAAGTGACTTAATTCTGAAATGTCTTCAGATGTTTTTTAGTGTAATTTAAAACAAAATCTTTTATTCAAATGAATGTAGATTTGTTCATTAGAGGTCCGTCCTACCACATCACTACATCATTCCCTTTGGTTCTTGAAGGGCGGTCCGGAGCGCGGGCTGAGTGTTCTTCTAACCTGCAGGAACTGTCGATGGCAGTTAACCAGAAAGTAGCTAAGGGTTACCAGAAATGCTACTAGGTTGTTCACTAGGTACTTTTAAGATATAATAAGTCAAGAAAGGAGTCTGAAAAGCTGGAAAGTTGGCAGCACTATGGGAGGAGCGCTTGACTTGTAATTTGAAGCAGCACAAGAGGGAGGAGCAAGTAATCGGCTTGTTTTTATAACCGTTCGCTCGGATCGTAATTGGATTATAAAAGAGAGAATTAATGCAAGTCAACAAGGCTAGAAGCCATTTTCTAATTCACCTTGCCCCATGCCCTGGATCACATGTTGTACTTGTATTTAAATGAAAAGTAATGTGTGTTTTGACCTCGCCAGTCACGTACTTTGACATTTATCAGCTTGTAAAAGTTTGCTGTTGGCATGACTACACACCAGACATCGGTACGTCGCCACAGAATCTCCTCTGCTCAAGCGTAGTTGCTACTCACCACATGGCCAGATTTATGGTGGCTTTTTTCCTCCTGAAGGAAGAATTGCTGAACTTGCAGCCATTTTCTCTGATTTTCTCCGTGTCTGGTTCGATAACGTCACTTTAGTGAAGCACATTTGTAGTCCTGGACTTATTTTCACATCAAACCTAAAATAGCGTTTCCCCTGTTTGAAAATAACTTAGTTCTTGGTTGTAGTGTTAAGGAGTGGCTACAAGATGTTATGATCAGAAGATTAGTTACTTTTACGTTTTCAGGGACCATAAACACACTTCGTATTAATTCAGTCAGTATATAGTTAATATGAATTTCCCTGAACTAATGATTCTAGATGACAAGGTATGAATGATGGTGTAATGGATAGGAAGTGATTTAATGTGATGTTTACAGTGTGACGTTAATGCGTTAAGTGTCCTTCGAGCTGGATAAAACTCTGTAGGCTGAAGATGGATCGACCCTCGGAGTATGAAGCTTATGGCGCTCGCCCCAGTGTGACGTTAATACAGCACATATGTCTGCTCTGCTTTTTGTCCTGCATTCGCTCTGGCAGTTTGACTGCAAGGCAAAACTGTTTTCTGGCTTTATACACTTGATTTGAACATTTGCTGTGTAAAATGCCACAAAACCGCATGAGGGCCAAATGTTAGATGTAACTTTTACACAAACCCCTTCAACAGGTGGACCTGTCCAAGGACCTGCAGCACTGGGAGTCTCTGAAGGACGATGATAAACATTTCATCTCCTACGTGTTGGCCTTCTTTGCTGCCAGTGACGGTATTGTTATCGAGAACCTGGTGAGGACACTGCTGCTGCCATCTGGTTGGTTGTTTGCCGCGGCTTCAGGTTCAGCCAGTTAACCTCTGTGTGCACCAGGTGGAGCGCTTCACTCAGGAAGTACAGATACCAGAAGCCAGATGTTTCTACGGTTTCCAGATCGCCATGGAGAACATCCACTCTGAGATGTACAGCCTGCTGATCGACACCTACATCAAGGAGCCCAAGGAGAGGTGAGCTGTTGACCAGGTTACTTGTGTGGTTCTGGGTAACCCTCCCTAGTTGGTTCCTTGTCTCATGCTGTGTTCAATGACCTCCAGGGAATACCTGTTTAACGCCATCGAGACTCTGCCATGTGTGAAGAAGAAGGCTGACTGGGCACTCAACTGGATTGGGAACAAGAACGCCACCTATGGTAAACGTGCTTCATGACATCACTGGTCCTGCTGTTCATGCTTCAGTTTCATTTGTTCATTCTGTCATTTCTCCTCAGGAGAGCGTGTGGTGGCCTTTGCTGCCGTGGAGGGAATCTTCTTCTCCGGTTCCTTCGCTTCCATCTTCTGGCTGAAGAAGAGGGGCCTGATGCCCGGTCTGACCTTCAGCAACGAGCTCATCAGCAGAGACGAGGTGACCGAATGCGGGGTTTGGTCTTCTCTCTGTAGGAGGGTGCTGTGATGCATTCAGGGTCTAAAGCTCTACTCGTGTGTTCAGGGTCTTCACTGCGACTTCGCCTGTCTGATGTTCAAACACCTGGTGAACAAACCCTCGTCTAAAACCGTCACCAGCATCATCAGGAACGCCGTGGAGATCGAACAGGTGGGTCAGCGTCAGAAGCAGCTGTGGTCTGTTGCTGGTTTTACTGGTGGTAACGTGTGTGTGTGTGTGTAGGAGTTCCTGACGGAAGCTCTGCCAGTGAAGCTGATCGGGATGAACTGTGACATGATGAAGCAGTACATCGAGTTTGTGGCTGACAGACTGGTGACGGAGCTCGGCTTCTCTAAGGTAATGAACCAGGCGTGTCGTTAACTTGACTCGAGACCAGCAAGTGTGTTGTGATGAGTGGCGCAGGGGTACGTACCTCAGCCAATGATGGGGGCTGAGTGCCGCTGTAGAGACTGAATAGGAACATGTGGTTCTGTCAGAATCTGCAGCGGTACGAGTCAGACGCCTGACTGAACCGACTTGCAGAAAGTCTCTCTGCACCACCGGAGTTCAGAGTCCCAACTAGTCTAACCCTATCCCGTGTCTGCAGATCTACGAGTCGGACAACCCCTTTGACTTCATGGAGAACATCTCCCTGGAGGGAAAAACCAACTTCTTTGAGAAGCGGGTCGGTGAGTACCAGAGGATGGGCGTCATGTCGGGTCCCACGGACAACACTTTCAGACTGGACGCTGACTTCTGAGACTGATCTCCACTGTTGGGTTCGTGACCTAATGGACATTACAGCAGGCCCAGTGCATGCTGGGACTTGTCACAAACTATGCGGTAACTAAACGTTTTTATGTATTTTTGTAATGAAATGTCTGAATTCAGAATGTACAGTTGAGTAAATATGAATGTATTTAATAAAGATTACTTGTTACTTTATTTGGTTGTATTTCTTTTAATACCTGAGGTCATTTGAAAGCAAATCTGCAAAACAAATTAGCTTAATCAATAAATGTAAAGACTTGTTAAATTTCTTCATTCTCATGCAACCCTCTGCTCCTGTACGATGATCCCTGGCATCACAGGAAAACATGTTTGGACTGAACAGCTGGATTAATGCACAAGTTTGGTTTTAACATCTAGAATCTGGAAATACGAGCCAGCAAACATTTCTGCAAAGAAGTTATGATGAATGACTCTGAACTTGGACAGACCACTCACTCCCTGATGGTGATGAGCTACATCTGCTCTGAGACACTAAGGTCCCTCTGACCACCATCAACAGGTAGGGAGCTTCAAGTGTATTGCCCAAGAACACATCTGGCAGCCGTGATCAATCCCGCATCCCTCCAATTACTGGACAACCTGCTGAGCTACTGCAGTTATCAGTTATGCATTTTATTATAATTGATTTTGTTAAAGTGCAAGTCAGAAATGTCCTTGGTGTTTGCAGAATAACCTGTTGTAAGAGAAACAGTACTTGTGCTCCAATAAGGAGGAAAACAGAGTGCAAGATCAGAAACAAGTGGCTCCTCGTTTACCACACTGGAAAGTTCTTCTTCATCCGGTTTCTGAGTTCGGTCCTCAAACCTTCCTAACTTCCAGCAGGGAAACATCTCCCAAAACCTCCAGCTGCCTGATCCGGCTCAAGTCCTGGACTCTGTGTTTGAAGTCCAGCTGGTGAAATCCATTAACAGCAACTCTGAAGAACTTCAGCTCGCAGCAAATGATCATCTGGAGACAACGGGAATAAAAACGTTTCATTTACCACCCAACCTTAAATGTTTGAAAAATTTGTTCTGAAGACTAAAGTATACAGCACTCTAGTGTGTATATAAATACTCTAGTGGAGTATGTTCGAGTATGAGTATACTCACACTCTAGTACACGTATCCTCGTGTACATGTACTCGTATGCGTGTACTCTAGTATGAGCAAATTCAAGTACGAGAATACTCATACTCGAGTAGTATACTCGGGTATACGTAAACCTCCATGTAGTATGTGTACAGTAAGTGACGGCCCTGTCGCCGGTTACCTCAAAGTACTGGCCTGCTTCGAAGGGGAAGGACTTGAGCGTGGTCTCCTCAGGACCCCAGCACTCGGACAGGAAGGAGTTTCTGACGAAGACTCCTTTCTTCAGACGGGGGTTAAGATGAAGAGCGATGTTGCTGCCGACTGACTCTCGTAGATTCACAGCAAAACTGGGAAGGAAAATCACTTTCTGGATTATCTTCAACGTGTTCCCATGCCTCTGGGAGCTCCCTCCGGTGAAGCTTACCTGATTGCTTTCTTACTGGTTTGTCCTTTGATGACAATGTTGCTTCCAACGCTCAGCCCGTTGTCCAGCTGCATTCTGAAGGGGACGCTCTGCAGAGGACGGGAAGTCATCACTGATGAACACTAAAGACAGTCAATGTGCTGCATCATTCTCTGTGCAACTCACCAGGTCACCTGACGATGACATCACTGGCTGAAATGAGAACAGGTGAAAGTGTTTTAGATTAGTCCAGTGATGTCATCAAAAACTCTAAAAGCATCAGAAAGCTTCTGTTTAACCTCGGAGTCCAGACTGCTGAGGCTGGCGGCAGGAGAGACGGGGTTCTAAAGCACAAAGAGACAGGTTAGCACCCCGGAGACGAGAGCGGAGAACATCGGAACATCAGCTGTTTGACTTACAGAAGCAGGAGGGACGACGCCCACTACCTGAACGCTGACCTTTCCCTGGATAAGGACGGTGTCGACTCGCTCCAGCTCCAGACGGTGTTTGTAATCCAACACGTGAGCTCCATTCACCGCCACCTGAACAGAAACACGTTGTTGAGAACCCGATTGTTACACCATCAGAACCCATTAACAAGCTTCAAAGGCTCTGGGACAAAGACGAGAGCGATGGCCCGTTCAAGCTCCAGAACTAAAGCCTACAGAGACTTCAGCAAGGAAACCAGGAGAGGTTTACAACTAATACTAGTTATTATTCACTTAATCCGGATTATCTGTTACTACTGTGAGATGGACCCGCCGATCAGCTTTACCCGTTTCAATGGTCTCTAGTAGGAATGAAGGCCTTGTTACTGTGGGGATGGGCTTAGGAGCACCTGTTTCGGGTCAGCCAGAGGTGACCCTGAGTGTCACCGTCTGTTTTCTATCAGAAGCTAATGCAGGAGATAGGTGTAGGAGACTATCTTCATGTTCAGCCTGCATGAAGCACTCAGAGTGACCCGTTAGAAGGTAACAAGTTATAAAAATGAATGTATTTCTATTTCCTAACTATATACTGACTCTGTCTGGATTAATACAAAGTGTGTTTATGGTACCTACAGCACTGAAAGATCAATCAGATTGATATTTCACATTTATATGGAATTATCACATCTTATTGGTTATTTTACTCCTTAACGCTACAAGAAGCAGAAACATTTAGTAAACATGGGTTCTCAGTGAACTTGCTCTTTAACAACTGAATATGCTGATCTCAGACAAGTCAAAGGGTCGTAGGAACAGTGGGCTGATTCCAAACAGACTAATAATGCTCCGTACACCTCCGAGCAAACATGGAGGAGAAGTTGATTATTATTATGTTTTATAGTAAAATCAGAAGTAAGATTTCACATAACTCTAGCAGCACCTTGTGAAACATCATATCTACAGCTTTATTTACTCTGAACCACTTAAATAACCTTAATTCCCTCCAACCTGACACAGCCAAGCAAAACAACGGAAGTTTCGATTTCGCCATGGAACAGAACGCGTAGACGGCTTTGCCGCTGCCGCGGATCGCCTCCCGTGTGTCAGGTAATAAAAGCGACAGCGACAAATTTCGCTGATCGCGGTCGTTTGTCGCCTCCCGTGTGTCGAGCCCATAAATCAGTAGCAAACAGGTAAAAATAAGGTTTATGTGAGACGTTCAGGAGCAGCAGGGGACTCACCTTGAACTGGTCTTCCTGGACCAGGATGACGAGCTCGAACGCAGCTCCAGCTCTGAAGGGCATCTGGTGCAGAATCCGCTCACGGCCCCACGCTTCCTTCTGCAGCGTGTTGCAGACGATGCATGACTTCTTAATCCTCGGGTTGAAGTGAAACGCCACATCAGCCCGCGGCTTCGTGCTGCTGCCACATGTGAGATCTACCTGGAACCTGCGAAAAGCCCAGAGGAGCTCAGCTGGAACCTTACAGACACAAGCTGTCCTGAGAGCTCTGGGATTGAAGAGGAGACAAATCCTCCTCACCTGTCAGCGTCAGACGGCACTGAGCCCTGGATGACAACCATCTCCCCCGGCACCAGACCACCCAGAACCGTCCCGGCGAAGGGGATCGCCTGTGGGGTGGAGAGAGACACACACAGAGAGAGAGAGTGCTCTGAATGAGAGAACAGAGAAATAAGAACTTGTAACACCAGCCTGGAAGTTCTGGCTAAACTTCATTCTTCGGTGTCATGGCTTGAAACGTAAAACATATCTGTTGAGTTGTTTATTTGCACTCCAAATAAGTCCATGTATTTATGTTTGTTTATTTTGTTCTCATTTGTCAAAAATTCCTTGCTCTGCTGATTTGCTTTACCTGTTGTGACAACCAATGAGATGCTTTCAGCACTGCATAAAAGACGTGACAGGAATAATAAACTCCTCCCTCTTGAGAATGAATGCTGACGTGTCTGTATGGTTTGTTTTCTCCGTCAACCCTGATGATGACAACCTGGGAATGTTGAGCTCTGCTAACAATATTCAACTTAAACAAACGTTGGGAGGAAGCTTTGGGTTAATTTAAGTTACAGTCGATGGTTAATGGCAGTCCAAATGTCCCAGAGGAACAGGTTATCTGGCTCGTCTAGAAGATCCATCAGCTAGAGAGACCTGGTCCAGTCCAGTCTCCAGTAGGAATATAACAACTAGTGATGGGTCCAGCAACACTGACACACCGGCACGTGCCAAGCTCATGGAGCGAAACCTGTGTCGATGCGTGTGTTGCTTTAAGAAAAAGTCACGTGACCAACACTGCTGCTGTGTTGCTCATTGCCAAGGCGCCAAACTGTGTTTATAAGGTATCGACTCTGCATCTGTCAACGGGATGAGTCGCCGTGAAAAGAAGAAAATGACCATTTCAAAGATAAAACAAGACATCCCTCTCTCCATCAACAGAATGGAGCCAGAGAGGAAAAGAAGTTTCTGCTGTGTGGGATCATTTTGATCTTTTAACTGCTAATAAGGTGTTTGTCTTTCCCTGTTTCTGCACATCTGTCAGAGTTGAAAACAGCAATGTGACTGACTCTCAGTGTAAATTATGTATTAAATTGTATTTAGGTTAAATGTCGGATCTGCTCAGTGGAGTTGTCTTTTACAAATAAGAGCACTTCCTCAATGCTGAGACATTAAGAGTCAAGCATGAAAAGGAAGAGGAAGCAAACACACCAAGAACGAACACAAGTAGACCTATGTAGGCACTGGGCGTTCTTTGTCACAACTGTTTTACTAATATATGTTTTATTATTTTGAAATCTAGAATCTAGGAAGATTGCTCTGGACTAAGCAGTCCTGAATTTTATTATAAAGGACTGCCAACCCCTGAGTATTGTGGAGAGTGAGGGGTTCAGGGGGTTGAATCAGGTCCTTGATCCATCTTACGCTTTGCCAACCAGAAAGGTTTGTATACACAATGTCTCAGATAGCTGCTGTTACTCATGTAATATATACATATGTATTAGACCATCGTCTGATTTAAGGTTTATGACACAGCAAACAAAAATAAACACTCAAATATCATGAATAGTTTCATGTGTGTCAGCTCACATTTGGGTATGAAACTTGCCCTGTTGGTAGGAATTTAAAACTGAACCCAAACACAGAAAACTTCATAGCTGGATGTTTTTCTTGCTTTAATGACAGGTGGTCTAATTAATGTGTTGAGTACCAGACTGATTTGATTTTGATTCATTTTCAGACAGTTAAGGAAATGATGGCCAAAAAGCAGGCGGAGGAACTCGAGCGAGTAAAAAGGAAGTACAGCAAGCTGTGGCAGTGAGTATAACAGCTGACATGTGGACCTCCTTGAACACGGAGGCTTACTCAGCTCTTACTTAGCTCTTATATGCAGTTGTGTACATCTATGTTGGGAGTCAAACACTTTCCACAAAGTCACACTGCTGACAAGTCAAAAGGGGCATGATGGATGACTGGGCCATAACAAACAAGGTAAGGTGTCTTGTGACCGACGCAGCACCAAACATGATGGCAGCAAAACAAATTCTTCAAATTCGACATTCAATCTGCATTTTGCACACAAACTAAATTTAATAGTCAAAAAATCCTGTGATCAGATCCCTTAACTTTCATCCATAAGACACAAATCTAGGCAGATTGTATAATTCTTCAGATCCAGCAGCACAGCTAAAGAGAAGCTTGCTCAAGTGCAGCAACAGATGGGACGGCCCACCTTGAAACTTGCCAATGAGGTACCAACACGTTGGAACAGCACATATCAGATGCTGTCACGGCTACATGATGAGAAAGAACCAGTGTGGGTATCTCTTGCCTCTCCAGACAGATTTAACTCCACTCACAGCTGATGAGTTCAACGTCTTAAGGGAAGCACTTCTTGTGCTGGCCCCTTTCCATCAGGCCACAGTGGAGTTGTCCGAGGAGAGGAGAGTTTCAGGATCAAAGGTCATCCCGATGACGAAAATGCTTTATTGTGCACGAGCAGAACTCTATACATCTACACACACAAGCAGCCACACGTCTCCATGACCAACTTAGACGTCGCGTCACAGACACTGCTTCCAATCTGGAGTCATTAAGTGTGTTGACCCCATTAACACTTTTAGACCCCAGATTTAAAACACTCAGATGCCGTAGTTCCTCCAAGTGTAGTGAGGCTGTCAATCGCCTGAAAATGGAGGGTGCTGCAGCCACAGCCGAGCCTGGACCTTCATCAGAGCAGATACCCACTTCAGGCAAGTTGTTCAGTATTATCAGCTTATTTTCACATTCGTTTTGTTGATAGTGTGTATTAATATAGAGTAGAAGACAAACAATACATAGAAATTTTAGTTTTTATTATTTCAGATCATCTGTGGCAGCAGCTTTATCTTTAGGTTGGCAGACAAACCACCAACGCATCGGCTGACTATCACTGAGGTCCAGCGCTACTTAACAGAGGGAAACATTTCAAGACAAGAAAATCCATTAACATACTGGGGGAACCGGAAGACATCCTACCCAAACCTTTTCCACCTGGCTTTGCAGGTTTTGTGAACCCCAGCTTCTTCTGTAGCCTGTGAACGTGTGTTTTCAAAAGCTGGTGAAAGTGTCCAAAAAATGCAATAGGCTAAATGCCAAAACATTGTATAAACTTATTTTTCTGAATAAAAATTTATTAAAAACTACTTTTGAGTCAATGACACTTAAATGGGTAATATCACATTCACAACACTGTCACTTTAATTGTCACGTGGTGGTATCATTCTGAATATTTTGAGGTGTCTATATTTTACATTTAGAAGTTAAAACAATAGCTTACGAGTATGATTAGGTCATTGAATCAGTGTCTATGTCTCCAGTAAGTTACCTGCAACGATATTAAGTCCAGTAGGTGTCCTTTTAGAGCAAAACAGCAGCACTGTGTCGACACAGCATCGATACTATTTGGGGAATGTGCTGAAACGCTTCATGAGGCTTCATCTACCCATGACTAATGACAACTAACCTAACCCAGAGACAACTGGCTCGAAACAACAAACGAGGCTAAAAAGGTTTTTATTTGGTGTTACTGGTTACAGCAGCAGCTGCGAGAGCGCACGCGACATTCACCTGACTGGGATGGGATCACATTCCCGACCGGAATTCCCTGATTATGAGGACGGATAAGGCTTCCGTTACCAAAGTTAAAGAAAAATAAAGCCAAGAACGTTTTTAGCTCCGTTCTGGGTGAAACGAAAACAAGTCCGCGGCGTAAAATGGTTCAAAGGCAGGAAAAAAAGATTTTACATCAACCAAGTTTGTGTCGAGATAATCTAAAGAGAAAAGTCCGAACCGCAGCTAAGGTAACTCACAGATTTCTCCCACGAATAAGCTAGAAGTTCTGGTTCTGATTCGGGTTAGAAGTGAAGGCAAGTTTAAGTCCACACCCGTAAGAAAACAGCATCTTACCGGGTTAGAAAACATCTGTCTCGGGTTGGTAAGCGCCATTCCGAAACCTTAAAACAGCAAACTTCCTGGAGCGACGTAACACGGATATGACGTAAAGGATGAAGCAAAAAAAATAAATAAATAAAAAACCCTCACGATCATTTTATACCATTCAAAAAAGCTCGTTTTTATCCCAAATAGATTTGATTCAAACTATAAAGCAGAGAAAACGATATGAACAGTTCAGTCTCTCCACCCTGGTCCTCTAAACTAATTCGACCATGTATGTACTACCATCATCTTGTGAAGGATGAGGCGAAGCAGCACCACCCAATAACTGACCAGAGGATTTTTAAATTGTTTTATTTCATAAAACTATGCCTATATAGAAAAAGTTAAAGAAAAAAAGCTCAGTGCTAAATGTACAAATATGACCAGGAACAGGTCTGGGATCAGTTAGTGTAGGTTGGGTCTGAGGTTGTTTCACTCCAAGTGGCTGAAAATTCATCCAGCAGGTCGCAGCTTCAGCTGGGGTTTTGTTCTTATGACTGAGTGAATGAAGTCCGCTTCAGAAGTCAGCGTCCAGTCTGAAGGTGTTGTCCGTGGGGCCCGACATGACGCCCATCCTCTGGTACTCACCGACCCGCTTCTCAAAGAAGTTGGTTTTTCCCTCCAGGGAGATGTTCTCCATGAAGTCAAAGGGGTTCTCCACCCGGTAAACCTGGAACACGTCAGATTTCAGCTGAAACCTCATCTACATGTTCAAGAATCACTCCGCCTGCTGGTGAAGATCCTGGTTAATCAGATGTGAGCTGCCTCCACTCACTACAGGAAACAGCCCAGTCTGTCGGTCCACACGAACACCGGCGTGACTCCTGACTAAATTCATCTAACCGAGAACAACAGGCTGTTCCTGGCAGCTGACCTGCCACCAAACGGCCTAAGGACTTTACAGAGTTTGCAGTAGGGTCATGAGATCTTTCTCCCAGGTCAAAGGTCACACCTCGATGCCTGAATGTAGATCTGAGTCAGAATGTGATGTTACCTTAGAGAAGCCGAGCTCCAGCAGCAGTCTGTCGGCTACAAACTCGATGTACTGCTTCATCATGTCACAGTTCATCCCGATCAGCTTCACCGGCAGAGCTTCCGTCAGGAACTCCTACACACACACACACACGTTACCACCAGTAAAACCAGCAACAGACCAGAGCTGCTTCTGACGCTGACCCACCTGTTCGATCTCCACGGCGTTCCTGACGATGCTGGTGACGGTTTTAGACGAGGGTTTGTTCACCAGGTGTTTGAACATCAGACAGGCGAAGTCGCAGTGAAGACCCTGAACACACGAGTAGAGCTTTAGACCCTGAATGCATCACAGCACCCTCCTACAGAGAGAAGACCAAACTCCGCATTCGGTCACCTCGTCTCTGCTGATGAGCTCGTTGCTGAAGGTCAGACCGGGCATCAGGCCCCTCTTCTTCAGCCAGAAGATGGCAGCAAAGGAACCGGAGAAGAAGATTCCCTCCACGGCAGCAAAGGCCACCACACGCTCTCCTGAGGAGAAAAGACAGAATGAACAAATGAAACTGAAGCATGAACAGCAGGACCAGTGATGTCATGAAGCACGTTTACCATAGGTGGCGTTCTTGTTCCCAATCCAGTTGAGGGCCCAGTCAGCCTTCTTCTTCACACACGGCAGAGTCTCGATGGCGTTAAACAGGTATTCCCTGGAGGTCATTGAACACAGCATGAGACAAGGAACCAACTAGGGAGGGTTACCCAGAACCACACAAGTAACCTGGTCAACAGCTCACCTCTCCTTGGGCTCCTTGATGTAGGTGTCGATCAGCAGGCTGTACATCTCAGAGTGGATGTTCTCCATGGCGATCTGGAAACCGTAGAAACATCTGGCTTCTGTCACCTGCACCTCCTGTGTGAAGCGCTCCACCTGGTGGATGGGAGGAACTAATTAATTAGTAAACCAAGCTGAAATGACCATTAACTGATCAGAGAAACCAGCTGCAGGTTCCTCACCAGGTTCTCATTGACGATACCGTCGCTGGCAGCAAAGAAGGCCAACACGTGGGAGATGAAATATCGCTCATCATCCTTCAGAGATTCCCAGTGCTGCAGGTCCTTGGACAGGTCGACCTGGACAGACAGGAGTTGTTAAGGCATTGATCACTTGGCAGGTTGTAATGAGTCTAATAAAGCAGAGCTCCTACTCACCTCCTCTGCTGTCCAGAAGGAAGCCTCGGCCTTCTTATACATCTGCCAGATGTCCTGGTATTGGATGGGGAAGATGACGAAACGCCGTGGGTTCTCTTTCAGCAGTGGCTCCTCCTGCAGAACACTCTTCTTCACAGCACTGGGCTGAAAACCACACATGAATGTCAGTGGAGCTGAAATGGGATCAAGATGAAATCCTGATTCTCCCAGCTGCTGCAGCTCCATGGAGGAAAGCACCAGCTAACCCGTGCAGGAAGTGTTTTCTCAGTGCCTGGTGAAGATGCACCAACTCACACAATAAAAGGCTCACTATCAGAACCATCTGCTTCTGATTAATCTGGCCTTTGATACTTTTATCTTAAAAGCAAAACGGGGCCCCAGTCGCACTTTTAATGTTTCTTCATGTGATTGAAGGCTTTATGCAACACTTCTGGTTGTTGATCACAGCTGATCGGCCTGTTCGCGCCATATTTGCAGTTTAGGCGCCACAATCGGTTTAGCTCTCAAACCTGTAGTCCGTTAAAGTAGCAATAAACCGATCCCAGATCAGATCTTCATTAAAACGATTTTCTCTCACTCACCGCGGCGTTGCTGAGGATCCTCCGCGCCGTTTTGGATGCCAGGACCCGGCTGCTGTTCAGGCTGGAGGGCTGAAAACAAACAAAGACCGGCGATCAGCTCCACGGAACTAATTATCACACAGATTAAACAATACATGGATTAACAAATGATGTGAATCCAATCCACTCACCGTGTTTTCTTTGTCCAGGGACATGCTGTTGATCTTTTCACTGACAATATTCTCGTTCTTCTCGGAGAGAGGGGGGCGACCAGACAGCATCCTGATTGTTTCAGCCTCACACGATAAACAAAAAAACCCTGAAATTAAAAACTAAAAGTCACACAAAGCTAAAACTAAAGGCGCAGAAAGCTAAACTACGAAGGAGCAGACACAAAGAGACAGCGAGAATGAAGGTCTGAAGTTCGTTTTCGCGCTTTTTTGTTTTATCGTCGACTCGTCATCGAAGGGCGTTCTCTAAGCCCTAAAAAGGGCACGGGAGGGGAAAAAACTATTGCGAGATTTGCAAGATCTCGCATTACTTTTGCGAGATATCGCGATATCTTTTTGCGAGATCTTGCAAAACTTCCCAAAAGGACAGCGAACCGGAAGATAAACAGACACAATACGGGTACCGCTGGGTGTACACCAGGTGTCGAGAACATGGATTACGAGCAAAGAAGGAAGATGTGAGGCTGGTGTTGAAGGAGCTAGATCCGAGAGGAGTGCCACTGAGGCAAGCGAGACGCCTAAGACGACGGGACTACTTTTCAAAAGGCTCGAACTTCATATGGCACATGGACAGCTATGACAAACTGAAGCCATATGGCTTTTGCATCAACAGATGCATCGACGGGTTTTCCCGAAAAATAATCTGGCTTAATGCCTATATAACGAGTAGGGACCCAAAGGTGATTGGGGGCTGTTACGTTGATGCGGTCCAACGTTTAGAGGGATGCCCTAAGATTGTGAGAGGCGATCTCGGGACAGAAAACGACCATGTCTGGGGCTTTCAGCGGTTCCTCGTCCCCATTAATCTAGACGGCTCTGTCGACAGCCACCTGGAGGGAGCAAGCACCGCCAACCAACGGAGTAACATGGGGGTTTCTGCGCAACCAGTGTGTGAAATTCTGGATGTGTCTGTTTGCAGACACGAGAGACAATGGATTTTTTGACGGCGGTTTTTTGGACAAGGCTGTTCTTCAGTTTTGTTGCATGGGACTCATCCAGGTGAGTGTGTGTGTGAGTGAGAGAGAGAGAGCTAGAGAAAGGGATGAATAATAGAATGGAGCAGAGAGACAGAATGTGAGGAAGGATGTGGGAGAGAAGATAAAAATACAGAGGGAGGAGAGAGAACATTTTAAAGTGTATATGAATGTGCAGTTTTTCCTAATTCTATTTGTTTATTCTTTTTTAACAGGATGAGTTAGATGACACTGTCCAGGTTTGGAATGCAGACGTCATCAGACCATCGAGGAACATCCATGTCCCCGGTGGTCGGCCCAACGTGATGTACGCATTGCCTCAGCTCAAGGGGACCAGAGACTTTCTTTCTCCTGTTGAAGATGAACATCTTCAGCTGTACAAAGATGAATGTGTCTTTCGCCGGCCGATACCATGCGATCAAGATGTGACAGGAGGCCCCCGGGTCGACCCAGGACACGTTGGAGAGGTTACATCTCCAATCTGGTCCGGGAACGCCTTGGGGTCCTGCCGGAGGAGCTGGTGGAGGTGGCCGGGGAGAGGACGGTCTGGAGCTCCCTAGTTGGGATGCTGCCCCCGCGACCCGGACCCGGATAAGCGGAGGAAGACGACAACAACGATATACACTGGCTAATCTGACCATGTGATACTCTGTCGTTAAATTGGTAACGACGATAATTCTTATCAGTTTGCTGAGAATAGTCCGCGTGCACAACCAGCCATAGCATCCATAGTTACCATAGCAACCCCTTTTGTTCGTTGTTCAAATTTAATTGTACCATGCCATCGCTGGTATTAGGCTATCAAGTGTGCCTTTCATAAACAAAAAGGAAGATTTCAGCAAACCATACTAGTATTAGCTTATGATAGCATAGCATTACTGCTAACTTTGTTACCCACGAGTGTTCCTACATTTACACTGAATGAACTGCATGCTTACTCACCTTGTGTCTCTTCATCCGTGTAATATCATCCTTTGGGACCTCTCTACAAATTAAGAACCGCTCATGACACTGGCATTATGGAAGTTTGACAGCCAAAACATGTATAGAAATAATAAACTTCTTCTTCATACATTCTCCTGCAATGCCCTGGTCCTGTAGAATGAGCCCTGGCATTTTTACTATGATTGCCTGTTTTTCTGTAAAATCACAAAAAAAAGAGAGATGCCCGGGTCGAGCAGGCTGCTTCATGCGCGTTCACGCTCAGGCATAGCCTGTAGCGTTTGCTATCCGTAGCTTTAGCAGCAGAGAGAGAGGCAGTGCCAACTCAGCGACTTTGTTGCTGTTCCTAACGCCTAGTGACAAACCTTAGCTACTTTCTGTAGAACTTTCTTCTAGATATTTCCTGAAAATTAGCAACAAAATAGCCATTTTCACTTCGAACTGTTCTTTGGTTTGACGTTTCAGGTGTTATCAAGGATATAAATGTTACAGATAGTTTGAGTGATACTGGTGTGTAGCTCACCTTGTAAAATGTCTGACTCCCATGCAGAAAACTTGGATTCGATTCTGGATGTGAACATAGTTCATTTAGAGTTTCTTTTTTACATTAATGGTATATTTTTTTACAGTAAGATTCCCAAATTTTTATTTGAGACTCGCCGAACAGCATTGAATTCACAGATAAAAAAAGATGTGGATTCAACTTTCATTTTGGAACAATTTTTCAAGCAAGGGAAGGGAATGATCTGAGCATGCAGGAGGACTGACCCATCATAAACCTTTGTCGGCTGTGCTGAAGAGAAAGGTACAGAACCAAATTATTTAATTAATTAGCTGCGCATTCTCCTGTCCTCTGTCCTCCGGGCCACACACACACACACACACACACACACGGGACTGTCTCAGCTGTTATTTTCGTTAAGGAGTGTGCACGTACAGCATGCGCGCCTCGTGCACGAGCCTACTATTGAAGCTGCCGTTACGGTTTTGGCCTGAGGGGGCAATCGCGAGCATAAAAATTCAAAAGTCCATAAAGTTCCTTTAAACACAAGAAAGCAATGTCACAGCTGAACACGGGCTGTCCGGTGCGTTTTAAAAGCTGCTTATAGCAATAAGTCAGTCAATAAAAGAACCCATTAACAGTATTATTCCTGTGTCGTGATTAAATCAATAAACCAGGGTTTGTTATTTAAATGTGCGGTGTTTTGCACGTTTAGGGCGGGCTGTAGAAGTTTTACCCGCAATGAAAAAGTAGTTTTCACGCAGAAAGAGTAGCTTAGCTTCAGTTTTCCATCTAAAAATCAGATGTTTTTAAATGACCAGAAATGCACTGAACTGTTTTCGGTTCATTTCAGAGGAAAACCTCACCACTGCTGCCCCTATCGACCAGGATGAGCATTACATTTCTGTACACATTTTCACTGTTTCTATTCTAAAGTCATTTTTTAATACATCTGTAAAAAACTTTTCACAAAACTTTCTGAATTCATAATAAAATATATAGAAAACCTCCAAAGACGTCTAACACCGACAAGTTAAAGCCTGAAAGCTTCCCTACTGGGAAACAAGTGTCCCAGAAGATAAGGGAGGGATATTAAACACACCTAAAAGTACAGACTTAACAGTTATTTTTGTTCTATTGATGTTTTCCTTTTCATCCTGAAATGAAGAACTAGTTTGCAGTTTTTATATTTTTGCTCAACTATAGTGGCTGAAATCAGTTTTAATTGATTTCTTTCACCTCATTACCAAACCAAAGTTAAAACTGAAAAATGGTTCAGACTTCAGTTTTCTGCACATAAAACTTTATTAAAGGCAATTTTTTTTTCATTTCACACACAAAGTTACAACGACCAATCAGATCAGCATTTTTTAAATGTGGAACTACCTGCAGATAAAACCTTTAAAGTGTAAAGGCTGAAGGGAATTAACTTGATTTATTTTAGTTTAATCTACAATTAAAAAAAGTTCATGTTCTTTCAGCTCCAAGAGGTTCCAGTGAGTTTTTATTGCACGAATATTAGATTAAAAACCATTTAGAATTACAGAATAAAACATGTAAACTTCAAAATAAAAGCACCGAAAGGGCTTTTTTTCAGTGATTTCATTCACACCTGGATCGTAAACACACCCTCTCACTATCAGCTGTGTGGAGTTGAGAGGATCTTGCTCAGATCCTCAGATTAAAACAGCAGCTGAATGTGTGGCAGTGTTGCTTTGGTGCGACTGCAGCTGGAGACAGACGTCCGTTTGGCACTGAAGTAGCTTATTCTGGGTTCAAAGTTTGTGTTATTAGCAGAAAATGGACTCATCTGAGAGACAAAGGATGAGAGTTTAAACAATCAGGAAGATGAAGTCCAGCTTTGGTCCTGAAGCAGCTGCAGCTCCGAGTCCAGCTGCTCACCTAAAAGAGTTCTAGTCAGAAATCGGATTTCTGTTCAAAAGACTTGGGAAGGAAAGGAGGGAACTCTGCGGATGCCCTGTGGTTCCGGCACAGAGATGGTGTTTCCCTTCCTGACACTCTGGTCAGACGGTAAAGGTGTTCCTGCACGTGAGTAAAACCGCAACAACATTCCTTGGTTTCTGGATTTCAGACAGTTTAACTTTACAGCCTTTAATAAAACAGCTTCTGGTTTTTAACTCAAACTGAAGGAAACTTTTATGTGTTTGAAATTTAAGTTCTGTCATTTACAGGTGAAAAGAAAGATTTCTTATTCGCCATTTTTAAGTCAAATAAAAACTCCAGGAAGGAATTTAAAGGTGATGTTTACGGAAGTTTGATTCTCCGACCTGATTTATCCCAGCAGCATGTCAGACGGAGCTGAGCTTCACCAGGCCTCTCACCGAGTCCTCGTGCAGGGCGTCCTGGGTGACGGGGTCGTACAACACCTGAAGGTGCATGTGGGCAGGGCATGGCAGGGCGCCCTGAGGCGTGCTGCAGGGCGTCTCCTCCGGGCTGACAAAGTGATGGTGATGATGGTGGTGGTGCAGGTGGAGGTGATGGTGGCAGTGCGAGTCAACGGCAGCGTCCCTCAGGGTCAGGACGTCTCCTGCACAGGACGGCAGGGATGGCTGCGTGGGGGCCACCAGGTAGGGACAGGGCCCACCCAGTGTAGTGGTCTTCCCTGGGAGGGGGGCCAGAACAATCGGCTCGCTGAGGAGCAGCGGCGTGGCCGCGGCCTGCAGGACGAGCTTGGTGCTCTGGATGCACTGATCCTGATCACACTGGAAGAAAAACCAGAACGTCACACATCCAGGAACATTCTTCAGTCCAGGTTCTGATCTGATGCGTCGGAGCGGCACCTACCATGTGACCATGGAGCTGGGAGGAGGAGTTGCTGCTCCCGCTGGTCTCAGTGGACTGGGAGGTGGTCTGTGGTGTGTCTGCCCGGATCAGCCCCCGCCTGTCAATCAAGCTGACAAAAAGATGGAGACTTAGTCCTGATGAACCTAAGCCAGACTCTAGACCTGCTCCAGGTCCAGAGGTCCAGGTCCAGACCCTAGCTCTGTTTAGACCTGGTCCAGGTCCAGATCCTGGTCCAGGTCCAGACCCTAGCTCTGTTTAGTCCTGGTCCAGGTACAGAGCCTGGTCCAGGTCCAGACTCTATTCCAGTCCAGATTCTAATCCTGACTTTGTTTCTGGTTCTAGACCTTGGAGGCAGAGGTCCACACAGAGCAGCGCAGCAGTTTGTCAGGATGTTGCCGTAGCTGTAGGGATTGTAGTTCTCCTTCCCCCGCTTGGTCGACCAGGTTCCTTTAATCTGGATCAGAATATCAGGATTGTGTTAATGAAGGAAGAACCGGCCCAGTTACATAAACCCCAGACTGGGACCCGGTATACTCACGTCCTCGTTGGTGGTCTGGTTGGAGCTGATCAGGTAGGTGTGGAAACCTGACAGGCCGACGATGGACCAGACAGAGAAGAAACAAACCACCACCTCCAGAACAGTTCAGAACTGAGTCAAGGACTAACCCAGGTTCTGGACTAAAGGAGGACCTGGACTGATGCTGAGACCTGAAAGCGCTGCATGGAGTAGCTCCATCAGCTTTCGTGGTAGCATCTCCAAGGCTGTGGACCATAGAATGACTCCCTCAGGTGTTTAAAACAGGCTAAAGACTCGTTTCTACTCCCGAGTCCAAGTCAGGTGACAGAAACAGTGTTTAAGCAGTGACCACGGCTTTACTAAACGTTTTCATGTGTGCAGCATTCCCCGCTTTGGGTTTCCTTTGGAACCACGAATGAAGCTGATGATGATAGTATTTGGGTCAGAACCACCATGACCTCTGCAGAGCTTCAGAGGTCGTATCTGTGGCAACAACATCAGACCCATCGATTTATCAGTAGAGAGAAAGAGGCTGGTATGACGGGTCAGTAGTGCCCCAGCTGGATGTTCTGTGTCAACCCAGAACTCTGTCAGAACAGAACCACGTCTGGTCCAAACTGAAGTTCTGTGCTGGCTCAGGTCAGACTTTAACCTGATTCACCTGTTCCAATTGTTCTTCTAGACGATTTAATCAGATTTAAACAAGGAACAAAACTGTTGATTAGTTTCTGCCAACGGGGTTAGGGTTCCTCTACAGAACACAGCAATCAGCCTTCGATGCATCTGGACTGACACGCTAACAGCTAGTCTGATCAAGTGTCTGTCAAATTCACATTCTTTCATACAGACAGACAGAAACCGGCTGAAACCTGAAGGATATCTGGCTGGACTGTCTTTGAGCGCGCTCAGGAAACCTGTTTGGTTCGATCCTGTGTGAAACACAGAGGAAACAGCAGGTAGTAAATATTCACATGAAACAGCATTCCCATCCTTCTTAAGTCTGGAAAAAAACTTCCAAATTATGATTATCAGTAAGCCTGAAGAAAAATGAAGAATGGCACAAACAACGTAAAACCTGATGCGCACCTTCAGAGGTTGTTCCTGATTAAAAACAACAAAAGTGGCAGAATTCCATCTGAAAGCTCGGCAGCAACAGTTTTAGATCTGCTGCTAAAAAAAAGGAAAACGTGAGTTTAAGTGAGAGGGTCGGCTGGTTGCCAGGAGCAGCTGGAGGCTCCGCACTCCAGGAGCTTCAGGACCAATTAACAAATTCTAAGGCCTGAGAAGTGGGTCAGCGAGGGATCGGGGAACACCGGGAAACATGGGAGAACATTTTCCTCCTTGCTTTTCATCTCTCTGCTCCTCCCAGTTCTATCCCCATCATCCTGCTGCTCCCATCCGGTCTACCAGAGCATGTCTTTGCATTCTTTCTGGATTTTTCTAAACCACGGATCTGGTGAGCTGGTCTCTAAATGCAGCTGATAACAGTATGAGGATTGCTGTAAAGACTCTGACACTAGTCAGTGACTCGATGCAACCTGCTGGGTTCCTTATATAGGGAACTTTTTACTGATTGGCTTCATGACCTGACCTGTATTGGGATGTTTACTTGAGACGACTCGTCGTAAATCAACGCTACATAAATAAATTGAATTATTCCAGTTAAATGAACTCTACATCTTTAGTGAATGATCGACTAGAATCAGAACCTGGAGACATGGATGCTGATTTTCCACCAGAACTAAAGTCTGCATCCCAAAACTTCCTGATTCCTCTTTATTCTCAGAGAAACAGTTCTTTACTTTCATTAAACTCACGATTAAAATGAGACTTTGTAGTGTAAACGAGTCGGGACTCGTGTTTCCCGTCTGGAACATCAGGATCGTAGCACGAGAGGGGGACTCACTGAGGATGATGTGGGTGATGACGAAGGCAAAGATGAAGATGGTGAAGAAGGAGAGGGAGAGGATGAAGAGGTAGAAGAAACGGTAGTTCCTCCGTCCGACACAGTTTCCCACCCAGGGGCAGTGGTGGTCGAAGCGCTCTGGGAGGAAGGAATAAAAACACAAGTCCAGAACAGGAAACGGCTAAAACGGAAGCTCACAGGCCAGATTCCAGCTCAAACACAGAAACGGGAAAAGCAGGAGGGAATTCTGACCCACACAGTTGTCACAGAGGCTGCAGTGAGACGCTCGAGGAGGTCGGAAGATCTTACAGGTGAAGCAGTACTTCAGCTTGACCGCCTGACCTTTGACCAGGACCTCTCTGGTGCGTGGGGGGGGCTTGGAGCAGCCAGTTGAGTCTGGAAACACAAAACAGGAAGTGGAGGTCGTCACTCAGAACCAGAGAAACAGGAAATCCTTAAACGGGTCAGAATGAGTTAGGCTGAAATGTCCTCAAAAGGCCACCGTACTCAGCCCTACTAAACAAACCGGTTCTTTAACCCTGAAGGACCTGAGGGGACGCTGATGCCTCACCCGTCTCAAACATCTGCTAAGCTGCTTCTTAGCTGAGTTTCCTTCAGACGCCCACAAATGAGAAACGTCCTAACCCTTGTCTCACAGCTGACCTTTGACCCCATTCTGACAAACAGGACATCATCATCGGCTCCATCTCAAGGGTCAGCTGACTCTCATCCAGGTTTCCCACTCAAACCAGAAATAAACTGATCGTCTCAGACCGGCGTTGAGTCTCCTGATGTACGTCTCAGTGAAGGGTCAAAGGTCATTCAGTCCCTCACTGAGAAAATCAGACGGCTGGAAACCTCCCCAGTCTGTTTACAGAAAACATGACAATCCTAAAGGTCCACTGACCTGGGACAGCAGGTCAAAGGTCAGAGGTCATTCTGGATAATTTTCATAAAGGTTAAATTCATGAACCATAAAAAAATCCAGGTAGAAGACTCACACCGACACGCACCTGTATGACAAGATGGTGACATCATCAGCTGGCAGGTAAACAAAAACCCTCTAACTTGGACTGAGATCCTTAAAAACCAGAATCAGAACTTATCCTGTGACCTGTTCACACCCTGGAGGATGGTTCTACCTGAGCTGTAAGTTCCACAGGGGGCGGGGCTACATCACCTGGTTCACCTGAATCCTGTTGTTGCCTACGAGGAAAATGTTTCAACTTTTGAAAGTGTCGCTTGTTTTACCGCCACTGAAACTGACCATTTATCGAGGTTCTGGTTAAAAATCCCTTAAGCTGCGTTTTAGAAGCTAAACGATAAAAAAATAAATAAAATCTTTCCGGTTTTGGGATTATCGTGAATTCCTGAAGCAACAAAAACCAAAACATACCCTCCTTCCTCCTCATCTGACAGCAACAACAAAACCAGAACATGTCACTCAGGGCGCTGTCGGGAGGTGATTGACAGCTCCGTCTCAAAGGCGCTCTGTCTCCACGGCGCTCCACATCCGGACGCAAACTCAAAAGAAATTTGAAAAAAAGAAAGGAAGGAAGCAGAAAATATCCTAACAACTTTCCATAAATAGATCTGAGAGGTTTGATGATGCAGAGAGATGTGGGACAAGAAGAGTATACACACACACACACACACACACACACACACACACACACACACACACACACACACACACACACACACACACACACACACACACACACACACACACACACACACACACACACACACACACAATCTGCGTCTTCTTCCACTTTCCTTCCCAGCAGCCAGAACCTTCCTGTGGTTTTTAAGGGTTCTGGCTCATCCCTTGAGTTAGGAAGCTTTGGTGTGTTTAGGATCAGGAACATCAGAACCCTCTTTGGACCTGTTGACCCAGAAGCACTTTGCTGGATCACAGGAAGGTCTGGCTACTGGGAACAGAACCGAAGACTGGATCAGGATCCCGGGAATCTTCCAGAGTAAAATCAGAGGAGAAGGAAGTATCTTTGTCTCCGTTACCGATCTGCCTCTCCAAGTCGGCGGCCTCGTCCGGCGTCGCTCGGGGGAGGACCCCGGGGTCACTGAAACTCGCCCTGAACAGCATTCCCATCACGAAAACGAAGAGGACGGCACCAACGGCCGGGATGGCTGGGGTCAGGTGGGTCGCCAGGAAGGGACAGCTGAAGACAGATGGAGACACGGTGGGGGTCAACGCAGGACTGTTGATGGTGGTGAACCAGGGCACATAACTCACCACAAGCGGGTGCATGCGTGAAGGACTGTGTTGTAAAGTGCCTTGGGGGGCTCGCTACAGGCCCTAACCAATGCTTCTATTATTTAATATTTTGTAAAAGTTTGAATTTAAAACTATCTGGTGAAGAAATAAAGACAGATACGTCATAAATATTCGTTTTGGTCAAGATCCTCCCCCCCCCCCGCAAGGAAAGGTTTTCATGGAAACGGAAAACACCTGGGTGCTGATTGGGAAGTCAAAGCAACCAATGATGAATGGAAAATGAAATAAAAGGAGTTTCGTTTGAAAAATCTCACAAAGACAAACAAGGGGGCGGGGCCTAAAGACACGTCTACCCTGCATCAGCAGCTGTGACTTAAACATCTGGTCGCTTCAGACACTCCAGAGAAAAACATCTTCAGCTGCTGCACGTGTGAGCCGGAAGTTAAGTTCCTGCTGCTCAGAACGTTTCACTCACTCGAAGGCGAAGAAGAGGCCGCTGGTGAGCAGGATGAGGACCAGGGTGAGGTAGAACACCCCGGTCTGTCTCGCCATCATGATCCTCCCGTCGCAGTAGAACCGGTTCCGCCCCGGGAACACCTGCCACTTCCTGCGGGGGCTGCGGTGCACCGGGCAGGGGGGCGGCTTGGTGTGGACGGCAGGCGGGGAGGAGCAGCTGCTGCCGCGGGTACAGATCTGGTCGTACCGGCCCGGTTCGTCCGGAGCCGCGTGCTGGATCTCAGACATGAGTCCTCACAGGTGAGCGGCGCGCGCGACTGAGATCCGACAGGTACCACAGCTACACGCGTGCACGCCTCTGTCACGAGCACGAACCAAAACAAAGCAGGAATGTTATTTAGAATATTCCGTAAACAAACTCGTGGCTGGACTCACGCGCTGGAAACTTCCGTTTGATCCCGTTACTGGATCGCTTCGGTTCTGGAGGGGAGTGGGTGTGATCCAGGTCGGGAGACAGCTGTCCCCGGGGTTCTGGTGTGTGCAGGAGAAACGGGAGGAGGAGGAGAGCATCCTGGTCCTCCGCAGAGCTGGAGCCTGAAAAGATGAAAAGATGGATCACTTCGACGGAATTTAAAATTCTGACAATGTTAGTTTTGGAAGCCTTTCAGACAAAGCTGTGGGTTTAGGAGTTTCAGTTATACTTGTTGTTGATGCATTTTAAGGTGCAGCTTCAGATCAGATCAGATCTTCCTAATGTCGGTTTCAGCAGAGCCCCAGGTGAGGAAAATCAGGACTTTCAGGCCTTCCCTCCAAAAGTGGTGGACAGTTTCATTGTATCTGAACTGGAGTCACTGGACTAGACAGTGATGTCTACTGGGACATGCCTGCAGAGGACGTCCCAAAGCAACAGGACCTGGACGACTGGTCACAATTGGAACAGGTTGATTGGCATGAATATGCCTAGCCCTTGAGCATTAGAACATCTGGAGGTGATGGACCTTTTGCTTGGTTGGACCATGAAGCTGATCTAGAAGGCCAGAAAACCCTTCTGCTCATCGTGGTCGATCTCAGCCAGGGAAGTTCCTCTTGAAAAGACCAGGAAAGGTCCACCTGGTTTTCTTCACCTCTGGATCTGACCTTTCAACTCCAGCTGCTGCTGAGTGACTCAGAAAAACGGAAACCACACATCCGACTCGTTTTGCGAAAAAAACAATTGTGTTGCTTGCATAGTATGAGGGCTGCTGTAAAGACTGACACTAGTCAGTGACTCGATGCAACCTGCTGGGTTCCTTATACATGAAACTTTTACTGACTGGCTTAATTAACTGACCTGTATTGTATGTTTACTGTGTGAAGGTCCTTGAGACGACTCTGGTCCTGAATTGGTGCTTTAGAAATAAACTAAATTGAATTGTTATTTTTTTTATTAGTCAGTTTTAAAAGCTGGGAAGGGAAACTATTCTGCTCTGTAATTAACAGCTTACGGCCATACAACCTGACATGATCTTTATTTACTATAAAAAAAAGTCGAGTCAGACCTCTTGTTGTCAGAATCCAGTTAAAGCAGATTACTCGTTAAAAATAGACGACCTTTGTCTTATAATTCCGTTAATTTTGCATGTTGACGGGAAAATAAATTATAGTTTCACTAAATTAGAAATAAAAACCCAGCTTGAATATTTATATTAAATGTTTTTTTAATCTAATTTCACGTTCCGGGGCTTGTTTCCATACGGAGGTTTTACGGAGACGGACGCAAGCAGTATGACGGCCGCTGATGCTGACGAAGACCCCAGAAGCAGAAATGAAGCTAAAAGCCACGAAGACGTCAAGCTTCAGACCTTAAAAGGTGAATCTGATGTTTTCCGGTAAGCGCGTGACCGCCTTTAGCGCACGTGCTGTTTGTTGTTTGGTCTTTTCCCGCCCCCGGAGGTCTAAACAAAGTCGAGCCGCTGCTGCCGAACTCCAGTGAAAAATCTGCCCGGAGATTCACCGGGACGCGGCGGGAGGTTGTTTACCTACCGGAACTAAACACCTCCTAGAACACTCACCTTTAGACAAAGGCATAACTTTGAGCTGAAGGGGGCGTGTCCTCTCTGTTCCTGTCACGTAGATGTGGTGACATCACTGCGCACCTGTTTGCAGGTGCAGCGTTTCTGACCACAGTGGCTTCAGCTGGGATGATCGCTGGTTTTGGCTCCACGTTGGCGCTGGCCAAGAAGAAGAGTCCGGAGTGGTTCAGTAAGGTAAACAAAGTCACGTGACTAACCAGGAGAAAACAGCAACCAGTTGATGAAATGAGTCAGACCAGAGCCTGTCTGATCCAGTTCTGGTTTGGAACTTAACTCTTTTCTTTTGGATGTTAGGTAAACTCTACCTGATGAAAGGGTGAATGTGAGTCAGTAAAACTGGCTCACGTTAGTCTCAGTATTATTAGAAAGCTTGGAGCCTCCAGGTGTGTGAGACTGACATGACAGTGTGAGTCAGCATCAACTAAGCCAGCGCTGCACTGTGATTGGTCCGTTTGAACAATCTGCTCGTTTCCACCACAAACTCCCCTGATCTGAGATTTTATTTCCTGTTTATAAATGTTTCTGCTTTACAAGAAAACTATTTACAGCCGAGTGTGAAAACGCTGCCTCCTCACCAGGATCTCAGGGAGCTGCTGGCTGACGGTCACCGGGCGTCAAGACTTTGTTGCCGGGTGTTCGACTTGGTCGGCAGAGTGTCCGACTCGGTCAGCTGGGTGTCGGACTCTGTTAGCCGGGTGTTCGACTTTGCATGCAGAAAAGCTACAGTTGGGATTTGAACCTACAGCCTTCTTGCTGTGAGGCGGTAGCCCTGCCATGAAGGATCAGTTTTAGTTTTGTTTACTAAAAAACATGATGGCTTAGAACTGTGATGTCACAGGAAGGAGGAGTCGGATGTAATCGTGGGTTGCAGGTTTGATCCCCAGGCTCCGCCAGTCGTTGTGGACACTGCCTTGCCTGCTGGTGGTGGTCGGAGGGACTGATGGCACCTGTGTTCAGCAGCCTAGCCTCGTGTCCCGGGGCAGCTGTGGCTACACCGTAGCTCATCACCACCAGCGTGTGAATGGATGAATGATTGTAATGTAAAGCACTTTGGAGTCCTGCCTCATTTACCATATGCGTGTTGTGTCTGAAGAGTATGTGCGTCACCGTGGTTATGATCTCCTGTTGGTGTTTCCTGTGCAGGGCGTGGCGGCGACGGCGCCCGAGAGCGGCGCCTCTCTGGCCCTCAGAGCCCTGGGGTGGGGCTCCCTGTTGGCCTGGTGTGGAGTGGGTCTGCTCAGCGTCACCGTGTGGAAAGCTCTCGGTGTCCACAGCGTAGGTTTTTTCTGTCACACCTGGAAAATCAAACTAAACAACAAAAGGTCTGAAAACGGTAAACATCTCAGGGAGACTCGATCTGAGCTCAGGTCTCCACCTTACTTATGTCGGTAGTTCAAACTGAACGGTTTCACATCGAGCTCTAATATTGTCTCGAGTTCTCAGACAAATTTGTGTCTCAGACGAAAGGATTTAAACTTTTATTCAGCATGGATTTTGTTCACCTGTCCGAAAACTGAAGCCGTTTGTTTTTCTGCAGCTGGCCGAGTTCAGGCTGAAGATGCAGGCGTCATTTCCGTCCGTCCCAAAGAAGCCAGACGCTGCAGCTGGATCAGAACCGCTGGACTGGGACTCTGTGTTCAGATCCAAGTGATCTGGAATGGTTTCTTCCTGCTCTGGTTCTCATCAGGTTCTGCTGCTGGATGGACAGAACCGACCCGATTCAAACAGTGTTCGTCTTCTGAAGCTTCTTCTAATCAGGTCTTCTAGTTTGTCTGAACTGGACCGGGTCAAACGGTTCAGGACCTGGAACCAAGACGCTTCCCACTTAAGGATTTTCAGAACCGGATAAACAATTCATGAATTTTTCTCCACACGAATCCCAGATTCAGAAAGGTCTGACTCCTCCCACCAGAACCTCGTTAAACTGTCCCACAAAGGCCACCGTACCGGTCGGGTGATTACTGGGTATTTGGTACAGAAAGATTCTATTTTTTTCAAGTTTTTCCTGCTATTAAAAATTCAGAACCAGTCCAGTTTTCTGTGATGCTGAATCTGCTGTTTGTGTCCATCCATGACGGTTCTGATCCATTAGAACCTGGATGAATCCGTTTCAGCGTAGAGGTTCAGTCACCTTAACTTTCAATAGAAAATTAAATGAAAATAAGGAATTATGGATTTCTAGGAGCAGCCAAGGTGTTGAGGGCATCCGTTTTGGTGGCCTGAGGATCAGGTCTCTGCTTTTTGCAGATGATGTGGTCCTGTTGGCTTCATCAGAACTTGATCTCCAGCTTTCACTGGAGCGGTTCGCAGCCGAGTGTGAAGCAGCTGGGAAGAGAATCTGAGACCATGGTCTTAAATCAGAAAAGGGTAGAATGCCTTCTCCGGGTCAGGGGTGAGGTCCTGTCCCAAGTGGAGGAGTTTAAGTATCTCGGGATCTTGTTCAGGAGTGAGGGAAAACTGGAGCGTGAGATCGATAGGTGGATTGGTGCTGCATCTGCAGTGATGCGGGCATTGTACCAGTCTGTCGTGGTGAAGAGAGAGCTGAGTCAGAAGGTGAAGCTCTCGATTCACCGGTCGATCTACGTTCCTACCTTCACCTATGGTCATGAGCTTTGGGTAGTGACCGAAAGAACGAGATCGCGGATACAAGCGGCCGAAATGAGTTTTCTCCCTTAGAGATAGGGTGAGAAGCTCAGTCATCCGGGAGGGACTCAGAGTAGGTTCGCTGCTCCTCCACATCGAGAGGAGCCAGTAGAGGTGGCTCGGGCATCTGGTCAGGATACCTCCTGGTCCCTGGGGAGGTTTTCTGGCCACATCCAACCTGGAGGAGACCTAAAGGTAGACCCAGGACATGTTGGAGGGACCATTGGCTCCACTTGACTCCGCCCGCCCCAGACCGGCTGCATTGATCTCACACAAATCTTTGCGGACATAACTGAGCATATGGGCGGTCTCCAAAACTAACGTGAAGATATCAGTGATGTCATGAGCGCATCTCCGTGCACATGAGTGGGGTAAAAAAGGCATGGAGGGCTTCAGTCAGCGGCTTCTCTCCCCAGTAACCAGCATAATGACGAATCATGCTTGTGGAAAGTCCCCGCAGGCTGATTCTATCCACCAATCGGAGGCCCCCCCTAATGATAGGCATGAATTTGAGCCGGCAAATCAGTCAGCAGTGGGCGTGTTGGATCTGTTCAGTATGAAGCAGTCTGCGTCAGGAAGAACGCAAAAAAAATGACCAGATGCACGCAGAAAAATCCAAGGCTACAACACACCAAACCCAGTCCAGGCAGAGTAGTCCGTGCTGGTGTTTAAGGGTCACCTGTCCGTCGGCTGGCCAGGGAACACCTTAGAATTCCCCTGGAGGAGGGAAGTCCGGGCCTCCCTGCTTAGGCTGCTGCCTCCGTGACCCGACCCCGGATAGGTGGAGGATGTGATGGATGGAATTTTGGGTTTAATGTAAAAATGTTTACAAAAAGTCACAATGGTAAAAAATAAAGCTGTTGTTTAGGGAGACTAACTTGGACCTTTGGCCAAGCCCAGCAGGTTCTGGCTGGGTTCTGTAGCCCAGCAGGACTGAAGCGGATTAAAGCTGCGTTCAGAGTTCAAGTCTGTTTATTGTTGAACATGTGGAACATATAAAGATCTCATACTGAAGAAACAAAGTCTGTTTATCTTTTTTACATGTTTACAATAGCTAGCCCCCCCCCCCCCCCCCCCCCATCCCACACACACACACACACTTCCTGTACATAGTTCCTCCAATCAAATGCCCCCCCCCCACAGGTGGAACCTGTCAGGCAAGGTCATCCATCAGCAGTGCCACCTGCTGGAACCAAGATGTACATCATCTATTTACATGAAAAGAGCAGAGGAGTAAACAGGTGTAGCTCCGCCCCCTCTCTCCAGGTGAAAATACTGGAGTTTCAATAGCAGGAAGTTCACATAAAAACGCCCAAAACGAACTCATTGCACCAGAACGAAGAACACGAGAGAACATCAGCGTTTCCTCCATCACACATGAGAAAAGAAACATTTATCCACATCGCTTAAATATCTGACCCCGCCCACATGTCACTAGCCCCACCCCTAAGGAACCCGAGTGTTCTCTACTGAAGCACTTTGGTTCAAACAGAAATAAAACTAGTTTAAATATTTTTGTATTAAAATCAAATAAAAACCCAAACGAACAGATGGACTTTAGATTCTGTGAATTCAGACGTAAAAACTTTAAATAAAAGAACAATCATAGCTCCTGAAGTGGGCGGAGCTTCTGGAGCCACATTTGCGTCATGAGCGGCTGAGTTTGAACAGAACTTCACACATGATGGCCGCCACCGTTGGGCTGAGCGCGGCCGACAGCGAGATGTCCAGCAGCCGGCTCTCGTACAGAACAAACTCGGTCCGGTTCTCCTCCACGCTCGCCACGGCCAGCAGCGCCTTGGCCGTGCGGCACATCATGTTGATGCTGGGCGGCTCCGGCGGCAGCGTGGCGTGCAGCAGGCTGTGCGGGTTCTGCTGGTACTGGGCCATGGCCACGCTGTCCTCCAGGAAGCCGATGAGAGTTCCCACGCTGCCTCTCTGCAGGGCGATGGCCCTAGCCGCCGCTGGCTCGCCCCGTGCCAGGTTGGACAGTACGGCCACCGCCATCTCCCGACACACCTGATTCTTCCGCTCGCCCACAAGCCGGACCAGAGAGGAGAAGAGCCTCTGCTGGCGGCTGAAGGGCGGCGTGGCAAGCAGCAGGTCCACGTTACAGTCCTGGATGCTCAGCTTACACAGACACTCCAGAACCAGCCTCTGAGGCGTGAGCGATGACAAGCCGCCCGCCGAGGAGAACGGGTCCAGGGCCTCGGCCGACGGACACACCATCCAGTGCAGCAGCCCGTCCAGGATGGGCAGGCAGATACTCTCCGGGTACTGGGACAGGTCCAGTTGACCCGACATGTTGGCCAGGGTCACCAGAGTGTTCTCCCTCAGCGCCGTCAGGCAGTCCCACCACCACTCGTCCCGGCTGCAGGCCCGACCCTGCTCCTCCTCTCGCTGGTACGAGGGACGCATCCCTTTCCTGGGGGGGTGGAGGTGGTGCAGAAGCACCAGCCGGCCCAGAATCAGAACCAGGCCCGGGTGTCGAGACAAGATGGCGTCATTACCAGGGACGAAGGACAGGTTCCGTATGATGTTGGAGATGCAGATGCAGCGTTTGGTCAGGGAGTCCTGCCAGGACTCGGCGGTGGAGAGCGGCGCCTCGTCCCAGCATCGAGGCTCATCCTCCTGGTGGCTAATGGGACTTGACCTTTGACCTCTGACCTCAGACTGCCGGCCTGTAGAGCACAAACACACTCGAGTCAGAGCTGCTGTCGGGTTCTGGGCAGATCCAATCAGGACCAGATGATCACCTCCTTGTTCTTCTAGCAAGCCGTCCTTCTCAACTCCCTCGCCCTCTGGGCTCCTACCCTCACCTCCTCCTGTCCTCCCCCTGGTCTCCTCGCCCCTCCACCTCTCCAGTGGATCTGGAGGAGCAAAGTTTCCAGTGCGGGACTCAAAGTGGGTCTGGATATGAGCCGTGGAGTCTCCTCCTCCTGCCTTCCAGTGCAGGAGGCCACTGATGAAGCCGTTGGGTCGGCTCAGTCTGGCCCAGCGTTCCTCCACCTCCTCCCATGTCTCCCCCATCTCCTCCACTCTGACTGGCAGCTTGTCAAATTTGCTGCTCTGTTGAGGGCGGAGCTCCATCTGCTCCTCCTTCACCCCTAGGACAGGTTTGGTGTCTTTCATCTCCTTCTCGAGAGCACTGCATGGAGGTGCCTCCTCCAGCTTGGTTTCAGGTTGAGAGGCAGTCGTTACCTCCTTGAGCTCCTCCTTCTCGGGAACGGGCCCCAGCAGGCTCTTCTGGCTCTCAGCCCCCACCTCGTACTCCTCCAGGATGCCAAAGATCTGGATGAGGCAGCGGCGGTAAAACTCCACAACAAGTTCCAGGAAACCCGGCAGCTGCAGGAGGAACAAACGCTGAGTTTACAGAGTTGCTGGTTGCCATGGCGACAGAAGGAGTCCTGACTCACCTGCAGAAGGTTGAAAGAGCCTACTGTCCCATTGTCGTACAGCAGGATGTTGATGGTGTCCAGCGCCCACGTGCTCTCTGCTAAAAGCCCAGACTTCAGTGACATCATCACTCGCCACGCCTCTGGGGTTCCTAGCCAATCAGATCATAGAGTGAGCCTCAGCAGTGTGTGTGTCTGTGTGTGTGTGAGAGGGTCTGACCTGTGTCCTTGGCTGTCAGGTGTCGCCGTGGTTTCAGTTTAGGGGGCGTGGCCTCCACAGAACTGGGGGGGTAGCTGACATCTCTGTAGATGAGGGGGAGGCCCTGAGGGGGTGGGGGCCCGGTTGGAGCCCCAGGCTTCTTGATGGAAGACAGGTAGGGGGAGCTGTTGGGGGACAGAGAGCCCCCTGATGGCCGGGTAAAAGGGGAGGGGCTGTGAGAGAGGGTGACATGATTTTGGATTGTGGGCGTGGCCTGGAATGTGGAGGGGGGCTGCCTGGAGGGTAGTGTGGGTAAGGGGGGCTGGTACTGACTGTGGGGACTGGGGGGCCACTGCGTGTCCTGGGAGGGGCGGCCCTCGTGCTCGCAGGGGGGCCCCTGGCCCTGCCGGCTGTATGAGTAACTCATGTCCGTCCTGGGGGGCCACATGTTGGACTGAGGCCCCTCCCCCGGGCCCCCCGATGGTCCTGAACCCATCATACTGTGCTGGGGGGCCCCCTGACGATAAGGAAACTGTCCCTGAACGGGTCGGCGCTCAGGGCTCATGTAGGCTCCGCCTCCTGCTCCATACGGGGCGGGCACTCCAAAGGCCTCTCCCTCATGGCGCTTAGCGGGGGGGTACGGACCCTCCATTGGACGCTTGTAGCCCTGCAGAGACCAGAACCAGAGCTAATTAGGTACCAGAACCTCTCCGCCCAGAAGCCTGTGGTTCTGGTTCTGCTGCTCACCTGCTGGTGGGGGTACAGAGGCTGATGGGAACTGTAGGCCATGCTGTGAGGATACTGGTACCCATCAGGTCCGCCGGGCCTGAGGAGAGAACAGCAGAATTATTCAGCTTCCTCCAGAACATCCAGTCCAAACGGGTCATCAGTCCGACAGATGGAACTGATTTGGTTCTGTTTAGAAGTTCTGGTTCACTAGACCTGATGAGTGGGCTGAACAGAACCAAGGTTCTGCTGCTCAGGTGAAACCGGGTCTGTGTGAAGGTTAGCCTCTCACCTCTGGTGGGGGGGGTATCTGTTAGACGCGAACAGGCCCGGCTCGGTTCCAGATGAACCCATGCAGTTCTGACCTCCAGGGGGTGCCACGCCTCTGTGCGGACCCGTCACATGGTCTACTCTGCAGAAGCAGAACAGAACCTTCGGTGAAACCCAAACAGTTTGTTTCTATTTGATTTTCCACTAAAACAAAACAGCAGAAAGTTCTTTTGGGTCAGAACTGTACCTCCGCTCATAGCCGGGCCCATAAGGGTACTGTGGTTTGGACCCCACCCCTGTTACAGGCCCAGAGGTGTACATGTCCTGCATGGTGCCGCTTGGTAAATGACCAGGACCAAAGGTCTCCCCGAGAACCGGACCTGTGAAGAACCGAGTCGGAGAGGTTAGAATCTCGAGGATCCGGTTTATTGTTTCTGGGTTGTGACGTAACGTGGATGCAAGGCCAGAACTCAGGCTGCTGGTGGGTGTTTGGACCACTAGGGGGCAGAACCACACGGTCCAGAAAGGTTCTAACCAGTTCCATTACTGAACACATCAGAACCTGCTGATCCGGGTCTGGGCTGCTTTGCTTCATTATGAATGGATGATTTTACGATTAAAGTTAGAACCGAGGACTCCTCCCTCACCCTTCCTCGAGCCTCCACAGTTGGCTTCATACTGCAGCCTCATCGCTGGTTCTGCTGGGCCCCCGCCGGGCTCCGGGCCCCGCCTGCTGTGGAAGGCCGGATCGTTGCCTTCAGAAAACGGGTCCTGGATGCTCACCCCCCCCAGGCTCCTGAGAGGAGTAACAATACGTCAAACTTTATTTATAAAGAGCTTTTCGTACAGAAACAGTTAAACTAAAAAAAACCAAACGAGTGGAAGTAAAATGACAGCGGAGCTTTTAGAAGAACCAAAGAGCAGAAACTCTGCTGGTGAAGTCAGCTGATCAAGCAGCACGACCCGTTTGACTAATGGGGGGGGGGGGGGGTAAGCTAACTAAAGGATGATAATAATAATTAACATTGAAGCAACCACAGTTAACTTTACTTACTAAACCCGTTAGTGATTTCATTAAAAACATGTCTGCTCATGTCTTCACCAGCCTCACCGTAACGCAGCTCCAGGTTAATTATTAACGGTGTACCGCATGGATCAGGTACAGGACCACCGAGTTTTACTTTTCTTCAAACTTATGAAAATTATATTTCTGTGGATTTATTAAGTAAAACGATGAGAAGAAAAGAAAACAAGCTACCAGGAAAATTGAAAACCACAAGTTTGACAGTAACACCTTCGCTTTGGTCTCTAAATTTGACCTTTGACCTCTACTACCTGTTTCCGGAGTGGGGACCCATCTGACTGTGTGGTGTGGAGGTGGGGGTCGAGGGCTTCAGGTCTACGGGTGCCTCAGTGAGGGAGCTGCTGCTGGACTGAGGGGTGTTCGGGCCCTGTAGGGAGCCCGAGTTGACTGCAGAGACCCAGAACAACAGAACACATCATCCTCACCATCTTCATCTTCACAATCATCATCGTGTAACTCATGTTATCCAGACCTGCAACACCTGAGCTGTCCGCTACGAGCACCACAGGATATAACTGACCCAATATGGTGGTTCCGGTTCTCATGATTGCTCACCTGTTGACGGTTCTGGAAGGCTGCGGGGACTCGGATTCTCTAATCATTCGGATTTTCCCTCACATGTTAAGCAAGATGCTCATAAGCACTCGGACGCTTGAGGTTTCACAGCTGCCCACTGGAGAAATCAGGCGGATCAACATAAGGACTCGGGATAAGCGACCAGGCTTTTATACGGAGCTCTCTGTGAGAGTGGCGAGCCTCAACTGAACTGAATGAATGCTTTCTGACCTGGAAGTTGAGTCATTCTTTCCTGGACCTCAAAAAAGGAACGGGAAGAACTTTGGGAAGAAGCATTTTTTTGTTGTTTTTGTGTACCTTGGTTTCTGAGAGAAACGCCATTCATGAACGTTTGAAAAGCCTAACTTGTTGTTTTAGTTTATGCTTTTCTGTTTATTAAGATTCTTTGTTTTGAACCAGTTACTGTTTGTCTTCTTTTCACATCACCAGCTCCAGTGTCAGATTGAGCCTTTTGTAGTTGTAGCGTACCAAAGGTCAGGTTTTCCATCAAAATGAACAGAAATGAACTTTTACTTTGCAGACATGAACTGCGTCACACATCCAGGGGTGCATCACATCTGTCTGGCCTCCAAGCAAGAAAAGCAAGGATCTACGATGCGTTACTGAACGAGGAAGCCATGATATCTTTGCTCAAGGTCTCACGCAGGAGACGAGACCTTTGACCTTCACTCTGAATAAAGGTCATCCTCCTTGAATCACAAATGACTTTACAACTTTATACGTTGATATAATCAAATGTGTTGAATGAACAAGATGTTTGAATCTAAAGTGTGTGAATAATGTGTGCATTAATCAATGATGTGTTAAAATTAATGTTTTTCCTGCAATGATTCATTTCAGGTCTTAAACTACACCAGATCAGTGTTTGTTGATTTAACACGTTAACCTGTCAGTTTACTCGTGCATCATAATGTTAATATTAAGGTTTTAACATTTACAACATTTCCACTTCACACCGAGTTAACCTCTCCATGTATCTGAGGGTTGGAGGGACTTCTGAGCTGTTTTGGTTCTTCAAACGTGTCAAATCCTGATTTGCCAAATTTATCAACAAGGTTGATTAAAACAGGAGTTACTTCCTGATCTAGCTGCCTCCTGGTTCGGCCAAACCGGTGAACAAGCAGTCTGAGACCATCCTCTCTCTTGACCTCAGGTCAAAACATTGCTCTGCGACGCGCGCGGGTGACATCAGACACCGAACAGCCTTAGACACAAAACTAGCATTCCAGCTTCCTGCCGCCACCTGGAGATAACCCAGACTAGATGGGTCGGAATCGGAGCTAAGAGCTCCGTCACCAGAGGTCCACGCCATTGAAGTGTCCCTTTCGACCTCCTGGATTGCTTGGGGATTTTCACATAAGGGTGCGTAAATTCGGCACAAATTGCGTCAGACGGTGTTTTTATTAGCGTATAAAACCAAACAGCCAAGTCGATTTTACAACCCAGACTCTACAATCGCTCTCAGATACTTAAGAAAGGTTTTGCTAGAACCCCTAGATCACATTCATCATCTGTTATCTACAAAACCATCATCTCATTCATACTTTGTCACGTACATCATTTAGTTCAGAACAGAGAATTAAAATCATTTCATAACTATATTCTTGACTGTCTGGATTAATACGAAGTGTGTTTATGGTCCCTGAAGTCAAAGAAACTAAAGTCTTCTGATTAAACGCTATTTACAGAAATGTTTATTAATGTGCACAGTCCTTATATAAATAAATGAAATGAAAGTAGCCAATCATAGTCATCCGTTGCTGTAATTTACCCTCCGTACCAACAAGAGTTAAATGTGGCGAGCCAGCCAGGGAGCTCGTTTGGTCAACCGTCACAATCATCACCATTGTGGGAACAACCAAAACAAACATGGCGTCAACAGAAGAGGTCAGTAACTGAAGAGCAGAAAAAGAGACAACGGTATGGTAGATGGTGAGAAAGACCTCTGAACCAGAGACGGAGTCACCGTGGTGAGAGTCTCACTCGATAGGTCGACTCCACCTACTGGTTACTCATGTAACGTTCGGACGCGTCACGTTACTTTTGGGGGACGCGCACAAATCAATGCAAGTAATGCGTGGCAGCCATTTTAAACACACCCTCAGGGTGAAAAGTTCCTCTGCTAAATCCATATTTGTTTTGGTTGTACCCACAAACCCGGCTCTCTGCCAGGTCTGAGTGGTCTAGAGCGCCCCCAGGGGAACACCCTGGTACTACGGGCAGCGCCGTGTAGCAGCAAGTACATCACGGCACTAATGGGCCATTCCCATCTGTACCGGGTCGGCCCGGGCCGGGTAGCGTAGGTTGTTTACATATCTGGGTGGCCTGGTATTTTTCCGGGCCAACCAAGGCTCATTCTCAGCCCTCTTCTCGAGGGGGTCTGCTTCAGGCCGACCAGGGCCAACACACCCACTGCTGACAGCAAATTCACACCTTCCATTAGAGCAAGCCTCTGATTGGTGGGTAGAATCAGCCCACATGGGCTTAAGGCAAGGATGTGTGGAATCAACAGGGCCAGGCTGGGGCCGACTGGGGCTACCCGGCCCTACCCAGTACAGATGGGAATGGCCCATAAGATGTCAGGGACTCTTGTCTCACCTGGAGATGGAGGCTGGATCTTGGCCTGGAGGGATGACGGTTTCTTTGTGGTCGCCGTGGTGTCGAGCGGAGGCTCCTCCCCCCGCTCCACCTTGCTCTCGTAGGCGAACAGGTACTGGATGTACTGTTTCTTCAGAGAGCTGGCAGAGGTGCTGGATGTCCCCACGTTCAGGAGGGTCGACAGCTCACGCCACTTCTTGTTTTTGTTTACCTGAGAAACAGAACCGAACCCATCAGCGAGTCCTGCAGACGGTTCTGTTATCACTCAGACCCAAACCCTGATGTTAGGATCTTCTCACCATGGCCAGTCCTCCGATCTCTCTGACAGCCAGGTACAGTCTGCAGAGGTCCAGAGGCTTCTTTCCCACAGTGGGCAAGTTCGGGACAGGTGTCCCCCTCTCCTCCATGAAGGACAGGTACCGGTCCACCCACAGCCTCCTCTCTGGTTCAGGGCCCATCTCATAGAGCCGAGTGACCTTCTCGTTGGTCATGGTGGCCACGCTGGGCTTCTGGAGACACCAGAGAACCGAGATGAACAAAATCCACTAGAATCACAAGTTTGATCATTCTTCATCAGAACATCAGAGGACCGCTGGTCACAGATCAAAGAGTGGGTGGGACTTACAGGGCTGGGCGGAGTCTGGAGCCAGGAGGGGCTGCTAATGCTGTTGCTGTCCTCCCCCACAAAGGAGGACATACTGGCTGAGCTGGGAGACATGGGACATGGGGTGGTGGGGGGTTGAGACACACACTGAGACCTGTAGCTGTCCTGTAAGACACACACACACACGCACACACACACACACACACACACACACACGCGCACACACACACACACACATTAAAACTATAAACAGACTATCTGGAGTCTACAGCTGATGTAGGTTCACCCAGAGGTCAACAGTTTCCTCCCAAATCGTTTAATTTAAACTAATCTCTCATATTTTATTTTCTCTTGTCTGAAAAACAGAATAAAGAAAAGATTCCGTTTTTTTCCTAATCCGACAACTTTTCCATTACGGTTCCCTGGAAGCCAACGTCACTCGGCTTCAGGGAGAAAATCCTCTCTGCAGATCAAAGCAGCTGTTCCTCATCAGCTCAACCGGACCCGGTCAGAGCAGAACCACAAACGGCGCCAGAGACGGGATCAAGGTCCATTCCTCACCTCCTCCTGATGAGGAGCGGAGCGGAGGAGGAGCAGCCGAGTTGGCAACGAACAAGCAAACAGAAACAAACGGCGGCGCTGAGTTTTGGGTCTTTTAGATGGAAACAAAGTCGGAGCAGAACAAAGAGCAGCTGGAGATCACAGCGGTTAGTGGAGCGGGTCGAGAACCCAAGGTTCTGATCAGAACCAGGTCCCACCAACAAAGGTCCGGTTCAGCAACTCTAACAGAAACCAGAGCTGAGGAGGGTTCTGGTGCTACAAGAACCCGGACGGTTCCATTAGTCCCCACGTTCTCCGGATCCAGAACTTTAACAGGATAATGGTTCCTCACGGTGCTGAGGAAACGGTTCCAGATCAGAACCAGAACCTGCCAGAACCTTCTGAAGGACAGCAAACATGTAAACAAACTAACCTTGGCTCTGAGGGGATCAGAACCGAGCCCAACGTTCTCTTTACTGAACTCGACCCGATGTCTGGCGTCTCCATGAGGTCTGAACCCGTCTGCCGGCATCATCCTTACACCTGGGGAGGGACACAGCTGGGGGTGGGTAATCATCCCAACGGACCTTAAAGTGGGAATGGTTTCAGGATACCTGGAGCGGAGAAAGGGGGGCCCAGGTGCTGGCCGTACGGACCTCCCATCAGGGTCACGCCTGGGAAGCTGCCCTGCCTGGACACCACAGAAGAAACAAGTCAGAACTCCACCCACCAGGGGGCGCTGGTATGCCCCAGACTGCCCTCCATCTCACCAGCTCTGGGCGGCGCTCACGGACGGCGATGAGGAGTTGGTGCTTATTCCAGCGTTGGGGACCATCTCTGGGTTGCTGCTGGTGCTGGGCCCCAGGGGCCCCATGCCTTGCCCCGCGGCCTGAGGCATGCTGGGAGATGTGGGGGACATGGTGCCTGCTCCGATGGGGTTGGAGCGGCCCCCGGCCCCGAGGCCCCGACCTGCAGGAGTGGAGGGGCCCTGACCGTGCATCGGACTGGTGGCGTTTGGCCCCAGGCTGTTGGCGAGGCCGGGCCCTGGGCCGGGCCCGCTGTAGCTGGCACCTGGAGTCCCACCATAATGGGGGGGCCGAGGGTAGTTACCTGGTCATAGTGAAATGAAAGGTGAGACAGAGATTTAATCCTGTAAAGGTGCAGGGGTCAGGATCTGGTACCTGGGGGACCGTACTGGCCGTAGGAGTGGCTCCCCTGCTGGTAGGGGCCGTGATGCATCGGCCCCGATGGAGCAGGCTGGGAGGACATGGGGTGGGCTGAAGGCTGGGCACCAAACTGGGTGGAGCGCTGCATGGAGGGAGGGAAACCTGGGGGGGGGGGGGGAGCAAACAGGGAGAGGGAGGATCAGAACCGAGTCGGCCGAGTGAGAAGAGCGACGAGGACTCTTTTCTGTGGGGGCGGGGCTGAGATCATCTAGTAACACATGATCGTGTGAGTAAACGAAGGAAACAGGTGAATCCTTACAGAGTAGGGCCGCTCCATTAATCTAATTTTAATCCCAATTACCAGTTTTGAACGATTATAAAAACAAAACAAGCAGATTATTTGCTCTGCCCACTTGCGCTGCCCTGAGTTGCAAATGAAGTGCTCCTCCCACAGTGTCGCCAGCTTAGCGACTTTGACGCTATTTCTAACAGCTTTTCAGACTCCCTTCTTGACTTTTTAAATCTTAAATGTATCTAGCGAACACATCAGAAACATCTCTGGTAACCCTTAGCTGCTTTCTGGATAACTGTCGTTGACATTTCCTGCAGGTTAGCTAAACACTCCGCCTGCGCTCCGGACCGTTCTTCAGGACATTAGGAAAGGGAATGATGTAGTGATGTGTCAGTCGCTAAAGAAACGGCTCTCGGAGCCGGCTCCCTGTTGGAGTAACCAGAGTGAGTGACACACACACAATACCTGCGGACTCCTGAGCCACTAAAAACGGCTAAATGTGCGCGTGAAGCTTGCCCCTGATTGCTGTGAGACCGGGTTGGGGGGTGGGGGGTGCAGCTGTGGTTGGGACAATTATTACATTAACTGATGGACTTGTAAATAAATAGTTTATAAATAAAGTAGAAATAAGTTCCTCACGCTGATAAATAATAACTAATCTCTCTGAGAACACGGTGCTAGTGCACGCTCCTACAGCACATTGACACAACTAAATAAATGTTATGCAACATTTAGTGAACATCAATTTATTTGCATGTATTTGTTATAAATGCCACTGAATAATTCTTGCTGTCAGTATTTGCAAGATATTGGTATTTGGGTCCGAACTGGTTAGACTTAAATGAGTTAAACCAAGGTCTAGAGCCCTTGGGTCATAGACTTTGAGCTATAAGTATATTGGTCTTTTTATTCTAGGAATCATTTTAGTGATCATATTGTTTCTTATTCATTTTTGTCCTGATTGTGCCCTGAGCAAATCGACATCTCAATTTCAGTCACAATAATCGTGATGATTATTTTTGCCATAATCGAGCAGCCCTATTACAGAGTCAGAAGTCTTGCTTGTTTACATCACCTGACTCTGATCATCTAGAAAACAAATGTTTCACAATTTCAGGTTAGCTGAGGCTAACGCTAGCTCACATTCCCCCGGCAGCTCCGCTCTGCTTTAAGTTTGTGCTTGATGCTAAGAAGGATTCACCTGCAGCTCACCCCAACGGTTCAGAAAAAGCCAAATTCATTAGATCAGACCTAATTAATGACAACTCCTCATTCACCAACAAGCAGTGCTGATGCTGACAACCACATCACGAACATACAGGTGCTGGCCAGTAAATTAGAATATCATCAAAAGGTTGAAAATATTTCAGTAATTCCATTCAAAACGTGCAACTTGTACATTATATTCATGCAATGCACACAGACCAATGTATTTCCAATGTTCATTACATTTAAATTTGATATTTATAGGTGACAACCAATGAAAACATCAAATCTGGTATCTCAGAAAATTAGAATATTCTAAAGGCCAATGAAAAAATGTTTGTTTCTCTAATGTTGGCCAACTGAAAAGAATGAACATGAAAAGAATGTGCATGTATAGCACTCAATACTTAGTCGGGGCTCCTTTTGCCTCAATAACTGCAGTAATGCGGCGTGGCATGGACTCGATCAGTCTGTGGCACTGCTCAGGTGTTATGAGAGCCCAGGTTGCTCTGATAGTCGTCTTCAGCTCCTCTGCATTGTTGGGTCTAGCGTATTGCATCCTCCGCTTCACAATACCCCATAGATTTTCTATGGGGTTAAGGTCAGGCGAGTTTGCTGGCCAATCAAGGACAGGGATACCATGGTCCTTGAACCAGGTGCTGGTGGTTTTGGCACTGTGTGCAGGTGCCAAGTCCTGTTGAAAGGTGAAGTCTGCATCCCCATAAAGTTGGTCAGCAGCAGGAAGCATGAAGTGCTCTAAAACTTCCTGGTAGACGGCTGCATTGACCCTGGACCTCAGGAAACAGAGTGGGCCAACACCGGCAGATGACATGGCACCCCACACCATCACTGACGGTGGAAACTTTACACTGGACCTCATGCAACGTGGATTCTGTGCTTCTCCGCTCTTCCTCCAGACTCTGGGTCCTTGATTTCCAAAGGAAATGCAGAACTTGCTTTCATCAGAAAACATAACTTTGGACCACTCAGCATCAGTCCAGTCCTTTTTGTCCTTGGCCCAGGCGAGACGCTTCTTGCGCTGTTTCTTGTTCAAGAGTGGCTTGACACACGGAATGCGACACCTGAATCCCATGTCTTTCATGAGTCTCCTCGTGGTGGTTCTTGAAGCGCTGACTCCAGCTGCAGTCCACTCTTTGTGGATCTCCCCCACATTTTTGAATGGGTTTGTCGTCACAATTCTCTGCAGGGTGCGGTTATCCCTAGAGCTTGTACACTTTTTTCTACCACATTTTTTCCGTCCCTTCGCCTGTCTGTTAATGTGCTTGGACACAGAGCTCTGCGAACAGCCAGCTTCTTTAGCAATCACCTTTTGTGTCTTGCCCTCCTTGTGCAAGGTGTCAATGATTGTCTTTTGGACAGCTGTTAAGTCAGAAGTCTTCCCCATGATTGTGGTGCCTTCAAAACAAGACTGAGGGACCTTTTAAAGGCCTTTGCAGGTGTTTTGAGTAAATCAGCTGATTAGAGTGGCAGCAGGTGTCTTCTATATTCAGCCTTTTCAGAATATTCTAATTTTTTGAGATACCAAATTTGGAGTTTTCATTAGTTGTCACTTATGAATATCAAATTTAAATGTAATGAACATTGGAAATACATTGGTCTGTGTGCATTGCATGAATATAATGTACAAGTTTCACGTTTTGAATGGAATTACTGAAATATTTTCAACCTTTTGATGATATTCTAATTTACTGGCCAGCACCTGTACATGTTTAAAATGGTTTGATATTTAGAGTCTGAATCTAACCAGGACCCAAAACCCTGATCGGCTGATGGAGCAGAAACTTCACTCTGGATCTGATAAAGCGATGATGATGATGATGATGATGAGTGAGCAAACCTCTGTCAGGGGTCATGGTTGACTGAGAGGACTGAGGACCCACATCTGATCCAGGACCAGAGACCTGAGCGGTCAAGTGAGACCCTGAGAGAGAGACAGTGTTAATACAACATCCCTGGACCTGTCATGTCACAGACCTCCTCCCCTTCCTCCTACCTGGCCCGCTGGACGTGGGGGGGGACAACGGCCCTGACCGTGATTGGTTGCTCCCGGCAGGAGACAGTGATGGGGAGGGGGACAGTCCTGTACGAGAAGGAGGGAGGCGGGGAGAGACGTGGGGGGAGAAAGGCAGGCGGGCCCCTGGAGTCCCCTGGTCCCCCGAGGTCCCTGAACTGACGGCGGCCTCCGTACCGGTGGGCAGGTCGTCGATGGAGCCCGACAGATCCTGGATCAGACAGAGACATGGTTTTGGTTCTAGGTGATGGGTCGGTCCGACCCGCTGGTTTTAGATCAGCTTAGAAAAAAAAATCACTTTAAATTTTTCTGTTAAAAACAGCTGATTTGTTTTCTGACTGAATCATAACATCAGATGTTTGTGAGTTCTGGTTCTGATCGGATTAACGTTCATAGATGTAGATGTTTGTACGAGGAACCAACGCAGAAATCGCTGTTGGACCTGAAGTTCTGTGTGGTTCTGATCGGGTCAGACTATTCTGCTGCTGACCTCCTCGTGTTCCTCCTGCAGCTCCCTGATTTATGAGTTTAACCACCGAAGCTTCTGAGGGACAAAAGACTTCATTCAGAGTAAAGGGGAGGGGCCACGAGGCTCTAGGTTGTAAAACTACAACCTAGAGCCCCTTTTATGCAATGTCAGGAACGCAGAACTGTCAAGTACACAGGTGGCAGGAACGGCCAATCACACTTTAGCAAGTATCAGCAGAGCCAATAGATGAGCTTGTGGGCGGTTCTGATGGGAGCAGGCTTCAACACAAGTGGTTGCTTTGCGCCTGGTCCTGGAGCCCAATCAGTCTGTTTAATACAGCGTACGATTGCTTTGGACGGTAAAAAGTACAGGGGGCAAAAAGTGACTTTGGAAAAAGTGTGTGTGGGGGGGACATGTCCCCCCCTGTCCCTCCCAAAACTACGTCCATGGTTTTAGTGAATTAGGCGTTTCATGTGAAAACCAAAAATGCACTTTTGGGTCATTTTTGGTGCATCTTTGTACTAAATGAGCCGATAAAAGGTTTATTCCACGAGGAAGGGCGTGATGAAGTTAGCTCGATGCTAAGCTAAAACAGCTGACTCCGGGTCAGATTTATCAACTGAGAAGAGAGAAAGAGACGGGTGGAAAACAGAGAAGATGAGATGAAAACAAAGATGAATAAAAAAATTGAGAATAAAACAATGAACATAAGTAATTAAAGATAAAAAAAACTATAAAAAAGATAAAAGATGAACAAGAGGAAGACGAGTAGAGGAGGGATTTAGCCCCAGTGCTTCAGCCAATCACAGCCCAGAAACACATTCTCCTTTCCTTCATCTGCCCCTTACCAACAGTTCAGACCAATCAGCCTCTGCTAGGATCTTAGGTGACACACCCGCACAAACCGGCGCAGTATGTGTTTCTCTGCAGCTCCAATCCCTGAGTTTCTACCTTTGTGAGGTCACATGATCTTCATCACCACCCGAAGGCTTTCAGTTATGGGCAGTTTGTAGCTCTGCTCCTGACGGCCCTTTAACTTTCTCTGAAGCTCTGACTTCCTGCCACCTCTAATGAGGCAGAACTCTCATTAACAATCAGCTGTTCCTACGTCAAGTCTCACCTTGATCTCGTTCACCTGCAGCTCAGGTCGCGTCAAACGATTCAGCTCGATTCAACCAGTTCAATTAAATCCAAACGCTCCCACCCCACAGAGAGCCCATTAGTGTAGCACTCCTTTAGACGAGTTTCTGTAGAAACACTCAATCTTCCCGTAAACAGTACGTGTGTGCGTGTGTGTGTGTGTGTGTGTGTGTGTGTGTGTGTGTGTGTGTGTGTCCGTCCAGAGAGCTGTGGGTCAGACTGAAGCGTTTGAACAGGACATCGTCAGACGGACAGAAGGAGCTCCGGCTGTTGCTCATGCTGCTGAGGGAACCATTTCTCCTACAGCAGCAGTCGCCACGGCAACTGCATCAGGACCCGACTTCAAAAGGAGGCTCAGCACGAGGGAGAGGAGATGGAGGTGGGTGACAGACAGAGAGGAGAAGGAAGGAGTAACTGGAGGAGGAGAAATGGAGGATGGAGGAGGAAAGGAGACAAGGGAAATGAAAGGGAATGTAAAAACCTGATGGAGAGAGAACGAGGGCAGCTCACAGCTGGAGCTGCAGATGATTAAATGTAAGCAGCAGTTGACACACTTCATCTGTTAGAGGAATAAAAACTCTAGCAAACAACTGAGCCCCCCCCCCCCCCCCCCCCCCCCCCCCACACACACACACACGTACGGAAACCTAAACAATCACAGAATGTTCCCTGATGTTCACCAGAGTCGGAGCTGCAGCTTCTCTTTGGACTTGGGTGTTTATTTTTACTCAGTTTTCCTGAGGATAGAAAACAGGCTCCTAAACTCAAGGGATGAGCCAGAGATGAGTGGACGCAGAACTAAACCAGTTTGAACTGGTCTGGTACCAGCAGCCTGGTCCTGATCCAACTAAGAGCAGGACTTCCAGGTCCTGGTTCAGGTCTTTGATGATGGATCTCATTTGTCTCAGGAGCATCTGGAACCGAGGACAGGACCAGAACTTCTGCTCTGTGAGGAACGTGAAACCCGTCTGGCTCGGTTTTCTGACTTCCATCCAGATGAAACTCCAACAGGAAGTTTGAACACCTTTTATGGATTAAAGACAAATGAGAGTTGATCCTGTGTTGCATGACGGATCAGCAGGACACATCGTTATCTCGCTCTCCGTCAGACGCAGCAGGAAGCTGCAGCGTGAGGTCTGTGAGGTTCAGCTGCAGTCCGAGGAGGACAGAGTCATTATGGAGAACAGCGAGGAGCTCCGTGTGTCAGCCGTGACCCTCCGCACGCCAAAGCAGGATCTTCACCAACAAACACCACAAACAGACTAATGAAGTCACGTCAGGTCGCTGGACTCACCGGCAGGCTGGACGGTCTCTCCTGTTGGCTCAGACTCACGTCCTCATGGTTCGGCTTCCCAAGAGTCATAGCAGCAGACTTGCCCCGCCCCCCGTACGCTTCCTGAGGAACTTCCTGTGTCAAAATAAACAAATGAGCTGACTTCAGTCCATGAACACAGAAACCATCAGTAATGAATATTCCCCTTTTATCCAGACACGCTCAAGAGGACCTGGCTGACAAAAGCAAGAAAACCATCTTTTCTTTAGCGCCTCTCAAGATGAAAATCACGAGGACCTTCACAAAAAAATGATTAATTAAGTATAAAAAAGATAAAAATTAAAATGAGAAAAATAAAAATTTTGATAAAAAATTAAAAGGAAAGAGAGAAAGAGCAGAACAAGGAGAGGGAGGTGATGGAGGTCCCACCAAAGCCTGAACAGGTGAGTTTAAAGGAGACCACTGAGTAGGGTTGTCACGGTAACCGGTATAGCGGTAAACCCCGGTAAAAAAGTTGACAATAAAAATAACCGTCCAGTTTTTAAAAAACTAAATTATCTCGGTGGGTTTACCGTGGCCGCGGTTTCGGCGCGATGACCCTTACCAGCCACCGTCGCTTCAGCTGAAGTTCCCGCGGCGCGCACACGCACTTTTTAGTTTGCAACGGCACCAAAACTTTGAAGCTGAAATAACGGCCGAAGGAGGAGACGGCAGCGCCCAGGACATCCATCAGCCCTCAAAGAAGACTAAATCGGAAGTATGGGCATATTTTGGATTTCTGAAAAATGCTGAGGGACAGTTAATAGAAGACTGCTATCCCGTTTGCAGAACGTGCAGGAAACAAGTGTCTGCAAAAGGCAGCAAGACTTCGAATCTCATGGCACATCTGCGTGACCATCACCCACGTCTCCACAGCCAGTGCAAGGTAAGTCAACATTAGCATTTTAGCTTAAATGCATGATGCAAGGACTTTTGGTTGAGGGAGAATGCAACGAGTCACTATATACTGCAGCCGCAGCGTCCTCTGCCAGCATTTAAACCGTGTCACGGACACCCTGTTGCTGCATGAAGCATCGTATTTGTTGATGATGAAGAGAAATATACAATTAGTTCCTTGTCATTGATTTGTTTACTTGTTCAATGCCATTTATACTTGAACATTTGGATTTGATTACATAGTGTAGTAGTTATTTTAGTAATTTGTTTAAAGTGGCTATTTATTTTAAATACATATTTTTTTAAGGTTGACTTGTACAGCGCTCAAGTCAAGTGTGGACTGGAGTTTTAGATTTTCATTTTGATAATGAAGAAAACAAGTATATGAGAAAACAAGTGGTGTTTCTTTGATTTGTTTACATATTGTTTATGTTTCGAATGTTTGGATTTGTATAATTTAAACCTGCACTGACTACTGTAACATGTTCCAGAAAAAGAAGCTATTTGTTCCTTTACTTGTGAAAAGTTGCACTTTTGCTAAGGCTTTGTGTTATTTTAGGTTTAATAAACACTGTTAAACCTTTTCAGAACTATTTCAGTTTGTGTAGAACAGGACTATCAATGCTTTCTGAACATATGCAACACCGTTTAAAAAATACCGCGATAATACCGAAAACCGTGATAATTTTGGTCACAATAACCGTGAGGTTACATTTTCATACCGTGACAACCCTACCACTGAGTCCACTGGTCTCAGGCTCAGGGGGGAGAGAGGTCCAGAGTCTGGGGGCCACAGCAGCAGATGGTCTAAAAGGCCCATCAGAATTCAGAGTAATATAAAAGTTGAGCCGGGGCTGGTCAAAAGGGCCCGTCAGGAACAGGAAGTGATTTTTAACAGACGGCGCTGCGGATGAAGGAAAACGATGAAGGAAAACTTGTGATGTTATCTAACTCAGATGACCTGAAAAGCTCTTTAGGTTCTGCCGCTATCGGGTTGTGAAGGAACCTCAGCAGGAAAAGAGGATGACACCATAACCGTGTTAAACCCTCGTCTCTCCGCTCAGAGCCTCTCACCAGCAGCCCGTCACCATTCAGACGTCCCAACCACGGCACATAACCACCACCCAGATCACAGCCATGTGACCCAGTTTTGTAGAGGGTTAAACAAAAGCAGTCTCCAGTATAGCTGGTCCTACATCCACCACGAGAAACGACGGAACCCTCTGAATCGTCCTTCAGGGGCCTCTCTTTCTCACGATTTTACAGGAACTGTTAGCGTCGTCATATCGGCTCCACACATTTTACGCAACGATGTCGGAGCTGAAGCGCAACACTGGCAGCTCTAGATGCCGCTGGGGTGAAACGGGTCATCATTGATCTGTACGGATCCCTCTCTACGGTTCCGCACGCGGATCGTCACATGGAGGGCGGAGGCACTACCTGTTCAGGCGAAAGGAGAAATGCACAGCGGTGATCATGACGGAGGAGGAGGAGCTTGAAAAACCACCTGCACCGTTTAGGTCACATGTTGGCTCCCCTGTACAATAACAAATGGCGAAAGTTAACATGGCCTCCAGTCTGATGGTGCGGTGCCGCACACACATACCTGGGGGGGGAGGGGGGGGGGCACATGCCTAGGACATAACATAAATGGGGTGGGACCTGTGAACATTGTTGAGGACAAATCTGTTAAAGAGGATGAAATAAAAATAAACAGAGCATCAGAAAGGTGCGGGGGAGTGAAAGCTGGACATGATGGTAGAGCGTGTCTTTATAGGGCAAGCTGTTTCAACATTTAATCAGCAATCAGACCTCTCTATAACTCATGCCTTTGTAGCAAGTTGCTAATTGAGCAGAAAATGTTGCACTAAGTGTTCCACAAAATAAATATGGAGAGCAAAGCGATTCGTTTCTCCGATTCGACACGTGACTGAAAACCGTGAAATGATCTGACAGGTTTGATCCGTCGCTCCACTAGATGCCGCAGACCAATGAAAGCAGCAGACTCATTGTAAAACTTATCTTCAGAACCACTTGTTTGGACCTGACTGGACTTCGCTTCGAAGTTCTGTAGGTGTAGACCTACCTGTGGAGGCAGTGGGCGGGGCTGCATGTAGAGCGTCTGGCTGGGGGCGGCGGTTTGCTGCTGCGGGGGGCTGAAGTACGGCGGCTGACTGTAACTGCTCAGGTTCTGCTGCTGGCTGTACTGAGAGCCCATCTGAGGAGAAACGGGCCTGATCAGGACTTGTGTGTGAAAGAAGCTGCCAACATGGCCGCTGAGGCTTCTGGGTAACGTAGTTCTGATTCTAGACCTCATTATGATTTTTCCACTGGACTGTTTATGGGACCGATTCCTGGAGAGAGCTCCACATGTTTAGCTTCCTGAAAAGTTTCAGCCACTCCACGAACCTAACTAGCTGCTCTGACCTTTGACCCCTCAGCGTCACATGATCGCTGCTGTGAAGCAACACATTCACCTACGAGTCAAATGTGCGCTGGTCTGGTTTTGTTTCCATGGAAACAAGCATCCAGGTTTAGGATGGAACTAGTTTGCAACAATGTGATCGATTTCTCTCTGGATTCACGTTTGGAGCAGAAACATTTTACTTTACTGAAAAGATAAACTACTGTCAGGAAACCGGGTCGACTTTTGAGAGGAGGAGCTGAATAATCCAGTTTAAAACTCCTGTTGTCATGGAAACAGGTCGATAGAACTTCAGTGCCAACATTTGTTTACTTTATAGAGTCAAACACCTGGGGCCCAGACACCGACTCCACCCCTTTAGTCCCAGCATGAGGGACATATGTAGTCTAGAGACGTGTGTTTGGGTCCCCGTCGCCTAGAAGCACCCATCAGAGCTCCAGAACCTTCATGCTCCCTTTGGGCTCGCCGGCTCAGACCAGGTGCTGACTGTTCTCATGCAGGACTTTAATTGACCTCCTTTAGCTACTTTTAGAACCTTTGATCTGGTGAAAAACACTTTTATATTTGATTTTCTAGACATTTATTTGTCCAAACAGTTTAACCGTCAGCAAAACCTTGATGAGAGGCAAAAGGTTTACGTGATCTGATCTGGATCGTTTCATTCTGTAGAAACTAAAATAACAAGCGCCTCCTACCTGCTGTTGGGGGTACTGCACCCCCCCCATCACTGCCTGCCCCCTACTGGACATCCCCAGCTGGTACCCTCGGGGAAAAGAGGATCCGTACGGCTGACCGGAGTACGGCGGCCCCTGCTGCTGGTTGTAGGGAGGGTTACTTGTCCCATAGAGCTGAGAGCGCTTCATCACCGTTGGGTCCATTGGCGACACCTGAGGGACAGGTAAACACCAGAGTGATGATAAACAGCTTTTTAAAACTCAGAAAACGAGGCTCGGAGGACTGCAGATGAACGGGTGATGGTGGACAGGTGCATCTGTGTGTTAGGCCCAAGGAGTTAACGTCAGAAATCCTGTCTACATCCTTCTGGACTGATGAGCTAATGGCTAGTCGGAGGGGTGTTTCTAAATCAGCTCCGATCTGTTTTATAAACCTTCACGATTATTAAATTGAAGAGGTTACGCACGGGTCCAGCCTGAGCCTTCGGCTGGACCCGGTCCACACCCTGTAGAAAACCTCCTGTGTTGTTAAAACATCCCATCCCCAAGAACCAGACCACTACAGCTCCGTCGCCTAGACCTCCCATCTGATGAAGACTATGGAGAGACTCATCCTCACCATCTATGTTCAGTGGTGAGCCCGGAAATAGACCCACTGCACTTTGCATATAAACTGAACATGGGGGTGGAGGACGCGTTCATCTACCTGCAGCACCGGGCTTGGACTCACCTCGAGATGCAAAAGAGCACTGTGAGAATCATGTTGTTCGACTTCTCAAGTGCCTCCAACACCATCCAGCCGTGTACTGCAGCAGAAGATGAGGGATGAGTGGACGAACATCTGCCTGCATGGACTATCTGTAATCTTATTACTTTCTTCTTCCTTTTCTCTGAGTGTGTGCTGGTTAGGGTTAGGCGAGTGCCGCTGTAGGAACACTGTGGCTGTTCTATTTACATGGAGCTCTGTGGTTGCTTATAACCACCAGCAGCACCTATCAGGGGTCAAGTCTGGGTAGGTTTTTGATTTTTCTGCCAAAACCACCTGTAAAGGTGACATGATGTCAATGTGAACGTTTCTAAATGACATCTGATGATTAGATCAGGGCTGACTTTAGATGACAGCAACACAAGTTAGTATTCACCCAGACTAGCTGTTAGCTCGTCAGTCCTAAAGGACTAAAACTATTTCTCTGAACAGAGGCTGTTCCTCAACAAGTCGGGCAAGAATGACTTTTATATGGAACTCACGTCTAACTGACAGAAGTTCTCCTTTAACACCTGACAGCTAACTTAACCGGACTCTGAGTCATAATGAGAAAAGCCATTTATGCTCAGTTAAAGTCCCATCAGCTGTCACACACACATCCACATCTGACCCATCCCCTGGGGGAGCGGTGAGCTGCAGACACAGCCGCGCTCGGGAACCATTTGGTGGTTTAACCCCCCAATCCAACGCTTAATGCTGAGTGTCAAGCAGGGAGGTGTTGGGTCCCATTTAGTCTTTGGTATGACCCGACCAGGATCTGAACCCTGACCTCCCAGTCTCAGGGCAGACACTCTACCACTAGGCCACTCAGGCTTCTTCATCTCTGTGGTCCTCCTAACATTCACCATCATCATCATCATCATCATCATCATCATCATCCATGTCATATTCTCCTGCATCAACAGTAGACTTCCCTCCTATTGTTTAACCATCTAAAAGCTTCTAAAACAGGATGAAAAATAAAACCATTTTTCCAACTGTGATGATTTTCTCTCGGACCTCTGGAATCTGCTGAACGATTGTGGCATCAGCAGATCAAAGAAAACTCCTGTGAGAAAAAGTGTCTTCTTGCTGCTTTCTGAGCCTAAGCCAACAGCTGAGCCTCTCGCAGCCGCGCTCACGCTGCATGTGAGCAATCCAGAAGCCTGGGAGGCCACTTCCAGCTGCAGTCAGCAGTCACGCCTGGGAGGGCTTCAATATTCCCGTCTGACACACTGACATAACAGGTGGGAGGAGGGAAAACAGATGTTTCCATGCAGCTTGAAATGGACACTAATCCTGACCTTTGACCTCTGTTCTGGATGGAGCGACTCATCAGTCAGCTGATGGGAGCAAAGAGACAGAAGAGCAGCTCAGCCAGTTCAATACTGCTGACCCAAAATCAGGAAGTAAACAAATAAAGTTTGAATGAACTTGTTACAGGAGCTGGTGGACAAAATCATGTTTAGTTTATCAAACAAAGCGGTTTAATATTCCAGAACATCAGGCTGAGTGGCCCTAGAGGGCCCTGGCCTGCACCTGCTTCAGACAGGAGCCGAAACACTAAAACACACCAAGTGTGATTGTTTTGTGAAGATGGAACAAAACTCTTCACCACAATGATACAGAATAATGTTGTCAGTCACGTGTAGCTCCAGCGAGCAGATTTAGTACCTAGTAAAGCCAATTTAAAGTCAGGCACATCCTTGGGCAGCCCGGTGCTCCACAATTTGTTTTAAAGGTATTTTATGTTCACTTAACATCTACTCTAAATTAACTTTATTTAGGTGTCTGACTAACACTGAGCGATGCACAAACTTAATTCAATTCAAAATCAATTCAATTCAAATTCAAAAATACTTTATTAATCCCAGAGGGAAACTGATTAAGAGATGGTTTGAATTTCCTCTTTCTCTGTCTCCGTTTTGCTCCTGCTCTGCACCCACGCTTCTTGCGTTTTAGCTCATTTGGGATTTGTGGCTTCAGTTGAGGTATTATTTCAGCCTTCTCAATGTTAATCAGCTGCTCCCGAATGTAAACCAGCCTGTTGCCATGGTTACGCATCATAACAAATGCTTAAAAAGTGAAAAAAAAGCAGTAAAAATCCTCCAAGCTTCACAGCACCAGAAACAGAAAAGTAAAGTGTCCAAAAAAATACTGTTTTTCTTGAGAAACTAGAAGAAAAAATGTCCAAGAAAAGGCAAAACTTACATATAGTCAACAGAGCTACTCCAACATGCAGCCACCCAGAGCAGCGCAGTTATGAATTAGTGACAACCAACTCAAGTGTGGCTGCGTCTGCAGCTCACCGCTCCCCCAGGGGATGGGCCACATGCCACACACACCTACACAAGTGGGTCTTTAACAGTTAGTCAGCAACTTAGTTTTTACAAAGATATGTGAATAAATAATCATGGTATATAACCCTCTGGCCTGCCATTATTTTCATGGTTTCACATTAGATCTGAACCACTTTGTGACCCATCTGGGTCTGAATTAGAACTTCAGAACCGGTCCGGTTCCCAGTGTGGTTTTCATGCTGGGGTTCAGGATGAGTCATCTGGGGTCTTTAGATGAGCTCCAGAAGGTAGAAGCTATAATAACACCCATCAGTGGCAAAAGCAAATTATAAAAGTTAATAATAAAATCAACTATTGCTATTTGGGGTCAGAGTTCAGAGTCGTTTCCTAAACCAGAATTAGAAATCAACCTGAATAATTATTAACACCAATAAATATTAAAGGTTTCTGCAAACTCTAAAGCCTCCACGGTGACCCGGAGCCGGTGATCTGGGTCTGGGATCACCGGTGTCCGCTGCAGTAGCTGGATATTTACCGGTGCTGTCGACCACATGGCTAATCTGCATGTGTGAAGGTCAGGACAGCTGGTGACCGGGACTTAATGGGCTTCCTGCCAGTAAATGATACCGGATCAAACACTAAACGCAGTCGTCTGGTCGGATCACACCTCCCATAAATAAGATCCGGTTCCCCCCAGCTCGATGACCCATTTTCAGGCACAAAAAGTGCAGAAAAACAACCTGATGGACGCTTTTAACCACTTTAAAAGAGGAGCTAATTAGCATAAGATTCGTGGTAACTGGGAGTCCGTTAAAAGGGAAACAAACTGTCAGCTGATGGACACCATGTCGGTGATTTCGTGTTTTATTTACATAAATCTGGATTTAAAATCTAATTTTTGATCGTTAAAGGGCTAAGTTAAAACGAGAAACCCATTTAGGCCTGTGTTGCTACGATGCTAATGTAAGCTTAGCCTAGCATGCTAAAGCCGAGTCACCTTGGAAACAAAATTTCAAACAAAAATTTTACTAACAAATGTTGACGTCACAGGTTAATATTTGTTCTTTTTTAAAAGAATAAATACATTTAATCGAGACTTTGAGTTGTTAATAGACCAAAAGAGTAAAACGTGTGGGTGGAGGTGTATTAATGAAATCAGCTGTTAGCATGAGAGGCTAACAGCCATATCGGGTGTTAGCAGGTGTTTATATCCTGATAAACTCAACATTAAATCGGCTTTATTCACCTGGGATCTACCGCTGCTCGGTCCGTTGTTCCCCGGGCTGACGCTCGAAGGGTGACTCCTTTGGGTTCCCCAGACTTGAGCTGCTGACCCGTACTGGGAGCCCGTCTCTTCCGCAGGACTACTGTAGTCTGGGTACCCCCCTCCATAGCCGCGAATCATCGGGCTCGGAGATGTTAATAACTGGTTTAAAGTCGGCGTAGCCCCTGATGGGTGCTGCTGACCCTGTCCGGGTAACCGCTGGAACCCTGCGGCGCCTCCTCCGCCTCCAGCCGAGGAGCTGGTAGCAGTCATAGCCGCTTTGCTACCCGGGCCCATCGGTCTGCTGCCCTGCCGGGAGGGGCTCGTCATGCCCACGTAGCCGCTGGCCCCGTATCCGGCTCGGTAGTCCGGGTAGTGGTTGTACGGGCTGCTGTTGCTGAAGCCTTCGTGGGAGTTGTGGACCTGGTCCATGGTTCCGTGTACCGTTCGAGCAACTGTTACCCCAGTCCCTGAGCTTTGTTGTCCGCCATGTTGATCAGAGCTGGGCCCTCCTCTTCCATTCTCATAATAATGATTAAAGTCGGAGCTGGTCCCAGTCGGAGGAGGGTGGTTGTTGATAGTGTTGCTGGTGGCTGCTCCCACGCTGGCATCCATCCGCTCCTCCTCCTGTCCGATTCAGCTGATGGAGCTCCTCTGCTCAGCTGCTCCCCCCCAAGAGGAGGTCTTCTTTCCCATCATGGTCCCGTTGGTTCTGTTGTGGGTTTCAGACTGGAAGTGAAGAGGATGGAGGTGGAGGGAGAAGTCATCATCTGGGTCTGACTTCAGCTGCTGGTTCTCCACCACTGATCTGCTCCCTGGAGTTCAGCCTGGATCTCCATGGTGCTGGGCACCGGTCCTCCCAGTTAAAAGTAGATTATTAAACTGTGAAAAAGTGGAACGGACTCTAATTCTGACCTTTGACCTCTGCATATTTGGTTAAAGTCACATTTATACTAATTAACCAAACAACTGAACAGTTATTAACCTTTAAAATTAAAGCTGCACCTAAAGTCTGATGGAACGGCCTCACCGGCACACCCTCAGCATCAATGATAAAATTAATATTTTTAAATGTCCACCTGCATCAACGGCCTGAGAGGGCAGCCTCTAGGGGACACACACACACACACACACACACACACACACACACACAGGTTAGTGAAACTACACCTCAACATTTTCCTGATGACACATAAAACATCATTGGTCCCGCTGACTGAAGCAGATCGACGGTCCATTCCGCCTCATGCTCATCAGTGGTTCTGGAGCCCGGTTCAGTGTTTCAGTTTCTTTTCATTTGATCAGATTTGTGCTTTAATGTGTGATGTTTTTGTTTTTTATTAGCTCAAGGCTCTTTATCAGTTTGTTATGATCTTTACTCATTAAGTCTCAAACATCAGAAGCGTAGAGAATCAGATGTTGCTCTCTGGCCCCAAACGTTCCGACCTAAAGAAAAACATGAGTTTGACTTTGCCGTTTTCAAAACACCTTCAGCTCCAGGGGTTCTGAACACTTTTAAAATAAACGTTGAGATGATTTGAAGTCATAAATGGGGATCATGAGCTGGTTTAACAGTTCCTGTGTTGGCGTGTGAACTGGACCCAGCGGCACCAGGAAACCTGAGAGCAGAACAGAAAACAGCAACTCGCTAAAATCACATCTACTCTTTAGACCACTGCATTGCCAAGTCTACAAACTCTCTTTCTGGAGGGTAAATATTTACAGTGAGTCAGTGAAACGTTTATTTTCATCTGTAAAAGTTTGATTCTGGTTATTTTGTCCCCTTTAATAATGTTGATTTTCTTTTACAAACAGAGGCTGTTGAGATTTTACTAGTTCCTATATTTCCCTCTAGAATAGATGACTAATCTGTGAACTAATATCTAAGTTAATGTGAACTGTTGGCCCAGAGACTGCAGGAGATAGGCGCCAGCCCCCCTGCATGGACAAGCGGGATGATGGGTGGATGGAAGTTAATGGGTCTAGAGCTGGTTTATAGCTGCAGAGGAGAGGAGGTAACTTGTGTAACGGATCTGGATAACGGTCCTGCAGGTTGAATTAAAATACCCAAAGAAGGTATTTGTAATGATGATGATTTAATAAAATAATCAACAATACTAAAAAAACTGTTTTTTATTTTAACTCAGTGGTTTTTCTTTTCCACATATCTTAATAATTTAATGTAATATCTGTTATCTCTCTGTGTGTTTTTGAGTCACCCACTTCTAATTTTTGTATATTGATTGTTGAGAATAAAAACTGTTTAATGAGGATGATTCAATCAGCAGCAAGAGCAGTGTGGCAGATGCTGCCCCCTGCTGGAGAGCAGCAGCACATGAAGAGGTGGAGATGATCTGCAGGTCCAGAGAAAAGCCACAGAAATGTTTATTTATTAGGCAGACGCTTTTATCCAAAGCAACCATCGACATATAAGAAAGCAAGTACAGCAGTTAACCTGTAGGGCGTGTTGTGATCTGTGGGGAAACCGACCCGGAGGAAACCCGCGCATGCATGGGGAGAACATCTCCACGCAGAAAGGCCGCAGCCAGGTTTTGAACACATTGCTAACCACTGCTCCACCATGCAGCCACACACACACACACACACACACACACACACACACACACACACACACACACACACACACACTAAAAGCAGAAAGAAAACCAGCTTCAGATGAGGGTGAAAAGTTGCTTTTTTGCATTTATTAGGCCCGAGCAGCGAAAGTGCTGCAAAGGCCTGTTGTATCAGCTCTGTTTATATTTCTTCCGCCAAGTAAATTGGCTTTTTGGAGGCCTTAACATACCCGAAAAATCAGGAATTTTTGCACACATGTCAGGCGTGGTGTAAAATTTTGTATTTTAAAGGTCCCAAAAAATCGCAATAAAACTAGCTCCACAGCGCCCCCTAGAATGTGAAAAATACCCCCCCCCCCCCAAATAAACCTTTTTTTGTAATACAGTCACAAAATTTTGTACACTTGTAGTACTCAACAGTCCGCATAGAAAAGCCTCATGCAACCGTGGTTGGTTTGAAGTGGTGATTTTGACCCTGTTACGTGCCTTGCCCCTTTTTGGCCACAAGATGGCCTCAGTGGCCTTTGTCTCACCTGTCTTCCGGTGCCCAGCTGTTCCAAATCCGTGATGATCACTTGGCAGCAGTTAAAAGCTGCTCCCAGCCACCAGTTTGGTGAGAAGGTCAAGGATAGTGTAGACTGGGAACAGTTTATGCTATTCTCTTCTCCTCGGTTCGCTCCTTTTGATAATATTCGGTTTGCTCGCTAGTTTTGGTAGATAACTCGTTTGGATTGGGATTTAGGATTTTGACCTTTTGGCTTATAGACTTCGGACCGGCATTTTGACTTTGAATTTAGGATCTCCCCGGCTAGTAATATTCTCGGTTGTTTTCTCCCCACCCCCTTCTGGGGTGGCGCTTTTCGTTCTCCCTTTTGCAAATAAGCTCCTTTTGTTTTTTTGTAAATAGAGTTTCCATTTTAGTGTTGTAAATATTTGTGTTGTAATAAAGATTCTTGTTTTTTAAGCGACACAGCACTTTGTGTCTGTGAAGGTTCTCAGTCATCCAGGTCATTGTAGTCTAATGAGCTTTTAAAGAAAAGCATCTGGACTTCTTTGAGTTGCTTGAAGACGTTTCACCTCTCATCCGAGAGGCTTCTTCAGTTCTAAGGTCAAATGGTGGAGAGTCCCAGATTTAAACCCAGTGGGAGTTTACCCCCGAAGAGGGAACAAAAGACCCCCTGATGATCTTCTATGAGCCAAGGTGTGAGGGTGGGTGTGGGTCCTATTCAGCCAGAGTTTCGGGTGAGCTCATTGTGAAGCCTGGCCCCACCCTATCATGTGAATTCCTGAGGTCAGATGGCCCAGGATATGCGTGGGCGTTGAGGCATCTGGGAAGGGATCTCAAAACTGGATTATAGATGGCAGACAGTTGGTGTCGTAAACCACCGCCTCTGTTCAAAGATGGTTGCTCACAGTGGACATAAATGGCTTCCTTTACTCCTCTTTCAAACCATCTGTCCTCTCTGTCCAAAATGTGAACGTTGGCATCCTCGAAAGAGTGACCTTTGTCCTTTAGATGCAAATGAACTGCTGAGTCTTGTCCCGTGGAGGTGGCTCTTCTATGTTGTGCCATGTGCTTGTGAAGTGGCTGTTTGGTTTCTCCGATGTAGCGGTCTGGGCATTCCTCGCTGCACTGTACAGCATACACCACATTGTTCAGTTTGTGTTTAGGAGTTTTGTCTTTCGGGTGAACCAGTTTCTGTCTGAGTGTGTTGCTGGGTCTGAAGTACACTGGTATGTTGTGTTTGGAGAAAACCCTCCTGAGTTTCTCTGATACACCGGCTACATAGGGGATGACAAGGTTGTTGCGCCTGTCTTTCTTATCCTCCCTCGCTGGTGTCTGGTCTTCTTTTCTGTTCATCTTTGCTGACATTATAAACGCCCAATTAGGATAGCCACATGTTTTAAGTGATTCCTTTATATGTGTGTGTTCCTTCTTTTTCCCTTCCAGCTTAGAGGGAACATGTTCTGCCCGCTGGTGTAAGGTCTTGATTACTCCAAGTTTGTGTTCCAGAGGGTGATGTGAGTCGAAGAGGAGGTACTGGTCTGTGTGTGTGTGGGCTTCCGGTACACTTCAATGATGAGGTTGCCATTTTCTTCTAAGTGCACAGCACAGTCCAGGAAAGGCAAGCAGTTGTCCTTTGTTTTCCCTGGTGAACTTGATGTTTTTGTCCACGGCGTTGGTGTGCGTAGTGAAGGATTCCACTTCTTGTGTTTTGATTTTGACCCAGGTGTCATCCACATATCTGTACCAGTGGCTGGGTGCTCTCCCTTTAAAAGAGCCAAGAGCCTTTCTTTCCACTTCCTCCATGTAAAGGTTGGCTACAATAGGTGACACGGGGGAGCCCATGGCGCCGCCATGTTTTTGTCTGTAGAAACCTTCGTTGTATTTGAAATATGTAGTGGTGAGGCAGCCAAACTGGACCAATCTTCTTGGTAGTGATGGGTCGAGCACCACTGATGCACCGGCGCATGTACCTGGCTCAGAGTGACATCCATGACCTGTTGTGTCTTGCCCTCCTGGTGCGAGGTGTCAGTGGCCACCTTTAGGTCAGCAGTCTTCCCCATGACTGTGTAGCCCACAGAACTAAACTGAGAGACCATTTAAAGGCTTCTGCAGGTGTGTTGGCTTAATTAGCTGATTAGACTGTGGCACCAGAGGACCTTTTCCTAATATTCTGAGTTACTGAATTTGGGATTTTCTTATTAAATAAACATTTAGAATACATGAGTCTGTGTGTAATGAATTCATCTAATAAACAAGGTTCACTTTTTTTAATGGAATGACTGAAATAAATCAACTTAGTCCTGATATCTTATTTCATGACCAGCACCTGTGTAGGGTGGCTCGACAGGCTAACATTTAAGTTTGTTTTCCTTTTGACTGAGTTGTTGCTGCAGCATGTTGGTGTAGATGCATGAGTACAGCGAAACAACTGGACTTCTCTGGTTGTCTAGAAGAGGTTCTGCCTCTCATGAAGGGGGGTTGGGGGGGCACACAAAGACTGGAGGAACCTACACCCCGCGGGTTACGGGGATGGACAGATGGACACATTCTGGTTTATGAAAAACGTTTGATAGGGAGGAGGTGTAAAGAGGTTTTATTTAGACTCAACACCGCAGCTAATGAACCATCAGAGAGAGCTGTAATGAAAAGGTGAGCTGAGGAGCAGGCGGGGACCAGCGATCTGTCGGAGCGGAAACACGAAACCTGCAGCAGAAGCTCATAAATGATTCTGTTGATGCTGAAGCGCCTCTGCAGCTCAGATTCACAGTTTCCTCACAAACATTAAAGCTTTTCTTGTTTTTTATTTTTTTTCTCCAGTTTTTAACCTTTTTTCAAGCTGCTGTGCCCCCCCCCTCCCCCCAGCAGGAGTGATTGACAGCTCTCAGGTTAGAGGACAGCTCGCCCACCGAATGTGTTTGACGCAGCTTCACCCTGAACACGTCCTACAGCTGAGGGGTGTGTGTGTGTGTGTGTGTGTGTGTGTGAGGGGGTGCAGTGTGCATCCAGCCGTGTAGAACAGATAATGGGAAAGCAAAGAGCATCATTACCTTCCTCCTCCCCCTAAACTGTGAGGAACAGATGAATTGAACGTCACCAGGATGTTTGGGATCTGGAATTCTGACACAACAACACGGAATAACAGGAGCTCGGTTAGGATTTATTATTGCTTCAGTCACATTTCTGCATCTAAAAGCTTTCAGAGGCCCCAGAAACAAACATTCAGGGATTTCTCAGTAGAAACAACTAAACTCCTAATTCTCACCTACATTTGTGTCCCAGAGCCACGGACAAGGACGAGGACAAGGAGGACGGGTCCAGATAAGTGATGAGTCTACGTAAGGTCCAGCCCGAGGAAAGGAACCCAGATGGATCTGTTCTGTTTTTGTTCTTATTGTAGCGTCAGAAAAAGATAATAATGTGTTTATCAGCAGAAACATCCTAACCCTAACACCTGCTTTAGAAGCTATGAGGAACATGCCGGATGCTTTTATTGTGAAGGACTGATTCTTTGGTGAACGCTGCTACAGAAGAACGACTCATCTTAAACTGAATCTGAAGAGCATCAGGGTTCCTTCCTCTGGCTGTTCATAAATCAGGAATATCCAGACTTTAGTCTGGAATAACATGGGAAGGATTTTTATGACCTCGTCCACTCTTCCTCCTTGTTTTCGCTCCTCTGAGGCTCTAAAACGCCGTCGGGAGACAAAAGCTTTAGCTAAACATCTCCAGGATGGACTCTACCAAACCAGAACCCTACAGCTGATTCTAACCTGGTTCAAGATGGCTGCCATAGCTGATGGGTTAACCAGATGGGGCGTTTGTAGAGGAGCGCTACGTGATCTTTCCTTCTCCTTCCTGCTCATCAGCTTCATGTTCTTAAGATGATCAGCAGAAAAGTTTCTATAAACCCGTTTTAACTGGTTCGGTAGAATCTAAAGGTTCAGGTTCTTTAATCTCGTTTCAAATAAAAAAAAGTTCCATTTGAATTTTCCAGGGATGAGCTGAACTGTTCCCGAGGAGCTCGGAGAACCTTTTAGATCCCGTGTTTATTTAATCTACTCAGATGTTTGAAGTGCGATTCTTTTTCTATGGTTTTGAGTCAAGCCACATAGAAATTAAGAGCAGACATTCCAAAATAAAAGCACTTCATGCATCGGTTATCCTTTGTCCGGATCCCAGGCAGGAATTCTTCACCTGATTTAAATCAGCTGAACGTCTGATTCAGTTTTTCTACATTAGAACCAAAAAGTCCAGAAATATTTGGTTTAAAAAAGGAAAAAATAAATGTTTTTAATGTTATGAAGCAAACAGCAGCTGGTTTAAAAGCTTCGATTGTAATGGCATGGGGGGGGGGGGGTAGCTGCCCCCCCCAGAAAGCTCTGGACCGCCCCTGTTCCAGCACCGGTTCTCCTCAGAACGGTTCCACAGCCCGAGAACGAAGGCTGACTTCAGATTTTTAAAGGTTTTCCTGCGTCTAACGGTTCTGCAGCCAGTTCCTCCTCTCCGGGTCCGACCCGTCTGCCTCTGAGACTTTCCGCTGATTCTACAATCTGTCATCTCCAACATTTAGTAATTACCCCCCCACCCAGAGGCACACCTCCCCCACTCAGTAGGCAGAAAGCAGCAGCTCCAAACTCCACCTCCAGACGGGTCAGACGTACTCCTGCAGGCTGTAGCTGTCCCTGATGTCTGTCTGAGGGGTTCTGGAGGGGGACGAGTAGATCCGCTGGCACTGGTCCAGTCCCGGTTTCTCTGAATTCACCTCCTCCGTCTGCAGCTGGACGCTTTTGTTTTTGGGTCGCTCTCGCTCCCCCTGCAGCTCCCGGCGCCCTGGGTCACTGCAGGACCCATAGTCCGAGCGGCCCGTTCTCCTTCCCGGACACGACAGGCAGAAGATGACACCCGCCGCCAGCAGGAAGCCAGCAGAGATGAAGGTGACGCACAGAGCTCCTCCGGGCTGGTACTTACTGCTGTCCGGCAGGTCCGTGGTCAGGAAGGCGGTGATGACCTCGTTGGTGAACCAGGACGCCGGCACCAAACAGAGGAGGCTGGCCAGGATGAAGCACCCCCCCACAGCGATGGCCGTGTGCCCCTTGGCTCGGTGGCTGCCCCCCCAGCGGGTGCATTTGAGTCCCAGAGAGGCCAGAAAAAGTCCAAAGGTGGCCACCATGCAGGACAGAACCATGGCGGCCCGCATCATCTGCAGAGACGCCGGCAGGGAGAGCACGGAGTTCTTCATGGTGCAGCTGAAGACCCCAGAGCTGTACCACACACAGTCCATCCACAGCCCCTGCATCTGGGACAGCGGGGTCATGATGCTGGTCCACACGTTGATGCTGACCTTCCAGTTGGGCAGCAGCGTGGCCACCGTGGCTCCGAGGACGCCCAGCAGCGCCAGGGCGAAGGCCAGGATCTGAATGGATGCGGACAGCATGGCTCGCCCCCCCCCGAAGCCCGGCGCTGTCCCGGCAGCAGCTAATTCCACAGCTCCGGCTGCGGAGCAGAGACGAGGAGTGCAGTGAGCGTGGGAGCGTGACGGACACACAGCTGAGGCTGCTGATGGAAATTTGCTGAGATCTGGACCGCCGCCTCCTCCGGGACTTCTGCAGCTGAACCGGTGATCATCGGCACTCAATTAATCCTGTTAAAGCTGCAGAGACCGCCGGCGCTCCGAGACAAACACAGAAACTCCAGCAGAAGTTGTTCCCCGGATTTATCTGCTGGAACATCTCAAACAAGGAGACACCTGAAGAAGTTCTGCTGCCTGGGAACCACGCTGCTCCTCGCGTTCTGGGTCTGCATCTCCTGAAGCGTGAAACTCTGTGTGTGTGTGTGTGTGTGTGTGTGTGTGTGTGTGTTTTAACAGTCTGTAACTACCCCTCTTCCAGCCGTCGCCTTGGCAACTACATACAGCTTCATCCTGTAGCAGAAGAGTTCTTGTTTGGTTCTGCGGTCCTGGTTCAAGCAAAAACACCCTTCAGAAGGCTGGTTCTGCTTCCCGCCCTGAAGGTCACGGGTTCTGGAGCCGCTGCAGAGCCGGGTTCTGATCTGACGGGATAACGGTCGGTGCATCAGACCTGCAGAGCCTCACAAATCCACTTTGTCGTTTGGTGCAGTTTCCGTTGTTCTTTAGGGTTTCATGATGGTCCCATGATGCAACGCTGTGTCCGGACCTCATCGCCGGTCAGAACCGATAACATCTTCGGAGAATGGATGGGATGTTTTGTGCTTGCGGAAGCGTTCTGGTTCTGGTTTTGGTGATAAAGGTGTCGCTGTCACGTGACCGTGTGAAGGATCGCCCTCTGCAGCGTGCTGATAAGCGTCCGCAGCTCGCCCACCTCCCGCCCCGCCCCACCAGGCCCAGCCCGGCCCGGCAGCCTGTTATTACCATAATCCTGCCGATCTGGAAACCATAAACACACATTTTCCAGTCGGATTCTCCCATGGAAGCTGCGGTGGGAGACCCGGCGTGGTTTCCTGCATCAGAATCGTCTAATTACTGTTGTTGTGTTCAGAAAACGACTCACAACGAAAGAGCTCAGAACAGTGGCGGTCCGGTTCCCACCAGCAGCAGAGCGGGTTCTGGTTCTGCAGCTGTTTGGGTTTGTTGTCCTTTCACAATAAAAACCAGATGGATTCATTCTGACAGCTTTTTACCTAAAATCAGAATTCAGTTTAAATAAAATAAACAATTTTTACACAGATTATTATTGATTGTTTTAAGGAAAATTATTTAAGTTGTTTTGTGGTTTATTTATTTGTATTTGATAATCGGAAGATTTTTTATTTAAACAGACTAAATTAATTTATTTCACTGTTGAGCCAAATGTTTATTTGAATGTTTTAAAAATCTCGTTAACTGTTGGAGACATCAATTCATTTTTATTTTATCAAAAAAATTTATCAGAAAAATGTGTGCGTGTGTGTATATGTGACTTTGAGTCTATGTGTGTGCATGTGTGTTAGAGCGTGTGTGTGTGTGTGTGTGTGTGTGTGTGTGTGCATGTGTGAGTGTGTGCGTGCGTGTGTGTGCATGTGAGAGAGAGCGAGAGCGTGTGTGTGCGTGCGTGTGTGTGTGTGTGAGAGAGAGAGAGCGAGAGCGTGTGTGTGTGTGTGTGTGTGTGTGTGTGCGTGTGCGTGTGCGTGCATGCATGTGTGTGTGCGTGTGAGAGAGAGCGTGTGTGTGTGTGTGTGTGTGTGTGTGTGTGTGTGTGCGTGCGTGCGGGCAGACACCCGTCCTACACGGCGGTAGAACACCGGGCCGCGGCGGCGGCGTTCTGGTAGGACAGCTCTCTGGGGGCTGAGCGACGCCTGAAGGCTCCGGGCCGAGTACCGCCGTCTCTCAGGAGGACAAACTCGTTTTGATGTTAAACATTTTCATTTGTCCTCGTTTGACCTTCTGCTGTTGCTGCAGAGCAGGAAGCTTCATGTTTAAGTGTTTCTGTTAGTTCTTGCTTTAGTTTCTATTAAATAAAAATTATTTTATTTCATTTATTTAAACAGAATTTTTATTTTCTTTATGCATGTTTGCTAAATATATTTAAAGTAATTTTCATTTCTCACATTTCTTGAATTTAATTTAGAATAATTATGGTTTATTTTTGTTTGTTTTAATCTCTTATTTCATTTAAAACTATTTCTGGTATTTCAGATCCTTTGCTTCTATGGTTTGTTTTTTGTCATTCTGGTGGATTTTTTGTTCTTTTAGCATAAATTATTTTTTCTGCTTTAACTTGTGCAGTTTTTTAGGGCTGGATGGAAATATTTAAAACTGTATTTGTTCTTATGAAACTGTTTTATTATCCTTCACTAAAACAACAAATTATTTATGCTAAAATCCAGTTATTTTATTTAAATGTTCAGAATTATTTATGTTTTATTTTTATTCATTAGACTTTTATAAATTAAATATCAGAAATGAAGACAAGCTTCTAATAAATTCCTATTATTATTTTCTTAAAACAGAAAACTAACTGAACGTGTTACAGTCAAGGCTGAGAACAATAAATAATTACTTATAATAACTATTATTACTGCCACTATTATAATTATTAATAATTATTTTAATTATGGGGAGGGATGTTATTTGGGTCTTTTCTGATAAATAATTTTTTTTAACTAATTTAAATAAGTAAATGGTGTTTTTGCAGCTACATAATTTATCAGGTGTTTACTAATAATCTGATTAATATCCAGGTGAAATAATGAAGTAAAGATGAGTTTCAATTAGAAAGCATTTCCTCTCAGATTAGATTAAAGACAAAAACGTAGTCTTAACAAATGGAGACCAACGCCGTAACGGTCTGTGAATCCTGATGCCTAAATCCATTACGACTGTAATTAGCTTTGCATTAAAGCGACAGTTTGACCTTTGACCCCTCAGTGGCTGTAATAATAGTCTGGAGATGAATCAAAGCGGCAGCTGGCAGAAAGAAAACCCCCCGAAGGCGGAAACATCCATCAGTTAGCAGCCAGACGGGAATATGAAAAGCCTTATCACACACACACACACACACACACACACACACACACACACACACACACACACACACACACACACACACACACACACACACACACACACACACACACACACACACACACACACACACACACACACACACATTTCCATGACTTTTATCAGGTATTTGTGTTTCAGAAAAATCTATTTACCAGTTTATCTGATTCTGCTTTGGAGCTTCTCCTAATCTGTTCAATCTGTAATGAATAATCGAATGCTAGTTAACAGAACTAACCTGAGGGCCATCCTTCACTTTGAAACCAGGTTGATTACTACAGGAGCTCATTAAGTCCTCAGGAATCAGTTTAAAGTTCCCACAGGAACCATAAACATGATCTCAGTGTTCCCAGTGGAGAATCCAAACAAGATCTGACTCAACGGGAAGTCAGGTCTAAACCACTTCCAGGATTAAAACCAGGATTAGTCACTAATCTGAACCAGATTTAGGATTATTTAGACAGAATATGATTGAACATTTTAAAACTCAACACATGAACAGAAGAGTTCTGGCCCAGACGGAAGTTCCTGTAATCAGCTTAAATTGTTTCCGTTTCCTCTAAATTAATCAGCACTTTTCAGCTCACTCGTGTTTTAAACTGGACCAAATGCAGTTCTGAGGTTTTAGATGTGGGGTTGAGAGCAAAAAATGCTAACTATAGCACATGCTATATGTATGTTAGCTTCGGTTTGCTAACACAGTAGCACGTTAGCTTCATTAAGCTAGCTAACATCACTGAAGCTCATTTATAAACAACTTTGTCCTGAGACCCAAACCAACAACACAAGTGTTCTTAAACTCACCTCCACCTGGACAGGTACTTAGTTTGAGTTCTCTTAGCAAATAGCCAGTGGCGGTTTTACCATTAGACATAGGTCAGCGGCCGCCTGGGGCCCCCTTGTGTTGGGGGCCCCCCTAGTCCTGACTGCTGGCACCCCTCTGTTAATGCCACAATATTCTTATTACCATCCTGTCACCGCCAACGGGATTGGACATGCACAATTCTCATTACCATAATTCCTGAACGGTTCAAGATATCTGGAAAATTCTAAAAGTGCTGAAAATGTTAGGGCTTTTCGTGCATATACAACTCATTACGGTAGCCACCGGAATTCCCTGTCTCAAGTGCAACGAATCACAACCAAGCCCACACAATGTGGCTCAAAAATTGAGGCCAACCCGGAAGTACCAAAAATTGCAGTTCCACCCTCATCCACTAGGGGCTGGTGTCAGAAGCGAGCAAATCCTCATTGACCCCCATGTTAAAAATACCAATTTCACAGCAGAAATAAACGTTTACAGCCTGGTACCAAAACATGTTTTTGGTTGAAATGATCTAGTTTACACTCATGACAACTCTGAGGGGGGTGAATTTTTTTCTCACTCTTCTGTTTAAGTGTATTAAAAGCCTAAAATTCTGTATAATTAATGAGCATCCGACCCACGTGACCACAGAGCTAGCTCCGTGGAAAGGCCTCAGTAGAGCCTCGGTCTGGCCTGGAAACTGTTCCAGGATTTTGAGTCTCTGTGTGTGTGTATTCTTTTTTGGATATTTTTTGTGCAATTGTTGGACAAAATGACTTGCTGTGGCATTAATTGCACTAATAGAGCGTCCAAGGAGTCTCCACTTCATTTTTTTTGGTAAGTAAAATTATATTTATGTATTTTAGGTCACTGCCGAGCTGAGCTTAGATTTTAACATGTACTGTTTAACCATGAAATTTAAATGTAATAGGGTAAAACCCAGTGCATTTAACATAATGCTGCACTTTAGAAAATGGGTTGAAATATAACATGTTGGTGGAGCTGGGTTCCGACTGTCGGCTTGTGGAGCTCTCGGGAGACCGATGTTTTCCACCCGTTTAAATCATGTCAGAAGAGGGGAGAGTTTTGCAAATCCAGTTAAAGGTCAGATTGTCGAAAATTTTGTGTAAGGGGCTCCATGTCTGTGTTCGCCTTGGGCCCCCAAATTGCTAAATCCGCCACTGCTAATAGCTAAAGTCATAACTGGGACCTACAATGGTTCCTGAGCAGTAGAGGTTCCAGAAGATTCTTCTATTTAGTTTAATCCCTTCAGTCTTAAAGGTGGAAGGGTTTTACTTTGTCCCAACAACTCCATATCCTGATTTCCTCCCTTTTCGTCATTATTATTAGTGGCGCCAAGTGGGAGGACCTTACGCATCCTTTCTTTTTGTGTTTATACGTCATGCACCACACCTTCCTATGAAACAATAATACAAAAAAATATCTTAACTGAGGTTTAAATGGAGCTTTCTGCACTCTGCTGGGTGGTGACTGTGGTCTGTAGTGGATATGAATATCTGTCAGGTTCTGGGTTTGACTGGCTGGGTGTGTGAAACCCTAACCCTAACCCTAACCCAAAATGCAAAACAGTAAAGCTAAATGACCTGCACCTGTACAGTGCCATTCAGTGGACTCATTCATCCATGCTGGTGATAATGAGCTACACCGCAGCCACAGCTGCCCTGGGGCTGGCTGACATGAACAAGGCTGTTTATCTAAGAGACGCGCTACCTCTGGAGGTTGGTATATTACAGCTTGTGGTGTGTTCATCTGACAGTTGGCTTGTAAAATATCATTATACTGTAAACAAGAATACTTCCCCGTTGTTTATCATCATTTATGAAATCATGACAAACACGGTCTTTTTCATGACTAAATCACCACGCACACGGTATATTTTTGCTAATAATTATACTGCAGTTCTGTATTCTTCGCCTATTTAAAATGAACCGTGCTTCATAAGCGTGTTTCTTTACTGTAAACAAGAGCGAAACTGTCGGAACACGCTGCGGTAAGAATATTCGATGAGGAAGCGCGAGAACACCGGATCCAACCACCAGCAGGAAAAGAGGGTTGGGTGTCTTGCTCAAGGACACAACAGCAGAACTTTCTGATTACTGGACAACCCGCTCCATTTCCTGAGCTGCTGCTGCTGCCCCAGGCCAGGGGCTGAAAAGACCTGCAAGGTTCTGGAGGATGCGCGCGCTAGAACATTCAGAATAAAGAAAGTGAAACAGCAAATCTAAACTCAACACGAAAACTTAAAGTACATTTTAACTAAACATGAAAACAAAAAACAAAAGAAAAAATTTAAAGAGCAAGTCACCCCCTACCTGAGTCTTACTCTACTTCCCATTTGAAAAATGCAACAAATGCAGACCGAGAGGGCAGTCTAACAAATACACACACACATAGGCTCCTGACATTGTGACATCATAATGTACCAGCCAACGTCATCGTGTACCTCTTAAACAATAGCGATGGCAGATTTAAACTCAAATGCAGTGCAGAGTTTTTACCTGAAGACATCGCAACACTGACAATTTTAAGCAGAACATTTAAATGTTAACTAAGAAGCACTAAAATGCCAAATTACACGTGTCTGCAGCACAATGAGACACTCGTTTATCTAGTTTATCAGCAAAGAAAGATTAATTTGGCGGTGACTTGCTCTTTAAAAAAGAAAAATAACAGTACAGTAGGAAGCAGTTAAAGAGCAAGTCAACCCCAAATCAACTGTTTTTTGTTGATAAACTATATAAATGCGTGTCTAACTGCTCTGTAGACACATACAGTCAATAATTTGGCACTTTATTCAATCTTAGTTAAAATTTAAATTATTTGCCTAAAACTGTCAGTGTTGCGCCGTCGTCAGGTAAAAACTGCACTGCATTTTAATTTAAATCTGCCATCACTATTGGCTAAGAGGTACACTATTACATTAGCTGGTACATTATGATGTCACAATGTTGTGAGCCTGTGTGTGTGTGTGTTAGTGGCTCCACCCTCTTGGTCTGACAGGCAACAGCATTTGTTGCATTTTTCAAACATAAAGTGGGAATGTAATATGACTCTGGTAGGGGGTGACTTGCTCTTTAAAAACATTTAATCACAGATGTTTCTTAAACTTTAAAAGTTGCATGATTTTGGGCAGCAGTAGCTCAACAGGTTGAGAGGGTTGTACAGTAATCAGAAGGTTGCAGGTTCGATCCCGGCTCTGGACAGAGAATTCTGCTGTTGTGTCCTTGGGCAAGACACTTAACCCACCTTGCCTGCTGGTGGTGGTCGGAGGGAACGGTGGCACCTGTGCTCGGCAGCCTTGCCTCCATCAGTGTGCCCCAGGGCTGCTGTGGCTACATCGTAGCTCATCACCATCAGTGTGTGAATGTGTGTGTGAATGGATGAATGATACATTGTAGGGTAAAGCGCTTTGGAGTCCTTACTCTGAGAGGTGCTTTACAAGTGCGGGTCATTTATTATTTTATTTTGAAAGGGTAGCAGCAAAGCGCTTCTGATGAAATCCAAACTTTTATTTAAAAATATTTAGTTTGAAATAACCTCATTTACGTTTAAATGTTTTACATTCAGACGTGACATTGAAGTGTTTTTCTTATAATTTTATCAGAAACACAAAACAACTTAATGAAATTCCGTTGCCTCCTCCATCCAGCCGTTACCGTGGCAACAAGCAAAGAGGAGACACCTTTCCTTCACAGCTTAAAGTTGAATGACTTTTTCAATATAAGGATGTTTTCACTCTGAACGGAAACCAGATCCGTTGAGGAAACATTTCTTTGCTAAACACCAGATGTTTTAGACATGTGAATAAAAACAGCAAAAACTCAAACTTTTAAATAAAATCCATCCAAATTTCATTCTTTAAATGTTTAGCTGAAACTTTTAACATCTTTAAACCGTGTACACAAATATGTAAGAAAATAAATTACTAAATATTTCAAAATGCTTCAAGTAAACTAAATATTTTAATTAAAATAAAAGAACTTCTATAATAAAAAAATACGTAAAAAATATATAAATACGAAAAATTAAAGATGGTGGAAAATTTAGAAAAGCTTTGATGCAGCAGCTCTGAAATCTGCTTTTGTCAAATAATCTGATCAACAGAAACCAAACCTGTACAGAAAGAAAATGGATTCAGATCATCAGCAGGAGGTTCGGCTCAGACGATCCATTAGACGGTAAATAATCTTCATCCAGATTAAAACACCAATTTATAAATCCCAGGTAGTAAAAATGTTGATGTCCTGATTTATGGTTTCTTTAAACGTTTGAAGTTTTGGGGCCAAAGAGTCAGAACTATATGATCAGAGAGAAAGTTTAGTTTACTGTAATAATCCTAATTCTTTCAGAGAAAAGGTTTAAAATGATCAGTAATAAATTATTAGTTTTAATCCCAGATGGAGTCCTTTTCATTTAGGTCAAAATGGTCAGTTTTTTCTCCCAATGTTTGAGAAAAAACTGAAAATTTTTTAATGTCAAGAGAAAAAAGTGGTGAATTTAGATGGTTAATAACCCGTAAATTAAACTATTAAATATTAACAGTTTAAAAAGCTGCTTTAATTTAGTCATTTTCTATTTTGGTTCTGATTTAGTTTTCATCGTCGCCACGAAGAAACACGATGAGGAAGTTTTCCAGAGGAACTGTAGATCCCAGCCAATCAGACTGGGGGTTAGGGTCCGACTCCATTAGCATGTTAGCCCGTTAGCCTGATTAGGCATCTGAATCCCCAGAACCGTGTCGTAGAAGAAGTCCTCGTTGATGATGGAGGCCATGCTCTGGATACTGAAGTCTTTTTCCAGAAAGCTGCTTAAGTCCAAAGCTTCTCCTGCAGGGGTCCTCCGCAGACTCCAGCTCTGCTTCTCCACCTCCACGTGGGGCGGAGCTTCTTGCCGTTCCTCTGTGAAATTTAATCTCTGCAACTGGGCCTCCAGGTCGCTGGTCAGGGAGCAGAGCCTGGTCCTCCTCCCTGACGCGGCTCCGCTGGAGGAGGCGTGGCTGGGCAGCAGAGGCTCTGAACAGGTTTCTTCCAGGACGCCGTTGGTTCTGCCGTTCTCCTCCACCTGATCAGGAGGCGTCTTCTGGTTGTCTGAGTGGGCACGATGCTGTCTCCTCCTCCAGGTGCTGCTCATCTTTGTCTTTGACACATTGGACCTCCTCAGGGATCCCCCCGGGGCTCGGTCTCTGAGGAGAGAGTTGAGAACCCGGAGCAGGGCGGCCTTCGTCTCCGAACAGCTGCAACACAAACAGCAGAGACGAAACCAGGTCAGCAGCTCTGGCTCTGCTCATTATTTAACATTTCTCTCATCTCAGCCAGAACAAAAAACCCAATAATCATCCAGACCAGTCCTGGTACGACAGGATGGTACCTGGTGCTCAGCTGGAACATCGTCTCGGGTCGACCCTCCACCTCTGACCTGCTGTGGATGAGCTCCCACACACACGGGTCCTCAGAGCCTGGAAACACAACACAGCTGAGTCCAACACACACACACACACACACACACACACACACACACACACACACACACACACACACACACACACACACACACACACACACACACACACACACACACACACACACACACACACACACACACACACACACACACACACACACACACACACACACACACACACACACACACACACACACACACACACACACACACACACACACTAACCCATGCCACTGGTGGGTCTGATCTGAAGCGCTGAAACTGGGATTAACCAGCGGAACCCGAAGGGATCCAGATCAGCTGATCGGGAGTTTGCCTGTTATGTAAACACAAGTCAGCTGTTTGTAAAAGCTCCATTAATAATTTGACTTTTATATCAACAACAAGTTTGTGTCATAAAACCACAACACACACACACACACACGTATGTGTATATACACTCAACAAAAATATAAACGCAACACCTTTGCTTCTGCTCTGATTTTTCATGAGATGGATTTAAAGATCTAAAATTCATGCCAGATACACAATATTATCATTTCTCTGAAACGATGTTCACAAATCAGTCTAAATGTGTGATAGTGAGCACTTCTGCTTTACTGAGATAATCCATCCCACCTCACAAGTGTGCCACATCAAGATGCTGATCCGACATCATGAGTAGTGCACAGGCGTACCTTATACTGCCCACAATAAAAGGCCACCCTGGAATGTGAAATTTTTTGCTTCATTGGGGGTCTGGGGACTCAGAACCGGTCAGTATCTGGTGTGACCACCATTTGCCTCATGCAGTGCAACACATCTTCTTCGCATAGAGTTTATCAGATTGTCAATTGTGGCCTGTGGAATGTTGGTCCACCCCTCTTCTATGGCTGTGCGAAGTTGTTGGATATTAGTGGGAACCGGTACATGCTGTTGTATACGCCAGTCAAGCACATCCCAAATATGCTCAATGGGTGACATGTCCGATGAGTATGCTGGCCATGCAAGAACTGGGACATTTTCAGCTTCCAAGAATTGTGTACAGATCCTTGCAACATGGGGTTGTGCATTATCTTGCTGAAACATAAGGTGATGTTCATGGATGTAAGGCACAAAAATGGGTCTCAAGATCTCATCACGGTATCTCTGTGCATTCAAAATGCCATCAAAAAAATACACCTGTGTTCTTTGTCCATAACAGAAGCCTGCCCATACCGTAACCCCACCACCACCACCATGGGCCACTCAATCCACAACATTGACATCAGCAAAGTGCTCACTCACACGACGCCACACACACTGTTTGCCATCTGCCCTGAACAATGTGAACCGAGATTCATCCGTGAAGAGAACACCTCTCCAACGTGCTAGACGCCATCAAATGTGAGCATTTGCCTTCTCAAGTCTGTTACGGTGACGAGCTGGAGTCAGGTCAAGACCCCAATGAGGACGACGCATGCAGTTGAGCTTCCCTGAGACGGTTTCTGACAGATTGTGCAGAAATTGTTTGGTTATGCAAACCAATTGTTTCACCAGCTGTCTGAGTGGCTGGTCTCAGACGATCTTGGAGGTGAACCCGCTGGATGTGGAGGTCCTGGCTGGAGTGGTTACACGTTGTCTGCGGTTGTGAGGCCGGTTGGATGTACTGCCATATTCTCTGAAACGCCTTTGGAGACGGCTTATGGTGGAGAAATGAACATTCAATGCACGAGCAATAGATCTGGTTGACATTCCTGCTGTCAGCATGCCAATTGCACACTCCCTCAATGCTTGTGGCATCTGTGGCATTTTGCTGTGAGACAAAACTGTACATTCCAGGGTGGCCTTTTATTGTGGGCAGTATAAGGTACACCTGTTCACTACTCATGATGTCAGTTCAGCATCTTGATGTGGCACACCTGTGAGGTGGGATGGATTAGCTCAGCAAAGCAGAAGTGCTCACTATCACACATTTAGACAGATTTGTGAACAATGTTTGAGAGAAATGGTAATATTGTGTATCTGGAATGAATTTTAGATCTTTAAGTGCATCTCATGAAAAATCGGAGCAGAAACAAAGGTGTTGCGTTTATATTTTTGTTGAGTGTATATATATATATGTGTGTGTGTGTGTGTGTGAGTGTGTGTCTAAGTGTATGTTATTATTATTATTATTATGATTAATTAGAAAAAAATTACGCGTAAAAAAGAAAACATTCACACATTTAATCACAACTTCCATTTCAAGCAAGGTGGAACCTTAGTCATTGCATGATTTCCTCGTAGACAACTATCACTGATGCACAGTGCTCTGCTAACAGCTACTAAAACAGAATAATTTGAAGAAACTGCCTTGCTTGGACTGAAGCAGTATTTGGAAAACATGTCATTTTCTTCTCTTAATTTGTAAAACAGAAAAAAATTTCCTGACAACTATGGAGTCCGTGTCGCGGACATTTTTCGGAGACCGTCTCTGATCTCTGCTGCTGTCCGGTGGCACCAGAAGCTTTACAAAAGCTTTTTTTTCCCCTCAGGGCACCAACAGGCTTCTATAGACTCACCAGCCTCTTCTTGACTTTGTTCTGTCGGTGGATCAGGACGACGGCCCGTTTGAACACTGAGGAAACAGCAGCGGTTATTTTACACCAACTTCTAAAATGACTTATTATTGTACAGGTGAGTCCAGACCCACCCAGCAGGGTCAGGGGGGGATCCTTTCTCAGGTGTCTGACAGACGGCAGTGGGTTCAGCCAAACCACTGAGGAGTGGACCAGAAACTCCCCCATGGAGATCTCTGTTACCTGGGGGGAGGACAGGTGAGAGCCCTCAGGTGACCCTCTATATTGTGCATGTGCACATGCATGCGTGTGCGTGTGTGTTTACCTGTTTGTCAGCTCCACTCTGCTCTGCTACCAGCTGGTCAAACACACATCCATACTCCTCGTAGATCTTCTGCATCTCATTGATGTGGCTTGCCACCTTCTCCATCGCCCTCAGCGCCTCTAGAGGATGGAACAGGAAGTAAGGAAGCGCAGAAAGAGCTGCCTGCAGGTACAGCACACCTGTCAGGTGTGAGTGTTACCTGTGAGGTGTGTGAGTGTTACCTGTGAGGTGTGTGAGTGTCACCTGTGAGAGGTGTGAGTGTTATCTGTGAGGTGTGAGTGTTACCTGTAAGGTGAGTGTTACCTGTCAGGTGTGAGTGTTACCTTTAAGGTGAGTGTTACCTGTAAGGTGTGAGTGTTACCTGTCAGATGTGAGTGTTACCTGTAAGGTGAGTGTTACCTGTCAGGTGTGAGTGTTACCTGTAAGGTGAGTGTTACCTGTCAGGTGTGAGTGTTGCCTGTAAGGAGAGTGTTACCTGTGTGAGGTGTGAGTGTTACCTGTGTGAGGCGAGTGTTACCTGTAAGGTGAGTGTTACCTGTAAGGTGTGAGTGTTCCCTGTAAGATGAGTGTTACCTGTGTGAGGTGTGAGTGTTACCTGTGTGAGGTGTGTTACCTGTGTGAGGCGAGTGTTACCTGTAAGGTGAGTGTTACCTGTGTGAGGTGTGAGTGTTACCTGTGTGAGGTGTGAGTGTTACCTGTAAGGTGTGAGTGTTGCCTGTAAGATGAGTGTTACCTGTGTGAGGTGTGAGTGTTACCTGTAAGGTGTATTACCTGTAAGATGAGTGTTACCTGTGTGAGGTGTGAGTGTTACCTGTAAGATGAGTGTTACCTGTGTGAGGTGTGAGTGTTACCTGTAAGGTGTGTTACCTGTCAGGTGTGAGTGTTACCTGTGTGAGGTGTGAGTGTTACCTGTAAGGTGGGAGTGTTACCTGTAAGATGAGTGTTACCTGTGTGCGGTGTGAGTGTTACCTGTAAGGTGTGTGTTACCTGTGTGAGGTGTGAGTGTTACCTGTAAGATGAGTGTTACCTGTGTGAGGTGTGAGTGTTACCTGTGAGGTGTGAGCCTTACCTGTCAGGTGTGAGTGTTACCTGTAAGGTGAGTGTTACCTGTGAGGCGAGTGTTACCTGTCAGGTGTGAGTGTTACCTGTGTGAGGTATGATTGTTACCTATAAGGTGAGTGTTACCAGTCAGGTGTGAGTGTTACCTGTGTGAGGTATGAGTGTTACTTATAAGGTGAGTGTTACCAGTCAGGTGTGAGTGTTACCTGTAAGGTGATTGTTACCGGTCAGGTGTGAGTGTTACCTGTGTGAGGTGTGAGTGTTACCTGTGTGAGGTGTGAGTGTTACCTGTAAGGTGATAGTTACCGGTCAGGTGTGAGTGTTACCTGTGTGAGGTGTGTTACCTGTGTGAGGTGTGAGTGTTACCTGTGTGAGGTATGAGTGTTACCTATAAGGTGAGTGTTACCGGTCAGGTGTGAGTGTTACCTGTGTGAGGTGTGAGTGTTACCTATAAGGTGAGTGTTACCGGTCAGGTGTGAGTGTTACCTGTGTGAGGTGTGAGTGTTACCTGTAAGGGGAGTGTTACCTGTCAGGTGTGAGTGTTCAGGACTGTCTGGGTTGGTCAGAGACACCAGCTCTCTCAGCAGCAGTGGGTACTTCAGGACTCTCTGTACCGGTTTAATCAGGTACGACTCCAGAGAAGACGAGTGCTGATTGGTGGGGTTTCTTGCTTCCAGGAAGTGTTTGAATGCTCCATCTGTTTTTGCTGAGTCAGCAGAATAACACCTGTTGGTTTTCTAAGACCCTTATTCCACTAACGAAGGATAAATAATCTTCTTTGACTTGATGTGTAAATATTGATTTTATAAGACAGTCACCTTTCTCCAGAACCTTCTGGACTTTGATGTGGTTAGCACAGAACCCGCTGTAGAGCTTAAAGTGGTCTGCGTAGTAAAGGAACGACCCGCCCAGAGAGAACAGAAGCTTCTAGAGGGAAGGAACGCAGATATGGTGGGAAAACTGGGACACAACTCATTTAATCATGTCATCAAGAAGCTCATTACATAGTGATTCAAGTATATAGTAATAATAATAATAATAATAATAATAATAATAATAATAAACTAAAAAGTCTCTTTAATTTTAAAATGTCGAGAAACCAGAAAGAAAACAAGTTTTCTTAACATAAA